AAAAGGCGTGGGAATTATCAAAGCTGAAAAATTTCGGTAATTCTACAGTAATCCACATTAAGGTAATTATACGAAACCAATGCGACCGACATGTTAAAGCCGATGATTGAAGCAATCCGAGCACACGAACCCCACCCAATGAATGTAAATGTGACCACGAAAGAAACTCTTTTTGTTGTCGCATAAAGTGCAGCGGGTAAATGTCAGGTGATTAGTTGGATTACTGTAAACGGAAGATGGTCCGGAAATACTGGTGAAATGTTGAACGTATTGGCGATGTATGATTTCCTGAAAATTTTAGCTCGCGTTTTGTAAAGGCAACGAAGTACAGGGTGTACCAATTTGGTGGCCCGATTTGAATTGGCTATAACTTCTTTAATTTTGGGCCAAATTTTAAAATTCTTTTTTCCCTGAATCCTCAGACATCCCCATTGTGTTTAATACCAAATATGTGGCAGGAGTACAGAAATCTCGCCATCTTCGTCGTGAAGAACAAAAGATCTTAAAAAACGCCGAAAATCAGTCGTATCTTGTGAACGGTATAGATAGTTGTGGCAAACCTAGGTTCATAAGGTTTAGAATTTTGTGTAGAATAGTTGGGAATCAAAAAACCCCAAGCAAATCCGCTCCTACGGAGCGAACCCCCAAGGGCACAGATATGAAAATTTTGAAAATTCGAAAATTTGGAGAAAAGGTTTGTCCCTAAACAAAGATGAAATTCAATCTAAGTTTCGCAGTATAAGTTTTTTTGGTCCAACATGTTGCAACATAAAATTCCATTTTTAGGGCCGACAATTTTAACAACCGAAAACAGTGAAAGAAAGTATTAGTTTTTCGTTGTTTGATACTTTTTACTGTAGTTTACTAAAAAGGAATGTTATATTTCGTATTAAACAAAATGGGGATGTCCGAGGATTCACTGTCAGGGAAAAAAAGAATTTTAAAATTTGGCCCAAGATTAAAGAAGTTATAGCCAATTCAAATCGGGCCACCAAATTGGTACACCCTGTACTAGTCGCGACATAAAGTCCTGACACATTTTGTCGCGGGTGTCGCGCGAGAAAAGTGGCGAACTCGCGCGAAAGTGCATGTCGCTAGTGCAAAAACGGGGAATTGCCGCGACGGGTCCGAAAGAAAAAAAAATGCACTGTGCGGTACAAAAAAGGCCGAAAAAAGTCTACGCACCTTATGGAACGACTAGTATAAGTCAGCGATTTTTGCGGAAGAGAGAACGCGCAAAAGAGAGAGGCCTGCAAGAAAGTGACTTTTTGGCCAAATCTTTGCCAGTTTCATGCGGAAAAAATATTTTTTGCGGAAACATCAGCCTCTACGGTAGAAATAGCTATGAAAATTTTCATGCCAAAATTGGCAAAAAAACTGTCAATTTTTTTCCAACTTCCGACCTAAAAATCTCAGTGGTTTCTGTAAAGCACGAGCTGGAAACCTAACATACGAACATATACGTCTTTAGAAGTACGTCTTTAGAAAAAATACTCTAAATTTGTCCAAAGTTTCATCAAAATTTCGGCGTCGCACTTGGAGTACTGTCCGTCTCCAATTCGATGAACTTTGCGTTTCCCTCAAAAAGGCCGCAAAAACGATAAAAAGTCACCGAAATTCCCCGCAATTCTCTCATTGAGCTCTTACGGTAAGACAAAAAAACATTTTTTAACTCGATCGGCAGTAATGAAAACCTTCAAAAAAATTCGGCGCCCACTTTCCCAATCTTTTTTTGAATTTGAATGGGTCAAAAGACTTGTTCGGCCAATCGACGAAGGATTGGGCAAAGAACTCCGAACTCATTGTTTTTAGAGATCCATTTTGATTAGAGGTGGCAATCGGGCCGGGCCGGGCCGATTTTTGCGGCCCGGCCCGCGGGCCGAAGTTACCAGGCCGGCCCAGGGCTTTTTCAAATTTGCTCAGGCCCGCTAATACAAAAAGGTTGGATAAAATTCTTTGAACTTTCTACTGGAAGTTCTTATGCTTTCCAGACGGTTTTTACGTGTGTATGAGTGAAATTAAAACGTCTTTCGGATGATTGGAACAGCCGAAGAGGTGGCAAAAACCTAGCCAAACAGTTGTATTGTGCCGAATTTTTTAATCCTATAGGAAGTTAGCTATGTATATAAAAACATGGAGGTTATAAGGCTACATGTTTAATCAAAAACTGTTTAAACACTTTTATTTACATCAAGGCATCAAAATTAGAGTGAAATGTTAAGTTTATCATCAAAAAATTTGAAGATTTTTTCCCGACCCTTGCATATTTGTCTGGGATTTTGCATATAGTACATAATCAGGGATTTTAAAGAGTTTTAAAAGGTAGTAAAACAGCATATAAGACAAAAAAGGTTTGATCTAATTAATATCCATCCTCAATTCTGCAAAGCATCTGTGCTTTATTTTGCTGGTTTAGTATTAAATTTTTTAAACCTATCCACCTTCCGGGCCGGGCCGGGCCAAAAGTCACGGCCCGGCCGACGGGCCGAAGCGGTCAGGCCGGCCCGGGGCTTTTTCAAATCTGCTCAGGCCCGGCCCGGCCCGGCCCAATCACCGGGCCCGGCCGGGCCGGGCCGGGCCGGCCCAGCCCGATTGCCACCTCTAATTTTGATGACATTCAAAATGGAGAAGATAAAAAATACAGGTGGATTTTTGAATAAGAAAATTTTGAAAAAAAAAATGAAAAAATTTGGCGTTGCGACATCGGTCAGCGAAAGTTTGAGTTGATGATATGAATCTTGTCGGTTCATCGTTTTATGCATTGGCGAGGCTTACTTTTCTGAACGCTGAGAAGCCTGGTTCCGACTTAGGGCTTGGAAGCCGCTCAGAGCCGGAGCCAAGAGCTGGCTCCGGAGCCGTGGCAATCTCTGGTTGCGACCCTGTGCCAACAATGGATATATGTATTGACAGGGGAAGTAATCCAAGTGCGACGCTCAGATTTTCTTTAAATTTTGCACACACATCTGGTATGGACTAAACATCAATTCCTGAAAGTTTTAGCTCGCGCTTTTCGGGCGCCGCCGAGATATCGAACGATTTTTGCCGCCGAGAGAGCACGCTAAACGTGGAGAGCGGTCAGAGAGAAAACACCTTTTTGGCCATAACTTTGGCAGTTTCGAGCGGAAAAACTTAATTTTTTGTTAAATAAATATTAACCGTAAATATTATCCTTTACGGTTGAAATAGGCATGAAACTTTTCGAGCCGAAATTCGTCAAAAAGTCGAAAATTTTGGCCGACTTTTGATCTAAAAATCTCGGTTGTTTCTGCAAAGCGCGAGCTAGAATTCTCGCATATATCTTAGAAAAAATCATTCTAAATTTGTGCCAAGTTTCATCAAAATCTGAGCGTCGCACTTGGAGTACTTCCCCTGTGAGTCTTCTTTTTCCGAGAGAGTATGCAAAATGAGGAGAGTCGGTCAGAGAAAAATTATTTTTTCCAATAGGGGCTCAAGTGCCACTCGAAAAAATTTGGTTTTTTGTAAAAAATTTTTTATACCGTATTACTTACAGAGCCAACAATAAAAAAAGTATCGAAAAAGTCTTTTTTATATAAAAAAAAACTTTTTTTAATCTCGAGCTCGAGCATTTTGGCAAAGGGCAGGCGAAGAATCACGCATGCACCCTAGAAGCATCAAGAATCAAACGTTTTTTGTTGGGCCATCACTTCGATGGCCAAAGAAGTGACTGTAAACCAAAAAAAGTAATTTTTAAACTATTCCCCGACATTAATTGGCTGTGAAAAGTGCAAGTGTTGAGGACTGTCTGCGGAAATTCGAGGACAAAGTGCAAATTTCAATTAGACGGTCACGCAATCAAGTTCGGCTTGGCAAACCCCACAATGTTGACTGTATTTTTGACAGTTGGCGGAGCAAATTTTACGGTATGAGCAAAAGCGAAAACGAAAATTTCACTCTGAATCCAATTATTCGGTAAAAGAGGGTTATCCGAATATCCGCCGCACTCCGTTAGCGCCGCACTCAACCCAGAAACGAGGCGTTCGAGAACTGGTTAAGGAGGTCGGGTAAACATAACAACTGAAGTAAACTACAAAAAAATCTGAAATTTATTCGGTGTAAAAAGTCTTGGGATCCCTCTCGCAACGAAAACTTATCATCCAAATCGGATTTTTTGATTTTTGCAACGTTTGTTGACACTTCGCAGCAATCGATAATTTTTGTGACATTTCGTCAAACTATTTGAATCGTCGAGAATCCAAAAAAATACTGGAAACCACGGCGCACGGCAACCCGAAGTGTTTCCTGGCTCCTTTCGACACTTCGCCCATTTTGTATCGGTTGAAATCAAACAAAATGTCAAAAAAGAATTTTTCGTGGGATTTTCCGACCGAAAAATATTTTTCTCGGAATTATTTTATTTCTTTTGTCAATTTTGGCACTTCGTTTGGACGAAACTCAAAAGTGGGCGGGAAACATTTTTCTTCTATTTCGGGTTGCCGTGCGGCGGTTTCACACAACAGAAAAGCGGGAACTTCGTTTTGTCCTTTTTTGAAGCGGGGGCGCAGCTCGCGGAGGCAAAAAATGACGTTCTTTTACTGTAACTTTTAAACTAACAGTCGAATCGAAAATCGACCAGGGATTTAGAAACTACTTTGTCTTAGCTATATTTTGGTATACAGCATGGCTAAGTAGGTGATCAAATAAAGAGACTTGTCTGTGGCCGAAGGTACATTGGTCATGTTGTAGTAGGTGAAAGTTGATCGTGAGACAAATGCAAAGGTGGTTATGAGGAGTTAGGGTGCTCCTACAACCCAGTAAGCAATAATCGTTTAGAATCGGCGTCGATTTTGCATTAGCGAGGACTTGTGGTACAGTACCCACCATCACCGTATCCACTTTAACTATCAAGGCGTAAGCCAATAAAAGACCATATATTACGCTTAGACTGTGCTTCTCCATCTCTATGTTTATAAATTAAACATTTAACAATTATTTTAGCCTCATATAACCACAGCTGGTTTTCATCGGGTATGCCACTATATATGTACAATATTGCTGTAAGCAGCGTTTAAAAAAAAGTTTCGGTTTTTGTTGGTCCCATAGGTTCTAATGCTTCCTTTACATCTTTGAACGGGTTTGCTTACTCTATTTAATTAAAATACGGCCTGATTGCTGGTTTAATATTCATTTAAGTAAGCATGTTAACCGTCACTTCATTTGATGATTTTAGAAATCTTAATGTGAATTCTGAATTAATTATTGGTCTGAAAAGATCAAGAAAATTTTTTTTATTCTTTTAGTATCAATTACATCACACTTCTGATGAAACTGTACGATTTCTTACTAAACATGTTTCATCGTATACCTTCCTCTGCAAGCTGCGCGTTTTTTATTTTTTTCCCACCACGAAATAGACCTTTGAAACCGCCGTGGAAACGTAGAAGAATCAAGTGCTGGAGGCGCTAATTTGCCACATTTTGCGGAGTTATCTGTATTTTATAGCCGAAATTTTGATATTGAACACCTGTTCTCTTTGGTACCTAAAATTTTTTGAAAAATTTGTTACTTTCTTTTCATCTAGCGCAACATGGCGTCTCTCAGACCTCTCCGAATCCACATTGACCGATGGACCATGGGTATTTATGTTTTTGACATTATGTTTTCACTTTTAGAGCTCTTCGGATATTGCTTTAGGTCCAAATGACCTCTTCGCCTCGTTCTTCTTCTTCAATCACTCCGTAGGTGTTCCGATTAAATAATCGCAACAACTGTTTCATTGTCGATTGGATAATGGCTGTTTTTTTGAGGCTGAAACTCATGAGGTTTTTCTTGGGGATAAGTGGATTTTGTCCGATTGTTTTGATCTAATTTGAGAGAGGAAAATAGATCAAATGTGAAGTTTTGAACGTAGGTAACAACGTAAATCCAGTGTAGAAGCTTCAGCCGAAGGGAGGATTCTTTATTTTTAATTTTGAATAGATTTTTCGGAAACTTTTTAATGATGACAGACGTCATGGATAATATCAGGTGTTCCTCGATTTTTTAAGGTTGCCCAAACACGTGATTGTTCTTTAGAGGTGGCAGATTTTGCGGAGATGGTTTGAATTATCTTTTCACGGCCGTTCGGGCTGTTTCTTTTTATTTTTGGGCCATTTTTTATAACCTTATGTATCATGTGTAATATTGGGTTGTTTTGCGTCCGATTTGGTTCAAAACTGGTGGAATTATGTATTATTATGTTGAAAATTCCCTTTCTTTGCTGTTGAACGTTATTTTCCGGCTATGTAATTGCGTGATGCGGTGATATAACGTAATTGGCGCCATCAACATCTTATTTTAGGTGGATTTGTACGAAAATTCTTCAAGTAGTGTAACAAACTTGTTGAATTTCAGTGTCCGATGGATAACTCACACGCCCGAAGCGCTCGGGAAGTTCTCGAGTACTTTGGGACCGGCCCAGATGGCCTTAACCCAGAGCAAATCGAGAAATTGCGGGAAAAGTATGGGTCGAACGGTAAGAATTTTTCTTTTTTGTTGGCTTTTAGGTAAAGTGATCTTTGAATTATGTGTAACCAATCTAATCCTTCTCAGAGATGCCCAGCGAGGAGGGAAAACCTCTTTGGAAGTTGATTTTGGAACAGTTTGACGACTTGTTGGTCAAAATTCTCCTGTCGGCCGCTGCGATTTCCTTCATCTTGGCTTGTTTCGAAGAGCACGACGACGATTCACACGCACTGACGGCTTTCGTGGAGCCGTTTGTAATCTTGTTGATTCTGATCGCGAACGCTACGGTGGGCGTTTGGCAAGAGAGGAATGCAGAGTCAGCCATCGAGGCTCTAAAAGAGTACGAACCGGAGATGGCGAAGGTGATTCGAAGTGGGAATGCTGGAGTTCAGATGATCAGAGCCAAGGAATTGGTCCCTGGAGATCTTGTGGAAGTGTCTGGTAGGAATTTTTGATTATTTTTTGAAATTTAGGTGAAGTGTAATATAAATTTTTTTATTTTTCTAGTCGGTGATAAGGTCCCGGCGGATCTCCGATTACTGGAAATTCATTCAACAACTATTCGAATTGACCAGTCGATTTTGACGGGCGAATCTGTCTCGGTGACAAAGAATCTGGACGTTGTTGATGATCCAAGAGCAGTAAATCAAGACAAAAAGAACTGTTTGTTCTCGGGGACGAATGTTGCCTCAGGCAAAGCAAGGGGAATTGTGGTCGGAACTGGTCTAAAGTAGGTCAATTTTATGTAAATTTGGATTTTTAGAGACCAAAATACGAGTAATTTTACATGACTTCATCCAATCATTTTTAGCACTGAGATCGGAAAAATTCGAACCGAAATGGTTGAAACTGAAGCCGAAAAGACGCCGCTACAACAAAAATTGGATGAGTTTGGAGAACAGCTCTCTAAAGTAATATCCGTTATCTGCGTTGCGGTCTGGGCAATCAACATCGGGCACTTCAACGACCCAGTTCATGGTGGATCTTGGCTGAAAGGAGCTGTCTATTATTTTAAAGTGAGTAATTTGTGGTTTTTTTATATTGTAGTAGGTGACTGAAGCGGAAATTTTGATAAATGTATGGTGGGAAATAAAATTTCTGGGATATTTGAGGATAATTTTATCATCTCCAGAATGACATTAGTTTGCTCAAAGGCAACGGGGAACGACGATTGGGAAAATTGAAAAGTATTATTGTTCTTCGATGTAAGTGTCGAAATTAGGATAATCGATGGTGCTGATTTTGAAAATGACATTCATTTTTTTGATTGTTACTTTTTTCCTTATGTAGTTACTGTAAAGTAGTAATTTTTTGAACTTTTTTTCACAAATGGTCGATTTAGGGGTTTTCGATGGTGGTGATTCCGAAAATCTTATTCGTTTTTTCTGATTTGAAATCAGCACCATCGAAAACCCCTAAATCGATTATTTGTGAAAAAAGTTCAAAAAATTACTACTTTACAGTACTACTTAAGGAAAAAAGTAACACTGGAAAAAATGAATGTCATTTTCAAAATCAGCACCATCGATTATCCGAATTTCGGCACTTACATCGAAGAAAAATAATACTTTTCAATTTCCTCAATCGTCTTTTCCCCCAATCGACGGCGTTCCCAAGGCAAAATTTTCAGATCGCCGTCGCCCTTGCCGTCGCCGCAATCCCAGAAGGTCTCCCCGCCGTCATCACGACTTGTTTGGCCTTGGGAACGCGCCGCATGGCCAAGAAGCACGCGATCGTCCGATCACTCCCGTCGGTGGAGACCCTCGGCTGCACTTCAGTGATCTGCTCGGACAAGACTGGCACCCTCACAACGAATCAAATGTCCGTTTCGAAAATGTTCACCATAGCCGGAATCAAGGACGACACGCTGAAGTTTGAGGAATTCGAAATCACCGGAAGCACCTACGAACCGAAAGGAGACGTAAAACATGGAGGAAGAGTAGCGAAAGCCAGTGATTTCAAAGGATTAACGGAGCTGGCAACCATCTGCAGCTTGTGTAACGACTCCTCAGTGGATTATAATGAAGCCAAAAGGACGTATGAGAAGGTGGGGGAAATCTGGCGGAGAATTTGATGTTTTAATGTACAGGGTCTTTCAAGAAACGTGAAGGAAAGTCGGAGGCTATAACTTCCGGCGGAGGCGGCGCAGAGACTTGGTTTTTGAAATATGTATTTTTAAGCGACGTTAATTTTTGCCTATGAAATAACAAGATTTTAAAATGCAAACTGATGTCGCTGCGACCTTCTGAAGTAGGCCACTTTTGCCCCGAAAACCATTGTTTTTTCGGTTGAAAATGATCGAGAAATGTCGGATTGTTCTGGGGGTTTTGATAGAGTTGATGTGGAAAAAAGGGAGGGAAATTTCCAACGTGTCGGAAATGTCGGTAGCGGAACTTTAGTATAATTTACAACTTGTTGGAAATTTCCCTCCCTTTTTTCAACATCAACTCTATCAAAACCCCCAAAACAATCCGACATTTCTCGATCATTTTCAACCGAAAAAGACTGGTTTTCGCGGTAGAAATGCCCCTACTTCAGAAGGTCGTAGCGACCTCAGTTTGCACTTAAAAATCTTGTTATTTCGTCGGCAAAAATTAATGTTGCTTAAAAATACATATTCCAAAAACGAAGTCTCTGCGCCGCCTCCGCCGGAAGTTATAGCCTCCGACTTTCCTTCACGTTTCTTGAAAGACCCTGTACATTAAAACATCAAATTCTCCGCCATATTTTTCCCCACCTTTTTTATATTACAGGTAGGAGAAGCCACCGAAACCGCCCTCACAGTCCTCGTCGAGAAGATGAACGTCTTCAACACCGACAAAACCGGACTCTCGCCCCGTGACCTGGCCAACGCCTGCAACCGCGTGATCCAACAGAAATGGTCGAAGCGCTTCACCCTCGAGTTCAGCCGCGATCGCAAGTCCATGAGTGTGTTCTGCGAACGCCGGCCGGACGGCGCTGCCCAAGTCTTCGTGAAAGGCGCACCAGAGTCGGTCCTCGCACGCTGCACCTACGCCCGAGTGGAGGGAAAAACGGTGGAAATGAAGAAGGAAATGGAAAAACAGATTGTCGACAGATGTGTTCAGTACGGAACCGGCAAGGACACGCTCAGATGTATTGCATTGGGAACCATTGATGAGCCGGAAAATATTGAAGGGTATGTCATGGTGAATATAAAAAAGGTCTCCAATGGATGGGCGAAAATTTTTAGGAGTCTTTGTAGTATTTTATGGCTCGTATACGGCTAAAAAACTGGGAAATTGTCTTTATTACGAGTTGTTTTACGCCAGAGGAAGACTTGACGCAAATTGGGTCAAATCTCCCTTTTTCTTGATTGGCGGTATTTTCCGATTTTAGCAGGTTGCATGACTTGTTACAAGTAAAATTTCAAGCTTTTTTTACTTTCAGTATTTTTGCTTTCGAGGGAAACACTTGACCCGAACCATGTCAAGTCTTCCTTTACTGCGCTTTCACAGCAATTTTCGTTTGATAATTACAGAATGGCCCTCGATGACCCCTCCAAATTCATTGAAATCGAACAGAACATCACTTTTGTGGGCGTGGTTGGCATGCTTGACCCTCCCAGACTCGAAGTTTCATCGTCAATTGAATCATGTCGCCGCGCCGGAATCCGCGTCATCATGATCACCGGAGACAACAAGAACACGGCCGAAGCCATTGGCCGCAGAATTGGCCTCTTTTCGGATTCGGAATCCACGGATGGGAAGTCATTCACGGGCCGGGAATTCGATGATTTGAGCAAGGAAGAACAAGCCGCAGCCTGCGCCCACGCCAAGCTGTTCGCCAGAGTGGAGCCGGCTCATAAGAGCAGAATCGTAGAGTATCTACAGGTGAGATTTTTCTTTATTTTTTGCTTATTGTTTTAGGCCCAAGGCGAGATCACCGCGATGACCGGCGACGGCGTGAACGACGCGCCGGCCCTGAAAAAGGCCGAAATCGGCATTGCGATGGGCTCGGGAACGGCGGTCGCGAAGTCCGCCGCCGAAATGGTCCTCGCCGACGACAATTTCTCGACAATTGTCTCGGCCGTGGAGGAAGGAAGAGCCATCTACAACAACATGAAGCAGTTCATCCGATACCTAATTTCGTCCAATGTCGGAGAAGTGGTCTCAATCTTTCTGGTGGCGGCCCTTGGAATCCCCGAAGCATTGATTCCGGTCCAATTGTTGTGGGTGAACCTGGTCACGGATGGCCTTCCAGCAACGGCTTTGGGCTTCAACCCACCGGATTTGGACATCATGGAGAAGAAACCGCGCTCAGCGGAGGATCGACTGATCTCCAAATGGCTGTTGTTTAGATATATGGTGATTGGAAGTAAGAAACGGGGGTTTTTTTTGAAAAAAATTGGATTTTCTATATTATACTAGGGATTTTTTTCAATTTTTGATGTTAATCTTATATTTTTTAGCCTATGTTGGAGTTGCAACGGTCCTCGCTTCGGTTTGGTGGTTCCTATATTCCCCGGAAGGCCCGCAGATCTCGTATTATCAACTGAGTCACTACATGAAATGTGGAATTGAACCCGAAGACTTTGAAGACATTGATTGTTTCGTCTTCAAAAACGATCATCCCAACACCTTGGCTTTGTCGGTATTGGTGGTGATCGAGATGATGAACGCGTTGAATAGGTGTGTTGAGTTTTGAAAATTTTGGATTTTTCACCAGGTTCGACTGGGGAAAAGACAATCGGGAAACTGAAAAGTTGCCTCCTATATGGTCCACCTTTGAGCCCGAGAAATAATAAAAATTTTATTGTCAAAAAAAAATTAAACACAGTTTTGTAAAGGAGAAAAAACTGTATCAAATAAATATATTTGCTTTGCCAAACAACAAACAATCTTTGTAAAACAAAGCAATAAAAAAACGACCGAACTTTCTGAACAACCTAATATTTTTCTTCGGTGTAGTTGTCGAAATTAGGATAATGGGTGGTGCTGATTTCGAAAATGACATTCATTTTTTATCGTTACTATTTTGCTTAAATAGTACTGTAAAGTAATTTTTTGAAGTTTTTTACAAATACTCGATTTGGGGGTTTTTGACAGTGCTGATTCAAAATGAGAAAAAATGGATAAGATTTTCGGAATCAGCGCACTATCGAAGACCCCTAAATCGAGCATTTGGAAAAAAACAAAAAATACTGCTTTACAGTACTACTTTAGCAAAATAGTAACGGTCAAAAAATGGGTGTCATTTTCGAAATCAGCGCCATCGATTATCCTAATTTCGACAATTACATCGAAGAAAAATACTATTTTTCAGTTTCTCCGATTGTCTTTTCCACCCAGTTGTCTTTTCCCCCAATTGACGACGTTCGCTAAATTTGATGTGCCGAGTTTTCAATGTCCATTCCAGCTTGTCGGAGAACCAATCCCTCCTCGTAATGCCCCCATGGAAGAACCTTTGGCTCTGCGGCGCCATCGCCCTCTCAATGCTCCTCCACTTTGCGATCGTCTACATCGTATTCCTGGCCAATGTCTTCCAATTAGCCCCACTCTCCTTCAACGAATGGATTTTGGTATTGGGAATTTCATTTCCGGTCCTATTAATCGACGAATTGCTGAAGTTTGTGGCCAGAAATTACGTGGAAATTGAAGGAAACAAGGTAAAAGGAGAGTAGAAATTATGTTGTTAGTTATTTTGATGGATTGTGATTTGTAATAAAAGTAACTGTTTTTTGTTTTAATTGGCACTGTATCAATTTCCTAAAGAGCTAAAATTTTTATCAATTTGGAAGTAATTTTGATAGAAAAAGGTTTGAAATTTTTGTCATGGAGAATATAAAGTTTAGTCTCATATGAAAGAAATTTCCAGAATGGCCATTTTGGACCATAAATAGCTCTGCAAAACCATGAACACGTTTCTTTTTATGGTATCTGCGATTTCGGTCACATTTCGTATAAAATGTCTCCTTTCGTATAAAATGTCTCCGCAAAAAGCAGGGCGCAGCTCGGAAAAAAGACATATTTTGGGATATTTTGGAAGATTTTAATCTTAAATTAAATTGCGATAAGAAAACCTTTTTCAGCCAGTGTTTATACCGTATATATCGAAAATCGACGATCTTTTGTCGAATTTAAACTGAAAGTCTTCAATTTATGGCTTTTACAATCGAATTTGTCCAAATTTGCCCTTGTTTTGAGGTGATGGTACTCCACAAAAGGCAACTGTCGATAATCATCTAAATTAGTCAAAACCGCCCGTTGAAAATGCTGTCGCTTGTACAGGTGTTCGTGCCAACATCCAATCGCTCCAAAATCGACGCTAGGCATTACTTTGTTCACTGTGAAATGCGGCGACTTTTGGAAGACCTCGTGGAGATCGCTCATTCCCATAATGCAAATAAAATGTCAGGTTTTATAAGAGCATGTGCCGTTTAGAGACCATTGAGTGTATCTGCAAAAGTAATTCGTCTTACGGGTGTTTCCATTCTTAGGATTGGCGCTACGAGTTTTCGGGTCAGCGACAGTTCGGGTCGAAGCTACTATAGATCGCGTCGGTTCGTCGTTGCATGTATGGGGAAGCTAGTACAAGGCTTACTTATTTAGCAAAAATAATAAGATTGATCGGGTCCTAGGTTAGCTTATCACCTATTTTCAGGTATTTTACATGTACTCAAATCAATGATATCAAGATGAAAGTTACGGATCCTCGTTTTTGGTCTTTTAAAATATAAAAAATCCATATTATGGTATACTGGTTGCAAAAATAGCTTTCCACCTTCGTATCTTGGGAACCGCTGTGCCGAGAACGTCCAAAGTCGGCATAGAATTATTGTGGGATAATCTAATGCTACACCCAAAAAATCATACCATTTTATTTTTTGAGGTATTTACGACCAGTATACAATAACTCAGGGTAAAGAAGACTAACGTTAGTAATAACCAGAGATTGCCACGGTCAAAATTTTGGCTCCGGCTCTTAGCTCCCAGAGCCGGAGCTGAGGCCAAATTTGCAGCTCCGGCTCCGGCTCTTGGCTCCGTGCAAAATTTAAAAAGGCCTCCGGCTCCGAATCCCGGCTCCTATGCAAAATCTTTTTTTTAAAATATTTTTCCAAAAATAAAAGTTATTAGTGCCAGAGATCATACAGCCAACGTTTTTGCAGTCAAGTCACATCCTCTGCAGTGTTTTTCAAGCAATTTGGTTTAACAAGATCACGAAATTTTTACTTTTCTGACCGCTGGGAACCCTGGCTCCGACTTTGAGCTCGGGAGCCGGAGCCGACCCCAAAATTTCCGGCTCTGGCTCCCGGCTCGGAGCCGGAGCCGCTCAGAGCCGGAGCCAAGAGCCGGCTCAGGAGCCGTGGCAATCTCTGGTAATAACTAAAATCAGAAAAAGGGGACATATTGCAAGTCTTCACCAAGTCTCCGCCGACCGTCCGCCGACCGCCCAACGGCTTTGTGAGGCCTCGCAGGCACTTCCTACAACCTTGTTTTGGGTATCCACTTGCCCTACGGCCCGTATCGGTCGATTTGGTATAGACCCGAACTGCCAACGACCCGAAGAGTCGGGTCTCGAAAAAGGGCGTAAAGGTATAATACTTTCATTTTACATTAGACTCTTTTCAGTAAAATCCTTCTCCTTACCGAACCATTGACTGAAAACTGATTTTCTTCAGACACTTGGTCGTAAAGCCCCCGGGCAGTCCGATCGCATCATTCGCATTCAAACTGCTGGTAAAGAACTCCTCTTCATGGCCGTCGCCATTAAATTTCTCCAACATTGTGGTTATATTTAGCTTCTGAATAGAAAAATTGGAATAATCAGCTATAACATTACAGCAAAAATGTAATCCACTGCGTCGAACGTCAACACCGCCTGATTGTAGCCTTTCACATTGACCAGAACATTGTTGAGCGATTTTTCCGTGGCTGAAATTTTTTTTTTTATTTTCTCAGCGGCGATGCGATTTTCGCTTCGACAGAGTGCTCATTATTTTCCCGACACACTGGTATTTTTAGCCTTACCATCTCGGAAAAGCCCCAACTCATCAAACGTGTAATTCTTCAACTGTTCCCTTCGCCAACGGGCCAATCTCTTCACCGACACTGCATGCACATCGTTGGCGCCATCATAAGCTCGTAAAATTTGAGTCAGTTCGTAATTGGTCTTGATCAAGATGTCGTGATTCTGGAAACAGCATTTTAATGTGACAGAGTTGTTTTATCAATCTGTCGGGAAAATAATGCGCAATTCGTCGCATCAAAACTCGCATCCTCAAGAAAATAAATTGTGTCGCGGCAAAATCAATTTGTTTTTCACTTCAGCGACACGATATTTCACTCATTACTTTCCCGACAGACTGATGCTCCACTTTACAGCTTGATTTCTCCCTTACCTCCAACAAAAAGACGTATTTCCATTCCTTCCTCGTGTTCATTAACAATCTCAGGCCGTGATATTGAGCTATGACTATGTTCCGACCCATTGAGCTCATGTCAAACTCTTCTGCCGCAACTATGACATTCTCAAAGCAGTTGGCCAGAGAGCGCAGTCGGGTTTTGAAGACTTCGGACGCCTTCGAATCAATGACAAAACAATAAAAGTTGTTTGGGCTGTAGTGAGTTGAAAGCTCCATCTCCAGCCAGGTGTAGTCCTGAAAGAGCTGATTCTGTCGAGAAAATAATGAGCACAATGTCGCTGCGCCTAATAATCGTCGCTGAAGCAAAAAACAATTGGATTTTGCCGCGACACAATTCGTTTTCTCGCCGGCAATGCGAGTTTGCGTTCATTATTGTTCTGTCGGGAAAATAATGTGGAATTGTCGCAGCACAATTTCTGGCTTCATCGCAGACGCACCAAATCTCCTGCCCCGGCTTGCCCTCGCAAAATGATCGTGGGAGTTTCAAAGCTGGACTAATCCACATTATTTTCCCGACAAACTGATGTGCCGCCAATGCCATATTTGCAAAAATGCAAAAAATTTTTAAATTTACTTGCCATGTACACCGTTTTCACAAATGCCAATGGAAAGTCTTCCTCTTCTTCGTAAGTTTTCTCAACGAAATTTCGTCGTCTTCTAATTGCTTTGCAATTCATCGCCAACTGTGACGGATCCTCAAACGAAATCGGGGAATACGACGCAGAACCGCCTTCCATCAACTTTCCACAACTCAGATTTGCCAATAAACGATGGGGCTTATACGGCGACACTGTTTCCTCAGTGCAAATCTGCTTGTAGTCGCGGGTGATCAAATAAAAGCAAATAATAGTAAAAAGACTCGTCCATAATACCAGGAACGTGAGGAAATAGAATTGCGTGGCTTCCAGCTTTCCAAACATCGTGTTTGACATAGTTGCGAAGCGGTGAGAGGATAAACAAACCCGTAATCCGGATACGTACAAAATCGGGCTTTGAACGTTTCGTTAGTGAGCAAAAGGTCGCTTGATTTTATTCGGCAATTCATTAATGCATAACATGGGAAGAGCATCAAAAGCAGTTTTAGAAAGTCGCATTCTGCTTAAAATTGCATCAAGTTTTAACAATGTCGCAGCGCAGATAGTCCAGCCAAGTAGCAGAAGAAGGGGACGTTCATTACGACCTTCTTCAGCAGTTCACGCAATTGATCAATGTCCTCAGGAGCAAGAATCATCCGTTCGCCAAGAGCCCCGACACCCTCAAGCAGTCCATGTTCGAGCTGTGGTTTGGGATGTTCTCCAGAGGCAAGGGAAAGTTGGATTCCTCGGCTTTCGAGCATGCTTTCCTCGGCGGGGTGAGCGGGCCATCATATATCAGTTTGTCTGGAAATAATGAGCGCTCTGTCATGTAGCAAATCGCGCTGCTGATGTGAAAAGTAATGCGATTTTTCCGCGACACAATCCATTTTCTTCCTGCTGAAATCAAGTAAAATATATAAGGGAAAATAAATAAAACTTATAGCGTCCAGGTCATACGTTTTGCTCTGGCTTCTGTTTTAACAACGCCAATGCAAACGTGCGTCAATTCCTTTTGACTTCTATTTTTGTGAGTTCAGCGCTTGTCTCCGAATATGCCAGTCCCTATCCGTGCAGTCCTATTTGGGATAGAGCGTACGTTTAGCGTCATTGTTCGAAGACGAGTCAAGTGCACGTTTGACCTAATAAACATGATCGTTCTACACGCACATTCCGCATGCTATGACCTCAGCAGTAGGCGTTGTGCTGTCTTGTAGGTTGCGCCTTCCAAGTTAACATGTGATCAAACAAGGCGCCTTTAAAAAGGCTTTAAAAGACTTCCGAAATCATTTTTTGAATGTTGGACCGTTGGGCCATGTGGCTGTGTATTTTTGTTCTCTCGTTGTGTTATCATCACGGCAATGCCGTCGTTCGGGCGTTGGACCTGACCGACGCCGAGATCAAGGACTTGGCGCAGAAAATGAGAGATGCGGACTATGACAGGCCCAAGTTCGACACAGAGTTCCTCGTGAATTTTCACGATTACAAGAACAAAAGCATTAACTACGCCTCGAAACCGTGAGTTCATGGCAATAAATAATATCAGTCTGTCGGGGAAATAATAAGCACAATGTCGCTACGCCCACGACACAATTCATTTTTTTGGTGGCGACGCGATTTTCGTTGCGACAGAGTGCTCATTATTTTCCCGACAGAACAATAAAGTTCAAGGACTTTTGTCGCGCTTCGCACCGTGCACCAAAGACACCCCACACATCAGATACAAAATTTTTTTACTTAAATCGAGAAATCTGATTTGGAGGTTCTATTAGCATTGGTCCATATATGGGAGGTGCTTTATAAATTTCAGCGCACTTGTCTGTTCGACCCCTGCGGATTTCGTCCAAAGTTAACTTTGGACGAAATTCGCCCAATCTCGTCCAAAAATTTCATGGACTTTTTGCCGGATCCAAAGTGTGGACTAAATCTGCCGGTATTAGTCCAGGCAAATTTGTTCCCGTGGACTTTTGCTTTTTCGTCCATCTAGATAGACGAAGTCCACTCCGTGGACTAAGTCCAAAGTTTGGATTTTTTTACATTTTTGGTTGGAAGATCAAAATTTGACTTTTGAAATCTGTGTATGTTGTACTAGGTATTATACATATTTTTTGGGGCGGAGGGGGTGGAAAAAAGTGGTGAGGGGGGACCAAGAACAAATTTTTCCTCTAGGAAGCGAAATTTTTACAGGACTGCCTGTGCATCCTATTTATTATATTGTACTAGCAAAAAAGTGGTAAAAGGGGACCGAGGCCAAATTTTTGCTGTAAGAAGCGAAATCTTTTACAGAGCTGCCAGTTCAGGCATTTTAGTATATTGTACTAGGTATTTTTACGAGTTATTGGTTGAATTCAGCTAGTTCTCAAGACGAAACCGTCTATTTGATCATACTGATTTATTTTTGACATCCTAAATGTTCTTTAGGATGTCAAAACAGCCAATGTACTCTAGAAAAAAACCAACTGCGAGTAAGGGGCCGACAAGAAACAAAAATTAACGATGTAAAACATCGTTGACTCCGCGCATATAGCTAAAAAAACACGTGAAGACTGTAAAATACAGCCGTAATCAAGTTAAAAGCCAGGAGAACAAAGAAATACATGAAGAAAAACTTGGTAACAAAAAATTTTGACAGTGAAATCTGTCAAATCACAGGGCGCAAATTGCGGAGCCTAGCGTAGTCCCGAAAATATGTCAGGATGACACCCGTTTAAAACGCGGCAGTCTATTAAAAACGGTTGTAAATGACTACCAGCACTCCCTAGTGTACTCTGAAAAAGACACCAGGTTCAAAACTTTCGCTCATCCAAACTATGAAGTTTGGATGATGCATTTTCTGAATTTTTTTTGGCGGCGAGAAAAATAAATTTTTCGTCACAAATAAGTTTTCTTCATGGGTAATGTTTTTTTCTGGCTTATAATTATGACCACGGCTGTATTTTACAGTCTTCACGTGTTTTACCTATTTGCGCGGAGTCAACGATGCTTTACATCGTTGATTTTTGTTTCTTGTCGGCCCCTTACTGGCAGTTGGTTTTTTTTTCTTGAGTTTGCGCTAACATTGGCTACTTTGACATGCTAAAGCACATTTAGGATGTCAAAAATAAATCGGTATGTTCAAATAGACGGTTTCGTCTTGAGAACAAGCTGAATTCGGCCAATGACTCTTTAAAATACCTAGTACAATATAAGAAAATGCCTGAACTGGCAGTTCTGTAAAACATTTCGTTTCTTATAGCAAAAATTTGTCCTTGGTCCCCCCTTACCACTTTTTTCCACCCCTCCGCCCCAAAAATCTCAACAGTAACCTTAAAATGTAAAAATACGGGGTGTGACTTCAAATCCCAGAATATTACTATTTTGGACTAAAAATGGCGGATTTAGTCCAAAGTTAACTTTGGATCGAAAACAGCAAATTCAGTTCAAGTCCATGTGATTAGTCCAAGGGTAGGATAAATTCAATTTATCCAAGGAGAGGGGTCCCAAATGGACTTGGTCCATTTGAGGCCCGAAATTTTGAAAAATTCGTCAAGTGGGTGGATTTTTTGATTTCGTCCAGACAAAAAAAAATTTCGTCCACTCTTAGGACGAGATTGAGCGAATTTCGTCCAAAGTTAGCTTTGGACGAAATCCGCAGGGGTCGAACAGACAAGTGCGCTGAAATTTATAAAGCACCTCCCATATATAGGAAATATCCGAAATATTATCAAAATTCGTCTATACAAAAAAAACGTTGATGCGATTTGAAAATTTGGGATTAAAACAGGCGTTTTTGGAACTGAAAACAATTGCGATTGTTGGAATTGCGGGTTTTTCTTCACCAATCATGCTCATTTAGATCTAATCTATCAATTACCGGCTAAAAAAGACGGTTTTCACAGTGTGCCATAACGTCAGCATGTTATACATGACAATATTCACCACTAAATTTTTTAAGGTTTTGAAGCTGCAAATCATTCTTACAAAAAGTGATATTGATTATAAGATCAAATTAGTTTCAAAACATCCGTTTTTACCCTAAAAAGTTCAAAAATTGAGGAACTGGGTTGTTGTATAGATACAGGGTGACCCAAAATAACGGAGACAAAAGATTTCCCGTTTTTTCTGCGACTTATGAAGATTCATGAGTGATTCCTTATTTATACTACAGTACCACGTTAGTGTAGTTTTATATACCGGAAGTTTTGTTGTACGACGCTCTTGTGCCTTGAACCACATCAATATATCCGGTTGACTCGGACCTTTCTGCCCGTGGGGTATTTTTGCGAGAAAGCTGCCTTACTCAAAAAAGAAAATTCGGAATTGTTTGAGATTTGCTGTGCTTAATTATCATAATATAGCCTTTAAAACGGGCCATCTCAACTATCGATGGTTCAAAAGTTACAGCCGAGTATTTTCAGGCAGTTGAAGTGCAAAAATCGGCCTTTTTTGAAAATGTAGGCGTAAAAAGGAGTTTAAACGTTAGATAAGGCAAAATGTAATATGAGTTACTAGAACATGATTAAAGGAACACCATAGAACCAAAAGAGAAACATTTTGTATACTTCTACGGAATGCTATTTGGTAATCACTAGGATTCTGCCTTATTTTTGCCGTAGGCGGAATACCAGTCGAGCCGGTGACACATAAAGACCGAAAGTGCCCTAGGCTGATTCTCAAGAGTCGTATTCATAAATGTACAGGAGCAGAATGCGCCGTTTTTATCTATCTTGTCATTTTGTTATCGATAACCCATCTTTCTCAAAGCCGCGTGCCATGGGGTAGTTCTGGGCGAGAAACTTGTTAAGGAAAATCTGTTGCAACCAGCAAGCAATCACAGCGTTTTCCAGAATTATTGTATTTATGAATAGAATACGTTCTAGCGGTTTTAGCTTTATTCTAAAAAAACTGAATTTTTTATGGAAAAAATTTGGAAAAAATTGCGATCTTCAATGTTGAGATCGGTACCACCGTAGAAATAAAAACCGTAGCCCAGAAACCTACATAATTGCTTGCTTAGAGACGTAGTAGTCTAGCAAAACAAATGAACTTTCCATTTCTGCGGCTGTAGTACAGCCATGCTCTACACAACACAAAGGAACCAAAATTGAGGGCCAAAAAACGGCGCAAGGCATTTTTGTTAAGCTGTAACTTTTTACTGCGACATGATGACTCCGCCAAATTTTCGTGAATTATAGAGAAAGTCTTATAGAATATTACCCACTGTCGCTTGTGTTTTTATAACGCCCGGGTTTCGCGGTGGGACCCTTCAAAAATTTGTCTCCGTTATTTTGGGTCACCCTGTAATGTATAATATCGAAATTTGTACCAAAAAACGGATGATAGGCTTCAAAAAAGGAATTGAAAACTATGTTACTAACTAAAACCGTCGATGGGTCAAAGAAATAATCCGTATGTTTCTCACTTTGCAGGTCTGTATCAATTCCGTATTATCCATGATAGTGAGACCATCTTAGGAGGCTATGTCGCCGGCCGGCGCTTTAGCAACGCGGCAACGTCATTCTAGTTTTTATGAAAAGGGGACACCTTAACAAGTCCAAACGAGGTCTGAGCCCAGCTACTAGTCGCGACATAAAGTCCGTAGAATTTTCTGCACTGTGCATTCACCCAAAAACACATTTTGCACTGTGCAATTTTGTTGATTTTGCCTTATTGTCGCGCGCGATTCCCGTTTTTCGCAGCGACAAATCAACATTTCGGAGCGCGACGGAATTTGGGGGCCGCGAAAAATTCTACGGACTTTATGTCGCGACTAGTACTAGCCCTTTTTTGAATCTTATTTTAATCATGTTGTACATGGTAAAGTTATGAAAACATATGGTGGAGATTCTTTTCCATCTAAAAAGAAATACGTAGCCAACGAAAGGACGTTACTACGGTTTCAAAATATAGATTACCGATGCAGCAAACCTAAATATGAACATGTGAAGACGTATGTTATTCATGCTAAATTGATGGCAAAATGTCATTTAATTTGGCATTATGGACTCTGAAAGGTTTTATAAACTGAGATACCCTATAATGAATGTGTCCATGCAGTGAGCAGCCTTAGCCGTTGCAAAACCGAAAAATTTTTTTGGTATACCAAGTTTGATGTATTACGCCATCATCTCCAAAACTTGCAGACCAATTCTGCCGAAACTTTTCATATAGATAGAAAATAACATTATTGATAACTCCTACGAATCAGATTTCTTAATATAAGTTGCGTATTGGCAAAATTCGAATCAGCGTTTTCAAAAATTCCAAATTTTGCAACCTTTTTGTAGGCTTCCCATGAGGTCGCCAGACCCCAAATTAATTTTTAAAAATAGGTAGATGTCTTTTCTTTAAAACACGATTTCTGACTCGGTGAATTAGCCGTGGACATAGAAATTTTTCGATTTTGAGATTTACAGCTGAATATGTCCGCACCCATCATATAAGTGTGTTCCTGAAGCCTTTTGCCCTAATTCTCCCGTTAACCTAGTTTTATTTACAATTTAAGAAATTTACAGTAACGTAAAATAGCTCAAAATTGAGAAGGCGTAGAGCCGAAAAACTGTGGCCATGTATGTTTTTGGGCACTGGGAATCCAATGGAGGTGATTTCGGATCGAAAGGATTACTGTAACATAGCAAACTTACGCTTCGGCCGCACAAAATCGGCCGTAAAAAAGTTGTTTCTAAAAACCCACAGCTGAATTTTTGATATGTTAATCAGCATAAAATTCTGCCCTAGAAACATTCAAAAAAGTCCAAAAATCCGTGTTGCTATTTTCGTGGTATAGTGGATTTTGACAAAATCTACCAATCTGACGTCCCGGGTTCGAGTCCGGGTGGGCGCAAATCACTGAGAATTGGTCGGGAATGACTTCAATGGAGGGAATATATAAGCTTGAGTTTATTTTAGGTGATTTTGATAAGATTCTGACAGTTTTCAGATTTTTTTGCCTAAAAAAGCCGAAAATACAACTTTTTGACAAATCGTATTTTACACTGCTTTTTTGTGTTCATGACACAATAAGAATGTATATGTAGTGTTTGTAAGGGGTCTCCAACAAGTAGAAACCATTTCCTGAGTATTTGGACATTATACTTGGTATCTGTTAATCTTGCCTCATACAGACATCTGTGGGAACTATAATCTTGGCTAGTGACAACGTAATTCACTGCTTTGTGACCATACTTCACATTTTTTTCAGAAAACGGTTCATTATTGAAGTGATTTTCTTCTATAGAACAATCGATGAAACGCGGAGAAAATTTCATTTTCAAACTAGATTTCTTGTGGTTACCCGCCAAATAATTGAAATGTTATGCTAGTTATACCATTTACGGACAATTTGGCAAGTCAGAGCAAAAGGAAGTGCAATCTGGAAGATCTATCCATTTCCTGCTTATCAGGTGTCAAGTACAACATTAAACAAATTTTTTAACGGGTGGGATTGTCGAAGAACCCCTTAAAATTGTTACATATAAGTTTTTATTGTGCCATGAACACAAAAAAACAGTGTAAAATACGATTTGTCAAAAAGTTGTATTTTCGGCCTTTTTCCACCAAAAAATCTGAAAACTCTTCAGAATCTTATAAAAATCACTTAAAATAAACTCAAGCTTATATATTCTCTCCATTGAAGTCATTCCCGATCAATTCTCAGTGATTTGCGCCCACCCGGACTCGAACCCGGGACGTCAGATTGGTAGATTTTGTCAAAATCCACTATACCACGAAAATAGCAACACGGATTTTTGGACTTTTTTTGAATGTTTCTAGGGCAGAATTTTATGCCGATTAACATATCAAAAATTCAGCTGTGGGTTTTTAGAAAAAACTTTTTTACGGCCGATTTTGTGCGGCCGAAGCGTAAGTTTGCTATGTTACAGTAATCCTTTCGATCCGAAATCACCTCCATTGGATTCCCAGTGCCCAAAAAACATATATGGTAACAATTTTACGGCTCAGTATCTTCTCAATTTTGAGTTATTTGACGTTACTGTAAATTGCTTAAATTGTAAATAAAACAAGGTTAACGGGAGAATTAGGGCAAAAGGCTTCAGGAACACACTTATATGATGGGTGCGGACATATCCAGCTGTAAATCTCAAAATCGAAAATTTCCTATGTCCCGGCCTTGCACACGGCTGATTCAGTGAGTCAGAAATCGTGTTTTAATTTGGTTCATATCTTGGAAGAATGCCGCAATCATACCTTGAAAACTATCAATTTTCCCGAGGCCCATAAAAAATTTTAAAAAAATAAATGCCAAAAATCCTTGGCATTCCGTTTGTATCTGATGTGCCCCATGTTGCACCGTGCATTCCACATTTTTTTCGATTTTTGCACTGTGCGACGAAATATCGCTCTACGTCGCCGCGATTCCGCCCAGACATTTGCACAGTGCAAACCGGTTTTTTGAGGTTTACACTGTGCGAAAAGACGGAATGCACTGCGCGTTAGCGACAAGCGTCGGAAATGGTTGAAATGCACTGTGCGAAAAGACGAAATAAGCGTGTGTCGCAGCGATCTTGTTTGAGGTATCAAATTGCACTGTGCAGCCGATATGAAAATGCTAATATGAAGATACTAATATACATCTTGCAGGTTATTCAATCTTACCCAGCCTTCCCTTCTTGAGCGGCCCGTCTACAAAGCCCTCTTGGATCTGACGGAAGGCTTTTTCACTCCGAGGGTCGGAATCGCCGAAATGTCCAGTGAGAAGAAGGATCAGGCGCAGTTGGCTTTCATTAATAACGTCACTAACAGTAGTCCCTTCATGCAATTATACAATGTCCTCAGGGAGAAGAATCATACGTTCGCCACGGGTAATGCCACCCTCAGTAAGTCCCTGACCGATCTGTGGTTCGGGATGTTCTCCAGATCACAGGTGTTGGATTCCTCGACTTTCGAGCACGTCTTCCTCGGCGAGGTGAGCTGGGGATTATGTAATCATGTATATTATATACCTGTGTCGGGCAAATATCAGTCTGTCGGAAAAATAACGGCGGATCATCGCATCAAAATGTCTCGCCTCGCCGCTATCGCGCACCAAATCCCAAGTCGGGGCTTGCAGTCGCAGAGCGATGTGCTCATTATTTTCCCGATACATACACTGATACAGTGGGGGATCTGATCCAGCGGCAAAAAACGTATCATTTTGCATCCGGGAAGTATCAAAAAATGCGGAAAAATACCTCCCACTACAATAAAAAACTCCATTTTGAAATGCGCACCCCTTCCCTCACAAAAAGCGCGCTTTTTAAATCGGAGTTTCTTCACTCGGGTAGAAATGAGTTTTGCCACATTTTTGACACTTCCCGGATGCAAAATGGTACGTTTTTTGCCACTGGATCAGGTCTCCCACTGTACCTTTTTTAGATCAAGAAGGGACAAGTCATCGGGATGCATAACTGGGTAGTGATGAACAAGTACGAAAACAACGAAACAGATATAAATAAAACCCTCCACTACAGAGGATATATCGAGAAGAGAGCGGTAAGTCATGTCTAGACTTGGCTCTCGGGCCGGCCCGAAAATTGAGAAGAAGTAAAAAACATTAATTCGCTATCAGATGTGACATATTTTTCTTTACTATTATATAACAACTAACAGTACATTTTTAAAGCAAAAAATTACTTGCCAACGCATTGCCTTTTTAAAATATCCCGAGATCCGTTTTCAGACTGTTAAAAATTGCCCCAAGATCAATTTTACATATTCAGCAAAGGTGGAACCACGTTTAACAAGGTTTTCAACTTCAAGATGATAGCGTTGCTTCACACGACTTCTTAACTGTGTTTTTAAGGATGTCGGTTACGTTTATTTTGAGTTTTTGTTCAAAAAATTACTACAAACACTAATATTATACATTAGGGAGACATACCGCAAGTTCGAATCCGCGAGTTCGAATGCCTAAAGTTCGAATGACTAAAGTTCGAACGACCTCCAGTTCGAACTACCTAATGTTCGAATGACCGTAACTTTGAATAACCTAAAGTTCGAATGACTAAAGTTCGAAAATGAAAAAAAAAGTTAATTAATATTTAAATTATAATTTGCATATAATTATTTTGCAAAATACACTTCCTCTTCAATCATTCATTCATTCTCTACGATGGAGGTTGGTGGTGTCGAGCTGATCAAGATTCGTCACGGAGCCAATCCAACTGTGTCGTTCTCGGGATTCGTGGCTTTGTGTGGTGGATATTGCTTCCTTCATATTTGGTAATTTGGTAACCCGTTTTTCCGAGTTCGATTTTCCGTCTTTTTTGAATGAGATCGCAAAGACTTTAAGTTAAAATTATCCTATTTTATAAACAAAATCTATTTTTCTGTTTTAATTCTTTTTTTCATTCTGCATTTTTTATATTTTCATATTTCGAACTTCCGGTTTTCGATCTTTTGGTTTTTCTAATTTGAGGTTTTTCGAACTTCTAGTATTCGAACTTGCAGCATTCGAACTTGCGGCATTCGAACTTTTGGTTGTCGAACTTGGGGTTTTTCGAACTTCCGGTAGGCGGTCATACATTAGTACTTTACAGATTTTACTAGTAAAATTACTTATTATTAGTCATTTTTGAGTACTTCCGTGTATTATTTTTATAAAATTATGCTTACTGTATGAAAAATATGGACCCATTCTTGGCTTTGCGTTTTAATTTTATTGTCAACCCAACTTTTCGCTTTGAAATTCAGAATTTTAATTTTGCCGGGCCGGCCCGGGCCGAAAGTTACGGCCCGGCCCGCGGGCCGGAACAGGTCGGCCCGGCCCGTTTCAATTTTGCTTTGGCCCGGCCCGAACACCGGCCCGGCCAGGCCCGGCCCGGCAGCCAAGTCTAGTCATGTCGCCCAACGATCACACAATTTTACAGGATATCATTATGGGGGCCAACTTTTTATGGGGCAGGCGGAAGAAGCCGTATGGAAGTTTCTTCATTGGGACGTCGCCGGCGTTCGACTTCTCGCTCTTTACGATGTGTATCTTGGCCAGACGGGACGAGAAGTGCGAAGTGAGTTGTGACTTATATTAGTACTAAAAAAAGTCCTGAGAAATTTGCACTTTATGAAAATACTAATAGCATTGACCGCTAAAAAAATTTTAGGTAATAATCGATGAATGCCCAGTGTCTGTGGTTAGCCGTGCCATGCAATGGAATGGAACAAGCGTCATCTCGACCGTCTTTCCGATCCCTGGCAATTCAAGTTGGCGGTGTGATGCCAACTTCGAGCGACGGAAGATGTTGGCGGCTTCACTGAGACCGCCAATTCTTTTCCACGAATTTGCATAGAGTCAAAGGACAAAGCCTTCATAAGATCAATTTCCCCTATTCTCAGAAGTCGGTGTCTCGCTTCTCTCGTGAGAGGTTGTATCTTTCTCGTGTTGGCCCAATAAATATATTCTCCTATCGCTTATTCGTTTATAGAAGACGCTCTCCGGACAGGGGCTCTCTGATCGACCAGGGCATTTCTAGACAACCATCTATTTTCATGTTAAAATCCACGCAGCTTTTACTTGGAGAGAGTAAATATTAGTCTGTCGGTAAAATAACGGCGGATTGTCGCAGCAAAATGTCTCGTCTCGCCGCTATCGCGCACCAAATCCCCAGCCGCGGCTTTCAGTCGCAGAGCGATGATGGGCGATTCCAAGGCGCGACGATCCGCCGTTATTTTCCCGACAGACTGATAGTTACGAATTTCACCGTGGAATTCAAAAATCGCGCGCGACAAACAATTGCACAGTGCAAAAAAACAACAAAATGCACTGTGCACCGCGAAAAAAACCTTTGTCGCGCGGGCCGGGCCGAGAAAATTTGAAGGGGGCCGGGGCCGGGCCGACCTCTTCCGGCCCCCGGGCCGGGCCGCGATTTTCGGCCCGGCCCCCCAGCCATGTCTAGTCGCGCGCGTGCACAGCGCATTTTTCTTACTTTTGCATGGTGCGCCGGCTATTATGATCCATTCTGCACTGCGCAATTGCTTGTCGCGCTCGCGACAAAAATCCTTTGCACAGTGCAATTGTCTCTGACGATATTCCAGTCGCACAGTGCAAAATTTGGGTTTTTTGCACGGTGCGGCCCACGAAAAAAAATCCACGCACTTTTTTAAAAATCGTAGTATCGCGCTGTCGGGAAAATAATGAGCAGATTGTCGCTGCACCAATCGCGTCACTGAAGTGAAAATCAATTTGATTTTATCACGAAAAAATTATTTTCGATGCGATTTTCGCTTCGACAAAGTACTCATTATTTTCCCGGCACACTGGTGTCTTTAGCCTTACCATATCGGAAAAGCTCCAAGTCATCAAACGTGTAATTCTTCAACTGTTCCCTTCGCCAAGGGGCCGATCTTTTCACCGACGCCGGATGCAGCACATCGTTGGCGCCATCATAAGCTCGTAAAATTTGAATCAGTTCGTAATTGGTCTTGATCAAGATGGCGCGATTCTGGAAGCAGCATTTTGATGTGACAGAGTTGTTATACCAGCCTGTCGGGAAAGTAATGAACACTTTGTGGACTGTAATGAGTTGAAAGCTCCATCTCAATCCATATATAGAATGGGAACGTGGTTGGGTCCTTCCTCCAGCCGATTCCAGGTCCCTACTACTTCCCCGATACCAGTGGGACAACCACCCAACTGATCAACTCCCCAAACGCCGAATCCAACAGTTACAGTCGATAGTTTATTGATAGGCCGCGAGCACAATACAAATAAGATACCAACAGATCCAATATTCCTGCGGGGCCAAACGCACGACCGCTTTCTAACCTTCCATTCCAACCCCCGCGCGACGGGTGTTGACATGAAACGAGAGTAAAGTTAATGTAAAAGTCCCTAAAATCCCTAAAATATCCTAAATACCCCATGGCTCCCCCCTCAATCACTAAACGACGTCCCGGCGTTTGCAGAAAGCTTTTTCGCATTCCTGAAACAGGGCCAACATCTCATCAGATTTGACTTTTTACCGGAACATAATAAGTAGATAGAGAATTTGTGAATCAAAAACAGAAATACCCTCAAGATAATACACCAAATTACAATAAAATACGGTATTTCCACAATAAAATAGCAATTTACAATACATTTTGCCATACAGGTCCACATAGTATCGAAAGATTTGAATTTTGTGCCCTTTCCTTTGATTTTCTGGTAAGGTGACGTGATATCTGTCTCAGAGTTTGAGTTTTTAGTCTTTTCATTCCTTTCCAGATCACTAGAATTCATAATTTTGCGGTTTGAGAAGTTTTCGTGACCAAAATTTTCGAATATCTCCTTAAACTTGCATCCTTTCCCTTCGATTCGCGAATAATTTGCTAATCCGGCCGAGGTTTGTTGGTTCAATGCACCATTCAAACATTGAGTTTCTTGAGCAAATTTAAATTTACATCCTTTGGCGGGTAGAAACGAGCTAGAAAAGCGATTGTAGTCTTCGTAATTTTCCGAAATTTGATTATTCTGACCAAGGGTAAGACTTGACATCAACTGGAAAACACATGACTCTGCTAAATTCGCACAATCACTCTCAACTTTCGGGAGATTTGCATCAAGTTCCGAACATTTCTTTCTTATAGGGTCATCTTTTAACCATTCAGCGTAGAGAGAATCATCCAAAATTTCCATAAAGTCAATACTGTCATCATACTTCTCTTTGTTCCAGCTCATGAATACGCTTTTTGACAATTCTGAGGTATAATCCGTCTGGTAATTGGCTTTTGTGTGCGATAATGGTGCTTCTGGTTTGTAAAACAACTCTTCGAAATCTCCATTTTCAAATCCTGAATGATCTTCACCTTTCTCTTCGATGTTGCTATCGGATTCACAAGGTTTCTTACTTTGACATGGCTCATTAGTGGCCGTAAACTTCTCATTGTCTATCTTCACGACCTTTCTTACCTCAGTATTTCTTTTATATCTTTCCATTAGTTGCTGATAGCATCGTAAAAGTTCGTCAAAGTTTTCGTCGTAAGCATCTGTCGGATCAATAATTTCTTTTGGATCACTGCTGCATGTTAAATCTGGGTGTTTATCATGAACAATAGGTGATGAGTTGTTCAAATCAGACTGAGAAAGATCACTTTGACACTGTTCTTGAGATTCTGGAAGGTTTTTTGAAGATAAAACACGTTCTCGTTTCTTCTTGAAGCAACTCTTTTCGAGATGATTCGGCTTTCCACAGAAGTTACAATGTAAATCAAGTTTTTTGATGTCCGATGAGTGCTGTTTCTGAAGTTGGAATGCATTATAGGCCTCGTCTTGAGATGGTAGAGAGTCTCGAATCAAGGTTTGGTCATAATGAGGAAATGTTGAGAAGTAATCAATGTCTTTCTCGTACCCGAATTCCTCCATGAGTGGATCCATAATGTCTCCGAAATAATCCGTACTCTTATTCAAAGCTTGATAGAATTCCAAGATTGGTCCTCGAAGTCGTTTCTCCAATATTTTGCAACGATGTTCAATGTACAGCTCCTCTGTGACAACGAAAATGTTATATAGAATGTCGTAAATAAACTCTTCTTTCTCTTCACCAGTTATGTAAGACATTCGGCCGTTTCTCAAGAGATAAATTTGTTCAAATGTTAATGTATTCATGATGTGTGTGTCTGATAATGCTTTCTTGATGCTTTCTCGATAGAATTCGGTCTTTTCTACTCGCGAATCACAATCAGAATAGTTTTGATGAGGCAAGGAAGGAGTAAAAGGCAATTTTGGCGAGAGATTCGACAATTCTGGAAGATTTTTCTCCATTTTAGGTAACAAATATCCGAAATCAACATCTATCGTACCACTTTCGTTTTTATTCACCTGCATTCTCTTTTCTAAAGGTGGAACAACAAACTTTCAAACGACTTATCCTTATTTCCTTTAGGTCTCGATATTGTACCAGGTCCGCTGGGCTTTTTCGATATTACACTTGATAGATTGGCCAAAATTCACGGTCTTCCTGCAATTAAACTTCAGTAACACAATTCACACGAGTTCTCTATTCTTTCACAACAAATTATAATCAATTACAACCAAAAATTCTTCGGATTTCAACAAAATTTCAAAGCTCACGAAACAAGATCAAAATTCTAGATCAACAACGATAAAATAGGTCCAAACGACACAGAAATAATCACACAGCTAGCGAATCAACCAAACGCAGCTTTCCAATACAATTTCCAAGTAGTTCAAGCCTCTCAAAGACGTATATTGCGTCAAAAATCGTCACGTTCACCTAAAACAATATCTAAAAATCGCAATTTTCTCAATTTCTCGTCAAAATTTTCCAAACAAAGGGTCGTAATAGCTTATTCTCGCTATAAATAGTCTCACTTCACTAAACAATCAGGAATATTCGTGAGTGTATGGCCGCGAAAGTATCAATTATATAAACGTGGTCACAGAAGTTCTTGCATTCGATCTTCGCCGATGAGGCGTAAACCACTGCAAAAATCGATGTGCAGCGATTTGGAAAACCCAGTGTCAACAAACTTGCGAATCTGAGAAAAATCAGTGCGGACTTAATAGCCCTGCACTGATTTTCAGAATTCAGTGCATTTTTAATAAGTCAGTAATGATTTTCTAAATTCAGTGCATTTTTAATAAGAAAGTAATGATTTTTGAAATTCAGTGCATTTTTAATAAGTCAGTAATGATTTTTCAAATTCAGTGCATTTTTAATAAGTCGGCACTGATTTTCAAAATTCAGTGCTGAGTTTAGAGAAGCTCCGCCCCCCTTTCTGCAGCCAATCAGGAGGCAGCTCTAGAAAATTGTCTCCGCCTTCTTGAACTAGGCCTTGCACCATTCAATTTTGAGGTTAAATTAGTCGTTTTTTTTGGGGTTTTCAGATATTCAACATGGTAAATATATAATTTTATCCTTCTAAACAACAACAATCAAAAAACGATTTCAAAAATATATAACGAGTTCCCAAAAACAAATAATAAATAATTTAACGCTATAAAAAGAAGCAACTACACTAAAAGCTCTACCAGAATTGAATTCTACTTAAGAGATCTTCTAAATAATATTAAATGGAACGACTGGTTGAAGGGACAGCTGACGTACGGGTACCATCGGATGTTCGGGGCTGGCTGTGTCTTTTGGCTGGTTCCTGGTAAGTTTGTTCACATCATTTTCAAGAGATGAGCTGGGTTCTTCGGCTTCTTCCGACGGATTTTCCTAAAAAAATTGAGATTTATTGCCAAATCCAGTAATTTCTAGGTCACTAATGGCTGATTTTCACTTTTATTAAACTTCAAAAGCTCAAGGCTTTAATTTCACGCCTTATACTAGATCATCAACAAACTTTTCTACTTCTTTTTCAATTTTCATACCTAAATTTCAAGAACAACAAGAAAAACATACCTGATCGTCGCTGAAACCCAACTCAACGTTCAAACTCGCTTCAATTTGGTCCTCAAAATCTGATGTGTCGTCTTCCGTGCGCAGTATCTCGTCGGATTCCACAGGGTCAACTGAGTTGTTCCATCAGCTACCTAAAAAATAAGAGCCCAAAAGTTGAGCATCAACAAACTTTTCTACTTCTTTTTCAATTTTCATACCTAAATTTCAAGAACAACAAGAAAAACATACCTGATCGTCGATGAAACCCAACTCAACGTTCAAACTCGCTTCAATTTGGTCCTCAAAATCTGATGTGTCGTCTTCCGTGCGCAGTATCTCGTCGGATTCCACAGGGTCAACTGGGTTGTTCCATCAGCTACCTAAAAAATAAGAGCCCAAAAGTTGAGCATCAACAAACTTTTCTACTTCTTTTTCAATTTTCATACCTAAATTTCAAGAACAACAAGAAAAACATACCTGATCGTCGATGAAACCCAACTCAACGTTCAAACTCGCTTCAATTTGGTCCTCAAAATCTGATGTGTGGTCTTCCGTGCGCAGGATCTCGTCGGATTCCACAGGGTCGACTGGGTTGTTCCATCAGCTACCTAAAAAATAAGAGCCAAAAAGTTATATTGTGGCAAAATTTGCCACGAAAGTCGTAAAAAAATACTCTGCTTGTTCCATCAGCTACCTAAAAAATAAGAGCCAAAAAGTTATATTGTGGCAAAATTTGCCACGAAAATCGTAAAAAAATACAAGTTTTGGGCCTAAAAATTACGAAATGATCCGCAAGGACTTGATCCGTGTTTTGTGTCTCGCAGGGAAATTACAGGATTTGTTTGACTCAGACTCTTTTCTTTTGCTGGCTTTTTTTATCTTTTTTCGCGAAGTTTTGTCGCTTGGGTCCTCTGACTGATTTGGGTATTATTTTCAGCTGGGAATGATTTTTATTGGTGTTGATTTGCTCCGTCTGCTTTTACTGCATGCGACAGATGAATATTTGCGCCCCATTTTGTCTGTTCAAGGTAAGTATTTGAATTTTTCTTCTGTTTTTAGGCTTCTTCGAGGAAAACTAACGATAAATTTAGCAGAAAAAATATTTTTTGGTCGGCAGACACCTAAAATATTTGCTTTCCAGAAACGGACGAGATGCAATCGATTATGGAAATATTATGCGAGGTGCGTTCGAAGCGGGCCCGTCGTGGATCAGACATCGCGGATAATTCTTCAAACAACTCGTCAACTGCAATGTTTTCATCGCTCAACTCGGCTTCTGTTGTGTATTTCGTCTTCATGGCGGACAATTTGGAGGATTTCTTCCGGGAGAATGTTGGTATCGTCTTTCCAAAGTCCGTCTGGATGGTTTTCATCTGCATTCTGGTGCTGGGCTTCTGTTCCATTCGAAAGCTCTCGAAATTGGGGCCATTCGCAACCGCAGCCAACGTGATTTACTTGGGCGCAGTGGCGATTGTGGTATATTTCTTCTCCAGCAACCTGAAATCGACGGATGAGCTGACGAAATGAGGAGAATTGCGGGATTTGCCACAATTCTTCGGCACTGTGATGTTCGCCTTCGAAGGTGTTTCGGTGGTAAGTTGGGTTTGAAATTTTTGATTCCGCCTTTAGATCATCGAGAATCGAATGCAATGCCGGCAGAATTTTATTCAGTGGAATGGAGTGCTGAAACCTTCTTGCGGAAGCCACAATCGGAGAAGTGAATAAAGTAAGTCATTAATTTCCATTTTATTATTGCTTAGGTTCAGTTTTTGCATAAATGTCGTATTTTAGCAGACTCCAATTTTGGAACCAGTCAACGACCCATACCGCAATCTTCCAACAGTGGACTTGGAAGCAGAAACCAGTTTGGAGAGCGTCCTCGGTTCCAATCCTCCAATCCAATGTTTGGAGGAAGCCGACCATTGGAAACCGGTCGTCCATCCACGTCGGGACATCGCCAACGACTCAACCCCAACTGGAAGACGATGTGTTTGATGAGGAGAAAGAACGATGGAAACCGTAAAACATCTTGTATTATGTCTCGAAGATAAACTTTCTATAGGATACGGGTTTATTTTTTACATTAGCAACTGGTCATGATTCCAGTAAAGAAAACATAGAAATCATCTTGCTTCCAGTTTCACTTTTGTTGATTCTCCTTCCAAGGATGGAAGTTGTCAAAAAATCTGGATTCTGTTTTATTTGAAAGTATAAGGTGCTTCATAAACCCCATTAGTGGCTACAACGGAGCACGGAGTGAAATCCGCGAAAAAACGGCGTTTTTCTAACGCCTTTTGCGTTCATTTTGAGAGCTGTTACCTGATTGGCTCCAGAAAAAGGGGGCGGAGCTACGGGTCTAAGTCAACACTGAATTTCGAAAATCAGTGCCGACTTATTAAAAATGCACTGAATTTGAAAAATCATTACTGACTTATAAAAAATGCACTGAATTTCAAAAATCATTACTGACTTAAAAAAAATGCACTGAATTTGAAAAATCATTACTGACTTATTAAAAATGCACTGAATTTGAAAAATCATTACTGACTTAAAAAAAATGCACTGAATTTTAAAAATCATTTCCGACCCAAAATTAACCCTGCACTGGGTTTTCCAAATCACTGCACATCGATTTTTGCAGTGGTTTACGCCTCATCGGCGAAGATCGAATGCAAGAACTTCTGTGACCACGTTTATATTATACTTGGCCAGGAGTCGAAATTTTCCAAATTCTTGCGGAAATTCGCTCCAAAAACGGGTATTATCTGCTTTACCACGTTAGATCTGTTTCCTGCTTCAGATCTACAGCTGTTTTGTCTTTACTGCTCAGACACAAACACTGTTTCTTTCAGAGTTCCTCTTTCTGCTATCGAGGTTCTGAATTCTGGAATTTCGCACCTGCTTGTAGCGAAAAACCAGGTCAAATCCCAACCTTACTGCTGGAGGGGATCTGACTCAGATTTGGCCGTTTCTGCTTTTAGCTCAAATCTGATTTCCTTCGGAATTACTGCTCTTCCTTGGGAAATAAAAAACACGATCGGTACACGAACGAAGAGTGGCCGCCGTTAGTGGTCGCCAAATGGGAACGTGGTTGGGTCCTTCCTCCAGCCGATTCCAGGTCCCTACTACTTCCCCGATACCAGTGGGACAACCACCCAACTGATCAACTCCCCAAACGCCGAATCCAACAGTTACAGTCGATAGTTTATTGATAGGCCGCGAGCACAATACAAATAAGATACCAACAGATCCAATATTCCAGCGGGGCCAAACGCACGACCGCTTTCTAACCTTCCATTCCAACCCCCCCTCTTCTTTCGTCCTTCCGCCCACGTTCTCTCTCACATTAGGCTGCTCGTTATCGTTGCGGGACCAAATGAGGGCCCAGATGCGGCTGGCTCCACACGCCCCTCCCATATGTTGACGGCGTCCTCGACGTCACGTTGAGTTGACGTTGTTCGGTGCTGATTGTCACTGGCTTGATTTGACTTGAACTGGTTGGGCCGGGCTCGAACGGGTGGGAAATGGCTTGATTGGACTTGATGTGACTTGAACTGGCGCGACGGGTGTTGACATGAAACGAGGGTAAAGTTAATGTAAAAGTCCCTAAAATCCCAAAGCTGGACAAATCCACATCATTTTCCCGACAGACTGACCTGTCGCCAACGCCATATTTGCAAAAATGCAAAAAATTTTTAAATCTGCCAATGGGAAGTCTTTCTCTTCTTCGTAAGTTTTCTCAACGAAATTTCGTCGTCTTCTAATTGCTTTGCAATTCATCGCCAACTGTGACGGGTCCTTAAACGAAATCGGAGAATTCACTTATACTGCACGTCAAAAGTTTGGAACAGGCCAGATCTTCTTTGCGGCTTGAGATGGGAGTTTCATTTCTTTTTTATTAGAAGCTCCATGTATTAAGAACCTCAATGAACACATAGCCATGGAAATCAGAAAGCTCGTTGAAATTTAAAAAAAAAATTTTAAAAATAAGTGCGTCAAAAGTTTGGAACAGCTTTTGGAAGGTGATTATAAACTTCGGGATGGAGGCAGGTATCCTCGCATTTAGTGTTTCTGGATGATGTATGGAATCGGCATGCCAATGGCATACTGATTTTCATCGATAAACCCAAAATGAAAAAAAATGCTTATTGAGCCAAAAACTACGGTCAAATTTGGGAAAAAAATGAATTTTTTGGTTTGGGTTCTCTATGTTATCGGTGTGTAAGCGTTCTAAGATATTTAATGTGGTCGCACAATTGTACAAGGGCACTCAGACCTTCGCATAGGAACTATATCCGCACAGCATAATTTATGAAAATTTTGATTTTTGCTATGAATCTTTATTTAATGTATTTTATATTTTTTATAGAGCGGCTTGGAGGCTAATTGGCTTTGACACCGTTATCGTTGAATAAAAAGGTGTCTTTAAGAAGCAGAACCTGGCCACTATTTGCAACATCAAGGCCACATCTTTAAAAATAGCGGGTATATGAAATGTTAATATTCCCATATTTTTTACCTTGGATTTGAAGCCGCTGCATGGCTCAAAACTAAGTGCCTTTATCGTTATCACACCGATACACTATTGTATACCAACTCTCCGAATTATCACGCCACAAATCCGGGTCAGATATGAATATTGATTTTGGGGACAAAAATTTTTTTTAATATCTGAAAGATGTGGCCTTGGATGTTGCAAGTAGCGTGGGTTTTTGTTTCTTGAAGACACCTTTTTATTCCACGATAACGGTGTTAAAGCCAATTAGCCTCCAAGCCGCTCTATAAAAAATGTAAAATACATTAAATAAAGATTCATAGCAAAACTCAAAATTTTCATAAATTATGCTGTGCGGATATAGTTCCTATGCGAAGATCTGAGTGCCCTTGCACAATTGTGCGACTACATTAAATATCTTAGAACGCTTACACACCGATAACATAGAGAACCCAAACCAAAAAATTCATTTTTTTCCCAAATTTGACCGTAGTTTTTGGCTCAATAAGCATTTTTTTTCATTTTGGGTTTATCGATGAAAATCAGTATGCCATTGGCATGCCGATTCCATACATCATCCAGAAACACTAAATGCGAGGATACCTGCCTCCATCCCGAAGTTTATAATCACCTTCCAAAAGCTGTTCCAAACTTTTGACGCACTTATTTTTAAATTTTTTTTTTTAAATTTCAACGAGCTTTCTGATTTCCATGGCTATGTGTTCATTGAGGTTCTTAATACATGGAGCTTCTAATAAAAAAGAAATGAAACTCCCATCTCAAGCCGCAAAGAAGATCTGGCCTGTTCCAAACTTTTGACGTGCAGTATACTTGCAGTCGCGGGTGATCAGATAAAAGCAAGTAATAGTAAAAAGACTCGTCCATATTACCAGGAACGTGAGGAATTAGAATTGTGTGGCTTCCAGCTTTCTAAACATCGCGTTTGACAAGGTTGCGAAGCGATGTGAGGATAAACAAACCCGTAATCCGGATACGAACAGGGTCGGGCTTTGAACGTATCGTTAGTTAGCAGAAGGTCGCTTGATTTTATGCGGCAATTCATTCATGCATAACATGGGAAGAGCATAAGAAGTAGATTAAAAAATATAATGTTTGAAAACCAAATTATGGCTAAAGGTAGAATAGGCTTTTAGCTTTATTGTAATAGTATAAATTTCGAACCAGAAACATCGAGTTCCACCAAATTTTTATGTTGTACTTGCTTCACGTATTTGGCCACTCGGTCAAGCAGCTATTCCTTAAAATTAGTCCTATTTTCATGGCATAACCTAGTGGCCAGTCCTAAACCTATACCTGTCCATTTTTTGGCGAGTTTGCACAAAAAAAAAGGAAAATCGACTTACACTATCCATGGTACAACAAACCTCACTACATTTCAAAATTTGGTGCTTTATCCGAGCAGAAAATGGGAAATCTAGACATCAAATCGAACGGGGCAGCCTGCTCTCGGTAAAAATTCCCTTTTTGGACAAATTCCATCTTGTCTTCATTCAGAAATTATATCTTGAACATTGACGAAAAACAAAAAAAAACTCGAGAAGAAAATCCTTGGTCAACTGTTCCCCCGAAACCCTGCACCGAATTCCGAAATTCGGTGCCGACTTAGGGCTTCGGTGCAGACTTAAGACTTTGTGCACCGATTTCGAAAAACGCGCGTTGGGTTTATCAGTCTGTCGGAAAAATAACGGCGGATCGTCGCATCAAAATGTCTTGCCTCGCCGCTCGCGCACGAAATCCCCAGTATTTTCACGACAGACTGATAGAAAAAATGCACCGGATATCGGAATTGGGTGCCGAGAAAAAATCGATTTGGGCGTTGACTTTTTTGTGCACCGAAAATCGCGATTTGGGAAAAGAAATTATACGGGGCTAAGGTAGTACAACCCCCCAGTCCACTTCAGCCCCCCATGACCCAGTACAAGCCCCCTCCTTCCATCTGAACCACCTACTCGGGATTGGGTTCTCTCGGCTACGATCATCGCTGCCTGAACCACAAGAACGAATTTGGACGGTAACTGGGGGTTTGAGCTAAAACGCCGGGGGCCATTTTACTCTAATTTGCATTTTTTGTATTATTCTAATTTTTTCATTATGAGGGATGTGAAATGGGCAAAACACTGGGGGTTTGAACTACCTTTCTTGGGGGGCTGAACTACCAAAGCCCCAATTATACTCTTATATGACCACCTATATATAACCTGGACGCTATAGGTTTTATCAGTCCGTCGGGAAAATATTAGCGGGCTGGTGGCCCATCACCGCTCTGCGACGGCTAGCCGCAGCTGGACATCTGTTGCGCGACAGCACCCTTTTTTCGACGAGGCGAAGTTAGCTGCGACGTCCCGCCAAAATACGTGGCTTCGGTTTCAACAACGCCAATGCTAACCTCTATTCCTTCTGACTTCTATATTTGTAAGATGAAGAGAGTTGCATGAAATCCTCGTGTCTCCGAATCTTCCAGTATCCCATCTGTGCAGTCCCTCCTCGGAATAGAGCGTAGACTTACCGTCATTGTTCGAAGAGGAGTCAAGTTCACGTAGTTTGAGCGCAACACCCATCTCATTCGCTGGTCTTTGATTACTACAATCTTTTTTGGGCGTTTGAATAAAATGATCATTCTACATACACATTCCGCATGCTATGACCTCAGCAGACGTTCCGCTGTTTTGAAGGCTGCGCCTTCCAAGTTAACATGTGATCAAACAAGGTGCTTTTACAAAGGCTTTAAAGACATCCAAAATCATTTATTGAATGTTAGACCATCGGGCCATGTGGCTGTGTCTTTTTGTTCTCTCGTTGTGCTTTCATCACGGCAATGCCGTCATTCCGGCGTTGGACCTCACCGACGCCGAGATCAAGGACTTGGCGCAGAAAATGAGAGATGCGGACGCGGAGAAGCCCAAGTTCTGCGAGTTCTACGTGGATTTTCAGGGTCATTTCGATGGTGGAGACACTGACTACGCCCCGAAACCGTGAGTTCATTGTCACAAATAATATCAGTCTGTCGGGAAAATAACGGCGGATTGTCGCAGCAAAATTTCTCGCCTCGCCGCTATCGCGCACCAAATCCCCAGCCGCGGCTTTCAGTCGCAGAGCGATGATGGGCGATTCCAAGGCGCGACGATCCGCCGTTATTTTCCTAATAAGCACAATGTCGCTACGCCCACGACACAATTCATTTTTTTGGTGGCAACGCGATTTTCGTTGCGACAGAGTGCTCATTATTTTCCCGACAAAATGATAGAGTTCAATATATTACATCTTGCAGGTTATTCAAATGGACCCGGTCTTCCATTTTGTCGCAGCCCAGCTACAAAGCCCTCCTGGATTTGGCGCCCTTGTTCAATCCGCAGACCGGAATCGCCGAAGACAACAGTCCGGCCAAGCAGCAGAAGGAGAGGGCGTTCATTATGGCCGTCTTTAGCAGTGGTCCCTTCACGCAACTGATCAATGTCCTCAGGAGCAAGAATCATCCGTTCGCCAAGAGCCCCGACACCCTCAAGCAGTCCATGTTCGAGCTGTGGTTTGGGATGTTCTCCAGAGCCAAGGGAAAGTTGGATTCCTCGGCTTTCGAGCATGTTTTCCTCGGCGAGGTGTGCATAATATTATATAATGGGCGTTCTGTCACATTGAAAATCGCGTGGCTAAAGTGAAAAGCAATTTGATTTTATCGCGAAAAAAGTATATTTCCTAGGCGGCGATGCGATTTTCAATATGGCACAGTGCTCATTACTTTCCCGATATACTAATAGCTCTTTTTAGGCCAAGAATGGAGAAGTCTCGGGGATGCATAACTGGGTGGTTATGAACAACCTCGAAAATGGTCCAAAGGGCGCCCTTGACTACAGAGGATTCATCATCAAGAGAGCGGTAGGCCATGTCGCCCAACGATCCCACTATTTTACAGGATATCATTGCATCGGCAAACTTTAAATGGGGCAGTTTGGTGAAGAAGACGGGAAGTTTCTTGATTGGGACGTCGCCGGCGTTCGACTTTTCGCTTCTTACGATGTGTTTCTTGGCCAGAAGGGGAAATAAGAAGTGCGAAGTGAGTTGTGGCTTGTATTAGTACTACACGGCTCAAGAAGTCCTGAGAAATTTGCGCTTTATGAAAATTCTAATAGCATTGACCGCTAAAAATTTTTAGACGATAATTGATGGATGCCCTGTGAATGTGCAAAGCTACGACCTGAACCAGAATGGGCGAGACTTCATTGGGACCGTCTATCCGGAGCCCGGCCCTTCGGCTCCCACCTGTATGGCCAACTTCAAGCAACGGGCGACGCTCTCCAAACAGGGATGAGCTCTCTGGGCGACCATTTCTAGATAACCTTCTTATTTTTCAAATCCACGCAGTTTTTATTTGGAGAGAGTAAATAGTTGAAAATGCAATGCACTTTTACCCAAAGACTAGTAGGTCTAATCATGATGTGAAAATTTTTTTTAAAATCAGCGTTGCGCTTTGATCACTTCAATTTCCCAGACAACTCCATTTTTTACCTCAAACCGCAAACAGTTACGAAGGCAAAAAACAAAAATGCACTGTGCACCGCGAAAAAACCTTTGTCGCGCGCGTGCACAGCGCATTTTTCTTGCTTTTGCACGGTGCACCGGCCATTATGATCCACTCTGCACTGCGCAATCCTTTGCACAGTGCAATTGCTTCTGGCGATATTCCAGTTGCACAGTGCAAAATTTGGGTTTTTTGCACGGTGCGGCCCACGACAAAAAGTCCACGCACTTTTTTAAAAATCGTAGTATCGCGCTGTCGGGAAAATAATGAGCAGATTGTCGCTGCACCAATCGCGTCACTGAAGTGAAAATCAATTTGATTTTATCACGAAAAAATTATTTTCGATGCGATTTTCGCTTCGACAAAGTACTCATTATTTTCCCGGCACACTGGTGTTTTTAGCCTTACTATATCGGAAAAGCCCCAACTCATCAAACGTGTAATTGTTCAACTGTTCCCTTCGCCAACGGGCCAATCTCTTCACCGACACTGCATGCATATTGTTGGCGCCATCATTAGCTCGTAAAATTTGAGTCAGTTCATAATTGGTCTTGATCAAGATGTCGTGATTCTGGAAGCAGCATTTTGATGTGACAGAGTTGTTATACCAGCCTGTCCGAAAAGTAATGAACACTTCGTCGCATCGAAAATCGCATCACCGAGAAAATGAATTGTGTCGCGGCAAAATCAAATTCCTTTTCCCTTGAGCGAAAAGCCGCGGCTTGGGATTTGATGCGCGATAGCGGCTTATTTTCTGTCAAGACTTGTTAGCTATGAGTCGAGGTATAGGATGGCCCCTAACTTGCCCTCTACTCCTAGGATTCACTACCCCCTGATAACCCGGGGACACAACTAGAGGACTCTGGCAATAAAACTGTTGACTCACGCAAAATTGTTACATTTATACAATTTATCGGCTGGTTTGCGCAAATTCCTGAGAATTCTTCACGGAATCGTGACAATCCGGGCCTGGCGTGTTGCTTCCACTTGTTGGGATCTCCGGGGGCGCGCCACATCTTTGGTCTCCTTCTGGCTGAGCTTCTTAATGGGGAACAACATCTTTACTGATCTGATGTGACGGGAGATGGTCTTCTTGGCATCCGTTTCCAACACCACTTCTACTTAGACATGGCTATCGGGCCGGCCCGGGCCGAAAATTGCGGCCCGGCCCGCGGGCCGGAACAGGTCGGCCCGGCCCGGCCCGTTTCAATTTTTCTTCGGCCCGGCCCGGCCCAGCCCGCGGCCCGGCCCGGGCCGGCCCGGGCCGGCCCGAATTTTCAGAAACAATGAAAAACCTTCCTTCGATTAGACATGAAATATTTTTCTTTATTATAACAACTAACAATAAATTTTTAAAGCAAAAAATTACCAACCAACGCATAGCCTTTTTAAAATTAGTCAAAAAATTTCCAAGATCCGTTTTCAGGCTATTGAAAATTGCCTTAAGATCAATGTTATAAATTCAGTCAAGGGGGGCCCACGTTCATCAAATTTTTCGTTAGATTTTCAACTTCCAGATGACAGTGTTGCTTCACACAACTACTTAGTTTTGTTTAGAAAGATGTCGATTACGTTTTTTTGAGTGGTTGTTCAAAAAATTACTATAAACACTAATATGCATTACAACTTACAGGGGAAGTACCCCAAGTGCGACGCTCACATTTAGATCGAAAGTCGGCGAAAATTTAGGACTTTTTGCCGAATTTCGGCACGAAAAGTTTCATGCCTATTTCTACCGTAAATGATAATGTTTCTACAAAAAATCAAAATTTTCCGCACGAAACTGCCAAAGTTATGGCCAAAAAGCGCTTTTCTCTCTGACCGCTCCCGTTTAGCGTGCTCTCTCGGCGGCAAAAATCGTTCGATATCTCGGCGGCGCCTGCAAAGCGCGAGCTAAAACTTTCAAGAATTGAAATTTAGTCTATTCCCGACGTGTGTGCAAAATTTAAAAAAAATCTGAGCGTCGCACTTGGGGTACTTCCCCTGTTAATACATTTTACTATTAAAATTATTTATTATAATATTAGTCATTTTTGAATACTTCCGTGCTTTGTTATTATAAAATTGTGCTTACTGTGAGAAAAATATAGTCCCCATTCTTGGCTTTGCGTTTTAATTTTATTGGCAACCCAACTTTTCGCTTTGAGATTCAAAGTTTTAATTTTGCCGGGCCGGCCCGGGCCGAAATTTGCGGCCCGGCCCGCGGGCCGGAAGAGGTCGGCCCGGCCCGGCCCGTTTCAATTTTGCTTCGGCCCGGCCCGGCCCGAACACCGGCCCGGGCCGGGCCGGCCCGAACACCGGCCCGGGCCGGGCCGGCCCGGGCCGGCCCAGCCCGGCAGCCAAGTCTACTTCTACTGGCACTTCATCTTTGGTCCTCACTCTGTCTACCCTCGCAATCTCGTATTTGGGGCCGTGTGGCTTGTCGGACGAGAACACTACTAGATCCCCCTTACCGAATTCAGGAGGAGCCACTACGAAGTGTTTGGATTTCTGCGTTATCAACGTTTCGAGATACATGTCATTCCATATGGCTTTCACTTTGGCGACAAAGTTCTGAGTTTTGGTGTAGGTCTGAGCCAAAGTTTCAGGGGAATCATGGGGACTAGGTGAGTACACTTCTTCTAACTCAAATCTAGGAAGCAACAACGGTTGGCGTAGAGGAGACAACATATTCATTGGGGTCAAGATTATGGGGGATTTCGAATTGACTATCGTAAGAGGTCCTGCCGTGGTCGCCATGTCAAGACTTAGCTATGAGTCGAGGTATAGGATGGCCCCTAACTTGCCGTCTACTCCTAGTATTCACTACCCCCTGATAACCCGGTGACACAACTAGAGGACTCTGGCAATAAAACTGTTGACTCACGTAAAATTGCGGAAACTTCCAACAGACTTCACAAAAGTATCGTTATTTCACCAACGAGTGACCGAAAAGCGGTCGATCCATTACATTTATGCAATTTATCGATCGGTTTATGCAAATTCCTGAGAATTCTTCACGGAGTCGTGACATTTCCCGACAGACTGATTCTAGTCGTTCCAGAAAGTGCGTAGACTTTTCGTCGCAAATTTTCCGCACTATGCATTTGTTCTTTTGCACCGTGCATTTCAAAGATCGCCGCGACGTAAGCTTTTTTCAACTGAGTCGCCGCGAATTTTGGGCGCGCGACAACAATTGCACAGTGTAAAAGGAAGAAAAATGCACTGTGCGGCGCGAAAAAAGTCTACGCACTTTCTGGAACGATTAATATTCTAGTCTTTGTTTGCATCGCGATTTCTCACTTACCTCCGACAAAAAGACGTATTTCCATTCCTTCCTCGTGTTCATTAACAATCTCAGGCCGTGATATTGAGCTATGAATATGTTCCGACCCATTGAGCTCATGTCAAACTCTTCTGCCGCAACTAACATTCTCAAATCAGTTGGCTAGAGAGCGCAGCCGGGTTTTGAAGATTTCGGAAGCCTTCGAATCAATGACAAAACAGTAAAAGTTGTTTGGACTGTAGTGAGTTGAAAGCTCCATCTCCAGCCAGGTGTAGTCCTGAAAGAGCTGATTCTGTCGAGAAAATAATGAGCACAATGTCTCTGCGCCGGTCGCGTCGCTGAAGTGAAAGGCAATTTGATTTTGCGCGACACAATTCATTTTCTCGGTGGTGGTGCGATTTTTGAATAACGATCATTATTTTCCCGACAGACTAAAAGCGCATAGTAAAGCCCTGATAATTTATCGCGGCCTCAAATCTGAAAAAATGATTTGTCGCTGCGAAAATAGGAACCGCGCTGCAAAAAATAAATGCACTGTGCAAACGGCGTTGTTACATCGAAATGCACTTATAGCATTTTTTGGGCTTTTCGCAGCGGCGCGCAAGCCGCACTGTTCAAATTTTCCGGACTTTTGCGCCGAGTAGTTTCAGTCTGCCGATAAAATAATGAGCACAATGTCGCTGCGCCGACCGGGTCAATTGGTCGCAACAAAAATTGTGGATTTGTCGCAACAAAATTTCTCGCTTCGTCGCAGTCGCGGATCAAGTCTCCAGCCGCGGCTCGCCGTCGCAAAATGATGATGGGAGATTCCAAAGCTCGACAAATACACATTATTTTTCCGACAGACTGACCTGTAGCCAATGCCATACTATCAGTCTGTCGAGAAAATAACGGCGGATCGTCGCGCCTCGTCATCGCTTTGCGACTGCAAGCCGCGGCTTGGGATTTGGTGCGCGATAGCGGCGAGGCGAGACATTTTGCTGCGACGATCCGCCGTTATTTTTCCGACAGACTGATAGTCCGTTCGTAAAGTCGCTGGAATGTTTTCGGCGACACGCACTCCGCGAAACCGAAAGTTCACTTTGCACTGTGCAATTTTTGGCTTTTTGCACTGTGCAATAGGCTTTTTCGAGCTGTCGCTCGCACCCTGAGTTTTCTTGCACAGTGCACGTCGCCGAAATCATTCCAGCGACTTTACGAACGGACTGATATTTGAAGAATTTAAAAAAATTTTGATTCACTTGCCATATACACAGTTCTCACAAATGCCAATGTGAAGTCTTCTTCTTCTTCGTAAGTTTTCTCAACGAAATTTTGTCGTCTTCTAATTGCTTTGCATTTCATCGCCAACCTCAAACGCAATCGGAGAAAACGACGCAGAGCCCCCTTCCATCAACTTTACACAACTTAGATTGCCAATAAACGATGGGGTTTATACGGCGACACTCTTTCCTCGCGGCAAACTTGCTTTTAGTCGCGGGTGATCAAATAAAAGCAATAAATAGTAAAAAGACTTGTCCATAATAACAGGAACGTGAGGAAATAGAATTGTGTGGCTTCCAGCTTTCCAAACATTGCGTTTGACATGACTGTGAAGCGGCGTGAGGATAAACAAACCCGTAATCCGGATACGAGTAGTCCCGGGCTTTGAACTTAGTGAGCAGACGGTCGCTTGTTTTTATTCAGCGATTCGTTAATACATATCATGGTAAGAGCATAAGAAGTACAGGGTGTTTCAAGAAATTTGGAACAAATGATTTGCTTATATCTTTATGTTCTTTGCAGCTATCAACGAATTTCTTTTTGCTTCTAAAAATTGACAGCGTGCGTTTTTAGAATCTCTAAAAAAAATTTTTTTCGTCGGCGGAGGGCCCATTTCTCGGCGGAGAAAATTAGGGCCTTTTTTAAAAATCACAGCGTATTACGTGGCGGAAACGCCGTTGCAACGGCTGAAATCAAGTTTACGTAATACCTCCATCGATTTTACGGTATGCTTTTTTTGCGTTTTCGATTTTACGCACTTTCGCGGATGCGCGGCGGAGACCTCAGATTTCGGTGGACGTTGTTTTGGGCCTTTGGCTTTTGCAATTCATGTTGGAAAAGAGGTTGGGGTGATTTTTGGACGATCAAATGGGCGCCCTCTTATTTGCTAAACTTTACCCTCTAATCGTCCACCTTTCCCCTCTAATTTGTGAATGGCGCCCTCTAATATAGATGCCCTCTAATCGAAACTGAACTGTGCCCTCTGAAAAACTGAATCGACGCCCTCTGATTTGATTTTCCCAAAATGGTATTGTTTCCTTACATAGTAGTGTAAGAATGCAGAGTAGTAGTGTTAAGTAGTAATTTTTGAAAATTTTGGTTGAGCTATCGATTTATAGGTAATTTGGGGTGCTGATTTCGAAAATGACATTCATTTTTCATGATTGTAACTTTTTTCTTAAATAGTAGTGTTAAGTAGTAATTTTTGAAAATTTTGGTTGAGCTATCGATTTATAGGTAATTTGGGGTGCTGATTTCGAAAATGACATTCATTTTTCATGATTGTAACTTTTTTCTTAAATAGTAGTGTTAAGTAGTAATTTTTGAAAATGTTGGTTGAGCTATCGGTTTATAGGTAATTTGGGGTGCTGAATTCGAAAATGACATTCATTTTTTATGATTGTAACTTTTTTCTTAAATAGTAGTGTTAAGTAGTAATTTTTGAAAATTTTGGTTGAGCTATCGATTTATAGGTAATTTGGGGTGCTGAATTCGAAAATGACATTCATTTTTCATGATTGTAACTTTTTTCTTAAATAGTAGTGTTAGATAGTAATTTTTGAAAAATTTGGGTGAGGTATCGATTTATAGGTAATTTGGGGTCCAGAATTGAGTTGTGCTGTAAAGTTGTGATTTCGTTTTTATTTTATTTTTTGATGAATAGTTATTTAAGTGCAAGGTATGTGTCATTGTTGATTCAAAAACTGTGTTCATGTTCTGTAGTTTTTATTCACCTCCAATCTGTTGGCAGAAGAATTTTTGCTCAGAATTTTCTGTCAAACCTGGCATTGCGGCAGGCTATCCCAAGCCAAACAATTTTATAGCAGAAAAATTTCTGTCAAACCCCGCCCATTTTGGCGCGCTTGATGAAGAGCAGAAGCAATACCGTTGATGACTCGAGGTAATAATCGCATGGAAAACACTCCTGTTGGATAATAGCACGAAGTTGCTCAAAGAACTTAAATTAGCAGAAAAACTTTACGAAATTTATTATAAAAATACTTCTCTTTAGACAACATAGTTATATTTTTTCAATTTTTTGTCGTAAAAAGAAAAAACCCATCGTACCATTTTTGTTTGTAACGTTGTCCGTACAAGAATAAGTTAAATTTACGCAAGTTATTTGCTGTTTCAACGTTTTCTCTGTCAATTTATTGCAATTAGGCAGATATTGCTTTAGGTGATATCACACGAACCTGAAGGAATTGAAAATATTTGTAAAATATTTTAAGTTTTTATTGTGATAAATGCTAGACTGACAATTATCCAACAGGATTTTTTCTCATGCAATCATTACTTCTGGTCATCATCGGTATTGCTTCTGTCCTTCATCGAGCGCGCCAAAATGGGCGGGGGTTGACAGAAATTTTTCTGCGATCAAATTGTTTGGCTTGGGATAGCCTGCCGCTATGCCAGGTTTGACAGAAATTTTTGAGCAGAAATTCTTCTGCCATCAGATTGGAGGTAAATAAAAACTACAGAAGCTGAACACAGTTTTTGAATCAACAATAACACATATCTTGCACTTAACTATTCATAAAAAAAATAAAAATAAAGAAATCACAACTTTACAGCACAACTCATCATGAATCTCGTTCTGGAATAAGCACCCATAAAACCTACCAATTCAAAAAATCTCAAAGTTACTACTTTACAGTACTGTTTAAGAACAATTTGACAGCAGCATAATTTCTGCCGAACTTGTGTTGGCGCCCATTTTTGGCGCGCCCAATGATGGGCTAGAGGCAGGCTCTCCCAAGCTAAACAATTTGACAGCAGCGTCAAAAATTACTACCTAACACTACTATTTAAGAAAAAGTAACAATCGTGAAAAATGAATGTCATTTTCGAACTCGGCACCTCAAATTACCTATGAATCGATAGCTCAACCAAAATTTTCAAAAATTACTACTTAACACTACTATTTAAGAAAAAAGTTACAATCATAAAAAATGAATGTCATTTTCGAATTCAGCACCCCAAATTACCTATGAATCGATACCTCACCCAAATTTTTCAAAAATTACTATCTAACACTACTATTTAAGAAAAAAGTTACAATCATAAAAAATGAATTTCATTTTCGAATTCAGCACCCCAAATTACCTATGAATCGATAGCTCAACCAAAATTTTCAAAAATCGCTACTTAACACTACTATTTAAGAAAAAAGTTACAATCATAAAAAATGAATGTCATTTTCGAATTCAGCACCCCAAATTACCTATGAATCGATACCTCACCCAAATTTTTCAAAAATTACTATCTAACACTACTATTTAAGAAAAAAGTTACAATCATAAAAAATGAATTTCATTTTCGAATTCAGCACCCCAAATTACCTATGAATCGATAGCTCAACCAAAATTTTCAAAAATCGCTATTTAACACTACTATTTAAGAAAAAAGTTACAATCATAAAAAATGAATGTCATTTTCGAATTCAGCACCCCAAATTACCTATGAATCGATACCTCACCCAAATTTTTCAAAAATTACTATCTAACACTACTATTTAAGAAAAAAGTTACAATCATGAAAAATGAATGTCATTTTCGAAATCAGCACCCCAAATTACCTATAAATCGATAGCTCAACCAAAATTTTCAAAAATTACTACTTAACACTACTACTCTGCATTCTTACACTACTATGTAAGGAAACAATACCATTTTGGGAAAATCAAATCAGAGGGCGTCGATTCAGTTTTTCGGAGGGCACAGTTCAGTTTCCATTAGAGGGCATCTATATTAGAGGGCGCCATTCACAAATTAGAGGGGAAAGGTGGACGATTAGAGGGTAGAGTTCAGCAAATAAGAGGGCGCAAAGTGTATTGCCCGTGATTTTTTGTTGTCATCCGATGCACAGATTGTAAAAATTTCGTGCTTTTTATCCCTGGCGGAGGAGTCGGCGGAGGCTTTATCAAAGGGCAAAAACAAAACTCCGCCGATTTGTCCGCCGGACCAAAAAAATCAAAAATCTTTGAAAGACAATGCTGCTCTGATGGATTCTTGTAGCTGAGATTTTTCCCGGACTCGTAAGACTGCTTTGACCCTTTGATAAAGCCTCCGCCGAATCCTCCGCCGGGGAAAAAAAGCACGAAATTTTTGCCATCTGTGCATCGGATGACAACAAAAAATCACCCCAACCTCTTTTCCAACATGAATTGCAACAGCCGAAGGCCCAAAACAACGTCCGCCGAAATCTGAAGTCTCCGCCGCGCCTCCGCGGTGCGCGTAAAATCGAAAACAAAAAAATGCATACCGTAAAATCGACGGAAGTGTAACGTAAACTTGATTTCAGCCGTTGCAATGGCGTTTCCGCCACGTAATACGCTGTGATTTTTAAAAAAGGCCCTAACTTTCTCCGCCGAGAAATGGGCCCTCCGCCGACGAAAAAAAATTTTTTTTGAGATTCTAAAAACGCACGCTGTCAATTTTTAGAAGCAAAAAGGAATTCGTTGATAGCTGCAAAGAAGAAAAAGATATAAGCAAATTATTTGTTCCAAATTTCTTGAAACACCCTGTAGAATAAAAAATTTAATGTTTGAAAACCAAATTATGGCTAAAGGTAGAATAAGCTTTCACCTTTGTTGTAATATAAATTTCGAACCAGAAACATCGAGTTCCACCAAATTTTTATGTTGTACTTGCTTCACGTATTTGGCCCCTCGGTCAAGCAGCTATTCCTTAAAACTAGTCCTATTTTCATGGTATAATTAACCTAGTGGCCAGTGCTAAACCTATATCTGTCCATTTTTTAGTGAGTTTGCACAAAAAAAAGGAAAATCGACTCACACTACCCATGGTACAACAAAGATCACAACATTCCAAAATTTGGTGCTTTATCCGAGCAGAAAACGGGAAATCTAGTCATCAAATCGAACGGAGCAGCCTGCTCTTGGTAAAAATTCCCTGTTTGGACAAATTCCATCTTGTCTTCATTCAGAAATTATATCTTGAACATTGGCGAAAAACAAAAAAAAAAACAACTTCTCGAGAAGAAAATCCTTGGCCAACTGTTCGCCCGAAACCCTGCACCGAATTTCGGAATTCGGTGCCGACTTAGGGCTTCGATGCAGACTTAAGACTTCGTGCACTGATTTCGAGAAACGGGTGTTGGGTTTAGAAAAAAATGCACCGGATTTCGGAACTGGGTGTCGAGAAAAAAGTCGACGCCAATTTTTCGATTTGGGCGTCGACTTTTTTGTGTACCGAAAGTCGCGATTTCGGAAAAAAGTATACTCTTATATGCCCACTATATATAACCTGGACGCTATAGGTTTTATCAGTCCGTTGGGAAAATATTACCTTTTGACTTCTATACTGGTTGACAAAATTTTCTTTCCACCTCGTATCTCGGGAACCGATGGGCCTAGAACCTCCAAATTCGGCATAGAAACATCCTAGGACAGTCTAACACCATGCCCAAAAAATCGTATCATTTGATGCACTTTACATGCCCTTTTTCCAAAAAAGGCAAAAACCCGGATGACAAAATTTTCTTTCCACCTTGGAAAAAACGTTTGTAACTCATAAGCCAGAGGGTTTTAAGGCATGATTGTGGTATGGTTGTGTTCGCGAAGAAGTCCTCTCTCGATTGGTGTCACAACCTTACGGGGGTTTTAGTTTCTTCGCCCTTGGGCGTCGGTTCATCGTTGCCTTGTCCATTTTCAGCCAAATTCGTGGCCAGAGGAGCTCGCATAAGGCACGAGGAGATGAAAATGCCTTTAAAAAATCTGGCATTCATGTTTGCAACATTGTTTCCTCCGGCAGTAGAATTCGATTTAATTTAAGTGCGTTGCAGGGGAAAACGCGCGCTTCCAGGGTTCTCGTTACCAGAAAATTACGCTATTATGGGAACACTGCAGATAATTCAAGTAACTTTTCCTCCTTATACATTTTTTATTATACTACAGAGTTAAAAAATAGTGACGATTTTAATCACTGACGTCGCGCTTAGATGTGAGCAGAAGAAAGGTTCCAAACGCCCCATGTACAAAATTTGCGACTCTAAGCTTCCTGCGCAAGGTATTCGTCGTGGAAAAAACGTTGAATGCCTGTCAAGGTCAATGTATTAAAGTAGTCTGGTAGCCAAAAATCCCAATATACCGAGCTTAATTAATGCCAAGGCGACCGCCTACCGGAAGTTCGAAAAACCCCAAGTTCGACAACCAAAAGTTCGAATGCCGCAAGTTCGAATGCCGCAAGTTCGAATACTAGAAGTTCGAAAAACCTCAAATTAGAAAAACCAAAAGATCGAAAACCGGAAGTTCGAAATATGAAAATATAAAAAATGCAGAATGAAAAAAAGAATTAAAACAGAAAAATAGATTTTGTTTATAAAATAGGATAATTTTAACTTAAAGTCTTTGCGATCTCATTCAAAAAAGACGGAACATCGAACTCAGAAAAACGGGTTACCAAATTGATTTGCCGAGAATATTCATCACACCTCCTCCTTTTCTCCATGGGGCGATATTCTTCCATAGAACGAATCTTCAAATCAACTGTAACCTGATAAGACAGAAGGTGCAGGTAGGCGGTCATTATTCATTATGAAGGAAGCAATATCCACCACACAAAGCCACGAATCCCGAGAACGACACAGTTGGATTCGCTCCGTGACAAATCTTGATGAGCTCGACACCACCAACCTCCATCGTAGAGAATGAATGAATGATTGAAGAGGAAGTGTATTTTGCAAAATAATTATATGCAAATTATAATTTAAATATTAATTAACTTTTTTTTCATTTTCGAACTTTAGTCATTCGAACTTTAGGTTATTCAAAGTTACGGTCATTCGAACATTAGGTAGTTCGAACTGGAGGTCGTTCGAACTTTAGTCATTCGAACTTTAGGCATTCGAACTTGCGGATTCGAACTTGCGGTATGTCTCCGTACAGAAGTGATTCTTCGGTTTTGCGGACCCGGGCAGCGCTCATTTTCCCCTGCAACGCACTTAAATTAAATCGAATTCTACTGCCGGAGGAAACAATGTTGTAAAAATGAATGCCAGACTTTTTAAAGGGATTTTCATCTCCTTATGCCTTATGCGAGCTCCTCTGGCCACGAATTTGGCTGAAAATGGACAAGGCAACGATGAGCCGACGCCCAAGGGCGAAGAAACTGAAACCCCCATAAGGTTGTGACACCAATCGAGAGAGGACTTCTTCGCGAACACAACGATACCACAACCATGCCTTAAAACCCTCTGGCTTATGAGTTACAAACGTTTTTTCCAAGGTGGAAAGAAAATTTTGTCATCCGGGTTTTTGCCTTTTTTGGAAAAAGGGCATGTAAAGTGCATCAAATGATACGATTTTTTGGGCATGGTGTTAGACTGTCCTAGGATGTTTCTATGCCGAATTTGGAGGTTCTAGGCCCATCGGTTCCCGAGATACGAGGTGGAAAGAAAATTTTGTCAACCAGTATATTTTTGCAAGATGAAGAGAGTTGGGTGAAATCCTCGTGTCTCCGAATCTTCCAGTATCCCATCTGTGCAGTCCCTCCTCGGAATAGAGCGTAGACTTACCGTCATTGTTCGAAGAGGAGTCAAGTTCACGTAGTTTGAGCGCAACACCCATCTCATTCGCTGGTCTTTGATTACTACAATCTTTTTTGGGCGTTTGAATAAAATGATCATTCAACATACACCTTCCGCATGCAGTGACCTTAGCAGACGTTCCGCTGTTTTGTAGGTTGCCCTTCCTGGTTAACATGTGATTAAACAAGGCGCTTCTGCAAAGTCTTTAAAGACATCCAAAAAAAAAAACTTATTGAATGTTAGATCATCGGGCAATGCGGCTGTGTGTTTTTGTTCTCTCGTTGTGCTATCATCACGGCAATGCCGTCATTCCGGCGTTGGACCTCACCGACGCCGAGATCAAGGACTTGGCGCAGAGAATGAGAGATGCGGACGCGGAGAAGCCCAAGTTCTGCGAGTTCTACGTGGATTTTCAGGGTCATTTCGATGGTGGAGACACTGACTACGCCCCGAAACCGTGAGTTCATGGCTATAAATTATATCAGTTTGTCGTGAAAATAATAAGCACAATGCCGCTACGCTCACGGCACAATTCATTTTTTTTGGTGGCGACGCTATTTTCGTTGTGACAGAGTGCTCATTATTTTCCCGACAGAATGATAAAGTTCATGGACATTTGTCGCGCTTCGCACCGTGCACCAAAGACACCCCATTTTGTACCGTGCATTCCACATTTTTTTGATTTTTGCGCTGTGCGACGAAATATCGCTCTACGTCGCCGCGATTTCGCCCAGACATTTGCACAGTGCAAACCGGTTTTTCGAGGTTTGCACTGTGAAAAAGACGAATGCGCTGCGCGTTAGCGACGGCGTGGGAAAACGTTCACTGTGCAAAAGAGAAAAAATGTCCACGCCCTTTATGAAGATACTAATATCTTGCAGGTTATTCAAATGGACCCGGCCTTCCATTTTGTCGCAGCCCAGCTACAAAGCCCTGCTGGATTTGGCGCCCTTGTTCAATCCGCAGACCGGAATCGCCGAAGACAACAGTCCGGCCAAGCAGCAGAAGGAGAGGGCGTTCATTATGGCCGTCTTTAGCAGTGGTCCCTTCACGCAGTTGATCAATGTCCTCAGGAGAAAGAATCATCCGTTTGCCAAGAGCCCCGACACCCTCAAGCAGTCCATGTTCGAGCTGTGGTTTGGGATGTTCTCCAGAGCCAAGGGAAAGTTGGATTCCTCGGCTTTCGAGCATGTTTTCCTCGGCGAGGTAAGCTGGCGATATATAATGTTATATACATACATATGTGTGTATCTCTGTCCGGAAAATAATGGGCGTTCTGTCACATTGAAAATCGCGTGGCTAAAGTGAAAAGCAATTTGATTTTATCGCGAAAAAAGTGTATTTTCTCGACGGCGGTGCGATTTTCAATACGGCAGAGTGCTCATTATTTTCCCGATATACTGATAGCTCTTTTTAGGCCAAGAATGGAGAAGTCTCGGGGATGCATAACTGGGTGGTTATGAACAACCTCGAAAATGGTCCAAAGGGCACCCTCGACTACAGAGGATTCATCGTCAAGAGAGCCGTAAGTTGTGTCGCGCAACGATCCCACTATTTTACAGGATATCATTGCATCGGCCAACTTTAAATGGGGCAGTTTGGTGAAGAGGACGGGAAGTTTCTTGATTGGGACGTCGCCGGCGTTCGACTTCTCGCTTCTTACGATGTGTTTCTTGGCCAGGAGGGGAAGTCAGAAGTGCGAAGTGAGAATAGCATTGACCATAAAAAATTTTTAGACAATAATTGATGGATGCCCTGTGAATGTGCAAAGCTATGACCAAAACCAGAATGGGCGAGACTTCATTGGGACCGTCTATCCGGAGCCCGGCCCGTGGTCTCCCACCTGTATGACCATCTTCAAGCAACGGGCGACGCTTTCCAAACAGGAATGAGCTCTCTGGACGAGCATTTCTAGATAGCCTTCTTATTTTTACGTTCAAATCGACGCAGTTTTTATTTGGAGAGAGTAAATAGTTACAAATGCAGTGCACTTTTACGGAAAGACTGTATGTGGTCTAACCATGATGTGAAAAATTTTTTGAAAATCAGCGTTGCACTTTGATCACTTCAATTTCCCAGACAACTCCATTTTTTAACCTCAAACCGCTCTTTACAATCCGTCCGGTTCAGAGAGTTCATTTTATATCCGTGAGGCAGAAAATCGGCTTCACCGAACCCCTTGTTAGGCAGTTCATCCGTCGCCATTCCATGGCCTCCGAACATGGCAACTTGATCAGGGTTTGGAAATTTTGAAGACGGCCTATGTTTCATCGTGCTGAGCTCGGAAAACAACGTTTCGCAGCTCTCCGGAGCTAAGTTTCAGCTTGTTTTCGAGCTGCGCCCAAGGCACAAGCCGCGCCCAAGGCGCGAGCTGCGCCCAAGGCGCAAGCTGCGCCCAAGGCGCAAGCTGCGCCCAAGGCGCAAGCTGCGCCCGTGAAAGTTCTCCGAGCTGCGCCCTATGATTATCAGCTATCTTTCAAGCACAGATATTACAAGCGCATTGGCCCCGGAACATCTTTCAGACATGTCAAGACTTTTTGGCCCGCCTAGTAAAGAATATTTTGCAAATATCCATGCACTTGCATGGACAAAACTGTCCTTCGTCTTCTGACAATGAGTGTAAGGGGAGATTGGAAAAGATCAGACGCGTCTGCTTTTCACACAAGCGGATGACTAATCCATTGAAATAGGCCTTCAATCCGCGAAGACAACACATTCAGAGGGGCAAAGAGAACGCCCAAGGTCTGTATTTGGAAGCATCTAGAAAGTTTCGCCTTTTTTAACGTCTTAACATGCAATTCTATTATGAATCAATCATCAATACGCTGGAATTTTAAAATATTTCGGCCCGTCGGGAAAATAATGAGCGCAATGTCGCTAAAGTGAAAAGCAATTTGATTTTGTCGTGACACAGTTTATTTTCTCGGCGACGATGCGATTTCCGCGACCGAGCGCCCATTACTGGTCTGTCGGAAAAATAATGTGGATATGTCCGAGCAAAATGTCGTGCCTCGTCGCGCGGTTCAATTCATTTTCTCGGCGATGATGCGATTTTTGATGCGAAATTTCGGACATCATTTTTCCGTCGGGAAAATAATGCGGATTTGTCGCAACAAAATGGCTCGCCTCGTCGCAGTCACGAACCAAATTTTCAGCCGCGGCTTGCTCTCGCAAAATGATGATGGGAGATTCCAAAGCTCGACAAGTCCACATTATTTTCCCGACAGACTGATATGCCGGCAATGCTATATATTTGTGAAATTTAAAAATTTTTTAATTCACTTGCCATGACTGTGCAATCAATAAAATTCCGCAAACTTCGCGATTTTCGCTTATCGCGCGCATTTTGCATCGCAAAATCTTTTTTTGTTGCTCATTTTTGTGTATTTTCATGCGACGATGAAGTGAAATTATTTCTTCCGGCCAGTCTGTGGTTTACGGACTACTTTGAAAAAAACGGACCGACTCTTTCACGCGTATTATCATAATCATTTTATTATGTTTCGTTTTTATAGCATATTATAGACGACAGTGTCACCAATTCTCCGAACGATGAAAACAGACTAAATTACGGTATTTTTGGGGACAGTGGGAATGCAGTTGTTTCGGCTAAGGAGCTACAATGGGAACAGGTAAGGCGTGAATTGCGACTTACAGAGAATTTTCTAGGGCACTTCGGAGGTCGTTGACAGTCCATCGAAGTTTCAAAATTGTAAGCATACATCGGCTGGTCGCGGAAAAAAGTCCTGGAAATTTTTTTGCGGTTCTGCACTGTGCGCTTTGTCGCGTCTGAGAAAAGGTCGGGCCGCATCAGGACTTTTTGCCTCAGGTACTCTCAGTCTGTCGGGAAAATAATGTGGATTCCTCGCGCTTTGGAATCGCCCATCATCGCTTTGCAACGACCAGCCGGAGCTGGAAATTTGGTGCGCGAGAGCGACGAGGCGAGACATTTTTCTGCGACAAGTCCATATTATTTTCCCGACAGACTGATATGTCGATTTCTTGGCCGGATTCTTCGCAACTCAAACAAATTTTTTCAGTTATGTTTTATTCTTGTATTACTCCTCCTCTTGGCATTTTCAACCAACCTTTACTCCAATCACAGCGTTTCTTATGAAGTTGCGGAGAAAACGGCGATAAAACGCTTCAACATGGGCAAATGCAAGCCAATTTATGGAAAAGTCTCCGTGTTTGTGGCGATGCGAAGCTCGGAAGTGGGACGGTAAGTAATTTGGTCATTGCATTATACCAATTGAAGGAACTGTCCGTCGGGGAAATAATGTGGATTTGTCACACCTTGTAATTGCCCATCGTCGCTTTCCGACGGCTAATCGCGGCTGTGGCGACGAGACGACACATTTGCTGTGATAAATTCACATTATTTTCCCGACAGACTGGTGTTACCTTGAATTATAGAGCAAAAGCTATACAACACATTTTTTTTGAAACCCAGGGTTCAAATTTTTGTCTGCAATTTTGCAAACAAGGCCTTTGGCAATCCGAAAAAAATCAATATCGCTGTATTACCTTCAAATTAGCCATCTCTTTTCAGAAGATACACAGTGGCTCAAGACTCTCTCCGTTGCTACCTCAAAGGCACTAATTACACTTTATTTTACGTCGATCTAAGTAATGATCCTGAGGTTCGAAGATACTGCACTCACGAAAACGTCTTCTTCCGGAAACATTGTGCCGCTTCCGTCTATTTGAGCAAAACGGATTGGATGCTGGTGTTGGATGCAGATACTGCCGTTGTCAATCCGAATCATTGCATTGAAGAGTACATTGACCCACGGGTTGATCTTGTTTTCTACGAGAGGTTCTTCAATTGGGAGATTACCGCTGGCAATTATTTGGTAAGTCATAGGAAAAGTGTCTGCTTATTAAACTGTCCAAAGTCTAGCCAACAAAGTCACCATGTAAAGACTTACATTGGCCTCCTTTACCATTTTTTCATTCGATCCCGGCTTGGCAGACGAAGGGGTATTGTGAATACAAGCACCCCATACAATGAAGCACCTGATCCAGTGGCAAAAAAACGTACCATTTTGCATCCGGGAAGTATCAAAAAATGTAGCAAAATGCCTCCCCTCCAAGTGAAAAAACTTCGTTTTGAAAGGCACGTCTTTTCCCTTTCAAAAATAGCGGGCGTTTTTTTTGAAATCGGAGTTTTTTTCACTTGGAGAGGGAGGTATTTTGATACATTTGTATATGCCCCAGATTCGAAAAAAACCGTCTTTTTTGGCCAAAAACTGTGGCCTTACAAAAAGAGCGGGCGCGCTTTTGAAATCGGGGTTTGGAGAGGTATTTTGCCGCATTTTTGATACTTTCCGGATGCAAAATGGTACGGTTTTTGCCACTGGATCGGGTCTCCCACTGCATGTATTTTCAGGTCAAGAATACAGACTTTGCCCGCCGATTCCTGAGGCAATGGGCCGATTACGAGTATAATCTTCCAGACGGCGGCTTCCATGGCTACGATAACGGAGCTATTCATGTGGGTCTGAACGTAACATTTCACCTTTTTCCAAATGTTTAGATCCACGTTCTCCGAACGGTTCTTCCCAAAGCCGTCGATGAAACCGAGGCTTGCCAGACCCTCTGGGCGAACGCAAGCGACTACGACACGTACTTGGCCTACGTTACATGCGTGAAGTTTATGTTGGGGGCAGTTCGAGTTTTCCCGCCAATGTTGAGGATTTTGAAACGAGGCCATGGAATGGCGAGGGATGGAGTTTTAACGAATGAGGAGTTCTGCGAAGCCGATTTTATGCTTCACGGATACAAACAGAACTCTCTCGATGAACGAGATTGGGAAAGTCCGTTTGAGGTAAAAAATAAGTTGTTAGGGAAGTTTCTCAAAGCGCGGATGTTTTAATGTTTTTAAATTTCTAAATTATCGTGATTAGAAAACACTTCATATCAATGCTGCAAAAGTATTAGTTCCTGCTTCCCATCAAAGATACTCAACGCCGAGAGAATATAGAAAATGAGGAGAGCTGTCAGAAACGAAAACATTTTCCCTTTCTAAAAGTACAGTGGGGACCTGATCCAGTGGCAAAAAATGTACCATTTTGCATCCGTGAAGTATCAAAAATGTGGCAAAATGCTTCCCTAAGTGGAAAAGCTCCGATTCCAAAAGCGTGCCCGCCCTTTTTGTGAGGGAAAGGCCCTTCAAAACGAAGTTTTTTCACTTGGAGAGGGAAGCATTTTGCCACATTTTTTGATGCTTCCCGGATGCAAAATCATACGTTTTTTGCCACTGGATCAGGACCGTCAGTGTATATCGCTTTGCTTTGCAGGCGCAGATACGCATCGATCTCTGTGTCTTCGACGGCGGAACAAAGAAAAAAATTTGCGGCCAAGGGAGTACGGAAAACTCGGAGAGCGGTCAGAGAGAAAAATACTTTTTGGTCATAATTTTGCTAGTTTTTTGCGGAAAAAATAATTTTTTTGTGGATACATTATCCTCTACTGTAAAAATAGAGAAACTTTTCGTGCCAAAATTCGGCAAAAAGTGTCAAATTTTCGCCGACTTTCGATCTAAAAACCTCGGTTGTTTCTGCAAAGCGCGAGCTAGAATTCTCGAATATACTTTAGAAAAAATTATACTAAATTTGCAATAAGTTTTGTCAAAGTCTGAGCGTCGCACTTGCCGAACTTTTCTTGCGAAAAACCTCATATTTACAACTCTACTTTCACCTTTTCAGAAGCCCGTCAATCTTTCGCTTTGCGGCAACGGCTACGATGGCTGGTATTGGCGGCAAAACAAACGAGTCTCCTGTCGGTCCGTTCACGAATCTCTGGCGATCTACGAAAGATTCGCCGCGGACACGTACGCCGCGCCGGGAAGGCAGATTCCGCACCTCATTTTGCCGGAGATCGGAAATTGTTGGCCTAATTGTGATTTGAATTGAAATCTTCATGACGAAAAATCTCATTGCCTATGGCAATGAAAATGCACAATTTGCATTTCAATTTAGATTTTCATAGGGAGTTTCTTTAGTCGAATAAAAAGTTATTGAAATATCATCCACTGCAAGTCGTTTTTTGATTACTTTTTTATGGCGTTTATAGTCGTCAATATTATAAACACTATGCAATCGATTTTCCGCATTTAAAAGCGGCTTTGATTTCTCGAATATAGTGGTCCAGAGGTCCATATAAAGGTTGTCATACAAGTATTCGAAAATTTTTTTTTCAGAATCGCGATTTTCGGTGCACAAAAAAGTCGACGCCCAAATCGAAAAATTGGCGTCGAATTATTTTTTTCTCGGCACCGATTCTGAAAACCGGTGCATTTTTCTGTTTTTCGAAATCAGTGCACACAGTCTTAAGTCTGCACTGAAAGCTTAAGCGCTTAAGTCAGCACCGCATTTCGGAATTCGGTGCTGAAAAAATTGAGTCGACCTATCCACCTTTATATCAGTCTGTCGGGAAAATAATGAGCACCATGTTGCTGCGCCGATTACGTCGCTAAAAAAAGCGATTTAATTTTGTCGCGACACAATTCATTTTCTCGCCGGCGATGCGATTTTCGATGCGACAGAACACTGACTATTTGTCTGTCGGGAAAATAATGTGGATTTGTCGCAGCAAAATTTTTCACTTCCTCAGCGCAACACTTCATTTTCTCATCGACGACGCAATTTCCAAAGCGATCGAATGCTCATTATTTTCCCGACAGACTGATATTCCATCGCAGAAAGCCCTAACTTTCTCTCATTTCAGCGCAGTAATGAGTTCTGCAGCCTTTCTGGCAGCCCAACATCAATTTTCAACCAAACTTCTGGGTGAACTTGCAACTAGTTCTTCCAGCGGGAATGTCCTGCTTTCGCCGATCTCCATTCTCTCCGTTCTGTCGATGATCTACAGCGGCGCAGTGAATGAGACGAAGAAAGAGTTCGGCCGGACCGTGGGATACGGTAAGCTCAGATTTTGAAAAAAATTTTGCCCAAAAACTTTCAGAAGGCGGCGAAGACGAATGGAACAGCTACCTTGGCTGTTTACTCCGGTCATTTGACAAGGAAAGTACTTCTATGGGGTGTGGAATTACCGGTCGAGATATATATCAAAAAATTCGCAAAAATTTTCTGATTCAGAATATATAAAAATTAGCTGCCTAATTTTGGTCTGATGACATGTTTTTGTCCTCAGAAGTTTTCTCGCGACACCATGCAAGTGTCTTTTTGACCGTGTTTTTACCAATAAAAAATTTTGTTTTGTGCTAAAATAAATTTTGAGGCCTTGACAAGCCTTAAAATATCAAATTTGATTACAACTACACCTTAAAAGTAGTTCCAATGTAAAAAATGGGTTCTAGTGTGGAAAAAGGAATCGAACCCGTCCCCTTCGGATTCCCAATCTAGCGCTCTAACCACTCGGCCACACCGCTCTCTTCCGAAGGAAGAGACCGAGCTCGCTTTTGTTGCCGCAGATTTTTTTTCCTCGAGAAATACATTTATTGATAAAACTCGTTAATAGACCAAAATTAGGCAGCTAATTTTTATATATTCTGAATCAGAAAATTTTTGCGAATTTTTTGATATATATCTTGACCGGTAATTCCACACCCCATAGAAGTACTTTCCTTGTGAAGAAAGGAACAAGAGCTACACCCTCGAGAGCGCTAACAAAATCTTCTTGAAGAAGGGATTCAATCTCAAAGAGGGGTTTGAAAAGAAGATGACGAAATATTTTGACGCTCCATTCCAAGAGCTGGACCTCCAAAAGCAGGCGGAGGCCGCTGGAATTGTCAACAAATTTGTAGAGGAGAAAACTCACAACAAGATCAAAAGCATTCTTAGTCCGGGCGACATCACAGATGACTTGAGGTAGGCTTGAATTTGGTCAAATTAATCTAAGGATTTCACATTTTTTTTACTGCGGCATAGAGATGAAATATCATGTCGTCGAGGCTCTTCCGATATCTTTTAAATCGTGCCCACGCGTTCTGCAAAGGTTGTGGAATAATTATGGGAAATTTTAGCTAGCACTTTACAGGGGAAGCGGAGATATAGGGAGTGTCCCTAGGTCGGGTTCAAAGAAAAAATGGTTAAGTGGGTGAAGGTAACTTTAAAATCTTTTTACATAGTGACCCTCCCAGGCCTCTGGTGTGTGCGTCGCCCCATACTTGGCGACGCACACACCGCATGGCATGCCACAGAATGCCGCAGCGTTTTTTAAGGATCCAGTGGCAAAAAACCTACCATTTTGCATCCGGGAAGTATCAAAAATGCGGTAAAATGCATCTTTCTCCAAGTGAAAAAGAACTCTGGTTTCAAAAGCGCGCTTTTTGTGAGGGAAAGGGCGCGCCCTTCAAAACGGTTTTTTCATTTGGAGAGGGAAGCATTTTGCCACATTTTTGATGCTTTCCGGATGCAAAATGGTACATTTTTTTCCACGGGTCCGTCACTGTACAACCAAGCTCCGCGACTTTTTAATTTTTTTGGAATGCCCTTTTTTTCTCTAGCCATATCTCGCTTGCCGTTTGCGCTAGAAGTCTAAAATTGGGCATGGGTGCAGAGTAAAAAGCCGGCTTTCAGAAAATATGGATATTGTAAGGAACCTCGCAACATAAACTTTGCAATGGCAATTGAAAAAAATTCATTTTTTTAATTTTATGCGATATTTATAAATTTTTATACGATCATGTCACCTACACTTTTGGGTCGCGGAAGTTTTAGAAATGGTGGCTAGGTTTCAATAAAACAATTTAACAAGTTTTTCTTCAGAATTCTCCTCGTCAACGCGCTGTATTTCAAGAGCTCTTGGCAGGAACGCTTCAATCCGATTTTAACTAGCCAAAAAGAATTTTTTGTTGAGCCGAAGGTTTCACGAAAAGTAAGTACTGTAATTTGAATGCAGAATAACAAGTAAACACATTCCATTTCAGGTGAGGATGATGAAAAAGAAATCCCAATTCATCTACCACGACGCTGACGACCTTCAACTCTTGGGCATTCCCTACTCCGGCAATGAAACCTACATGTTTATGATATTGCCAAAAAGAGTTGAAGCGATTAACAGCATCTCCAGCGTCTTGGATGGGAAACGCCTGCAATCGCTGTTGAGCCGGCGGGAAAGGCAGTTGGTTAATGTTGAGATACCGAGATTCAAACTTGAAGAAAAGACTTTGCTGAACAGAGCGATGGAAAAGATTGGGCTCAAGCGAGGGTTCAGCGACGACGCCCAATTCACAGACATAGCCAATGGAAAGTTGAAAATTAATAAGTTGTTGCATAAGGTTTTCATTGAGGTGAGATTGAAGTTGCTTATTATCAATCTGTCCGGAAAATAATGAGCACTGTCGCATCGAAAATCGCGCCGCTGCCGAGAAAATGAATTGTGTCGCGACAAAATCATACTGCTTTTCTCTTCAGCGACACAATCGGCGCAGCGACATTGTGCTCATGATTTTCCCGACAGACTGAAAAAAATGAAAAAAAAAAAACATTTTCCAGACCAACGAAGAGGGCACTGAAGCCGCAGCTGCAACTGCGGGCGGGATGTTTGGAATCCGCCCTTCCATGCCAGAGGTGGTCCCCGATTTCATCGCCAATCATCCCTTCATATTCTTCATTACGACCAAAAAGAACGACATTCTGTTCGAAGGGATCATCAGAGAGATAAAAAATTGAAAAATCGTTGAATTGCGATGATGAATTTATTGAAGCTTCAACAATAAACAAACAACAAAAAAATCACCGTTCCGCGTTCAGACAGCTGTTTCGAGGGGAGATTTGGGTTGGGAACAGAGGAATCAACGTCGCATTTACTCCATTTTCCGCGACATATTGTAGTCGGTCAAGCAAGATTAGCGACTCCATTACTGGCTGCAACGAATATTGAATGTCCTGAAAATTTTGGAAACTGAGATTACAAAAAAACAAGCTGAAAACTTCATATTTTTATTTTCGCACTGTGCGGCACAGACTTTTTTCGCGGCGCACAGTGCATTTTGCCTTTTCCGTTGTTTGTCGCTGACGCACCGTGCACTTGGCTGTTTTTCGCATAGTGCAAACATAAAAAAGCGGTTTGCACTGTGCGAATCATGAAAACGTCGCGGCCCGCACCGTGCACAAAAAACACGTCATTTTGCACAGTGCGTTCCATTTTTTTGGTTTGCACTGTGCCTCCAAATATCGCCGAAACGCAAGTCTTTTTCAACAGCATCGCCGCGGCGTTGCCGAATTATTTGCACAGTGCAAACGGCTTTTTTGTGGTTTGCACCGTGCGAAAAGATGAAAATGCGCTGTGCGTTAGCGACAAGCTCGGAGAAAGGTTTGCAATGCACTGTGCAAAAAACCAAAAATGTCCATGCACTTTATGAAGCACCAATAAACTGTAAAACTTACCAATAATAACTGAACTTTCGGTATCAACGCGCCAAATTCCCTTTCAATTGCGTTCAGCTGCTCTGTCCAAAGTTTTTTGGTCGATTCGTCTGTCGAATATCGCTGACTGAGAGTTTCAGCGACTTCCGCGATCGTCGAGCCGAGTTTCCGTCGCTTGGAACGGTGTTCATCTTTAGCATTTATACCTGAAATGGGTAAAAAATATCAAAATTTTTACGATATTATACATGACAGGTCAGGTGGATCTAAAACATTTTTTTTGTCAATAACTTGATAAATAATGGTTCGAAATTTATAAAAATTACATTTTTAGGACCCTCAAGGAATCTATTTTTCAGTGTCCAAAAAGTTTTTGCAATATCCCCTCAGGATATTTTTACCAAGCATGCTAATTTAGAGCAACTAAAATCAAAATAAAAATAACTTTTTCAGATTTCCAGAGTGTCCTTTAGTAAAAAAAAGCTTTTTAATAAAAATTTACATCCTTTGAAAGTCCAAAAAACGCAATTTCAAAAAAATGGCTCCATTATTTCCTCAGTTATTCGCAATATAAACCGTTTAGGTCCTGACCGAAAAATAAGCCGACTGTCTCTCAGAAAAATAGCCGAATCTCACCCATTCGTTGATAAAACACCTCAACCATGGCTCGAATTGTCAACGCATTCAGTCGCCGCTCTCTTTCCTCGGCCGACATTTTCACATAGTCCGGGAACCTCATTTCGGCCGCCATTCTCATTGCTGACCCATTTACTTCAATACCTTGAAGTTCTTTGGTCAGGAAATCACTTAGAATCCATTCGTTGTTGTCTGGAAATGGAATCTGTGTAAAAAACGAGATTTTTTTCTTATTTTTGATCCAAAAAATATTACTATTATATTTGTTGTTGTTATAGTAATCTACTTTCAAAAAATAAAAAATATTTTTTTTTTCGAAAATTCTATTTTGCCTAGAAATCCAAAAAAATCTTTTTTTTATGTCTTTTTCTCACTTGGCTTCTTCGTTTTGTGATAGCAGCATCCAATCGTCAACAATAATGGGACCTTCTTTCCATCAGCTTCTAAAAAAAGCTTGATCAAGGTCTCTTGCAGATCTCCACAGCCGTGCAGTGATATCAATGCAGTTTGTTGATCCTAAAAGTCATAAAATCAACTCAAAAAATACTTGCTTCAGCTTCCAACAAATTCAAAAATTCCCCAGAATTTTCGGCTCCAATCTCGACGGAATTGAACGAAATGTCGCCGTAAATCTTTTTTCCTTTATCGCAAAAGCCGGAGTTGCAATCGACACCCACTAATTCCACATCCGGGAGTTTTTTGCCAATCCAGCCGAGAAGATGGCCCTGAAAAATGAAATTTTTTATATTACTTTAGGTCATCATATACCAAAAAATTTTTTGTCAGTATGTCCTGAAATTTAGCATAGACACTCTCTGCAGTCCACATATCCATCGCAAAAAATTTTAGCTTATAGTATCCATCAGCTGTCGAGATATTAAAGGCGCTTTTTTCGAGAGAGCATGGAAAGTGAGGAGAGTCGGTCAGAGAAAAAAACCGTTTTTTGGTTAGATCTTCGCGAACTTCGCTCGAACAAAAATTTTTTTTGTGGATATATAATAGACCTAATTATCAATCATTTGAAATTTTCAAGCCAAAAAAATCAAAAAAAAAATCGAGATTTTTTAGATTTTCAGGTTAAAAATCACAGCGATTTCGGCAAAATACGCGGTAAAAACTTCAAGAATGTCTTATAAAATTCTCTTCTATTAATTAGAGCAAGTTTCAATCAAATTTGAAAATTTTTTTTTTGCGATTTTAGTCATCAAAATTTTTTTTTTAATATAAAAATTATAAACGTCACTCTTACCAGCCCGCATCCAACATCCACAACTCTCGTTATGCCCTTTTCTTCACATTTCTCAACCAAAAATCGGCCAAAACACTCCAATTCCACCGACTTTTTGAAGGTCAATTCGCGATTCCTCGCTTTATTCAGCTTCCGGATCTGTTTTTGGTCCAATTTCTCCTCCGATAAGATGGACAAAGACTGTCCAAGTGATACGAATTGAGTGAATGAGAGATTTTCAATCTAAAAATGATGAATTGGACTTGAAAATAAAGAAAAATCTTACATTTAGAGAGAAAATTTCAGTTGAAATGGATGATGTTGAAGAAGAAGGGATTTCGGAGGGAAAACATGAGGCGATCTGTGATAAATTGACATTTTTGTGTCCTTCGAGCCACTAAAAAAAGATTTTTTAACGAGAAATGAAACTTTATTTTGCTCAAATTTGTAAAAAAATGAGATTTTTTGGTCAAAAAATAAAAGATTTTTTTTTTCAAAAAAAATCTTTTTTTTTCAATTTTCAAAAATTTCCGGATGTATGTGTTGGCAATAGAGCGTAAAATAATTCCCCAAAAAATCAACCATTTCCAAATAGAATTCAAAAAGTTACAGTGAAAAAAGTCACTTTTGTCTGGCCGCTCTCCTCATTTTACGTGCTCTCTCGCAAAAGAATTTGTTGAATATCTCGGCAGCGCCTGCAAATTAGGACCTAAAATTTTTAGGGATTTATCCATGGCCTATACAGAAAATATTCGCAAAATTTGAAGAAAAAATCCGACGGTTAATTTTTGATAACTTTCCAACCAAAATTTTGATGAAATTTTGTTAAAAAACTTCGCGCACTCCGATAAACAAAATAATTTAGAGTTAGCTCAACATGTTTTTCAGACCTAATAAGGCAAATAAAAACAAGATTTCAACAAAAAAAAAATTATTTTTACCTTTTCCGGCAATAAATCCAACTTTCCGTCAGCGAACACCCTGACAACCGGGAAATTGACAAATTTCACGGTGTTTCGGACAAATCCGGCTAATCTTCGCAGCTGCATTCGTTGATTACTCTGTCTCCATTCCATTGACTACAAAAATTCCAAACTTTTCTTTCCTTTCTCTCCAAAAAATATCAATTTTATGCGATCTACATCAATTTTTCCGCCAAAATTTTCAAAATCACATTAGAACTTCGATTTATTATCAAAAATTCACAATATTACAAACAAAAATCAAAGGACAAAGAGAAATCTCAACTCGGGATATTACACTAGATTTATCATAAACAAAATAAATACAATATTTACATCTAGACGCTCTTGATACAAAGCGTTTTTACGACTTCCAAACCCCTGCGCCACTAAATAAATTTTACAAATTCAAGTAAGACACATATTATAAATGATATTTATAAGATGCTTTTACTAAAATAAATACTAAATTCAATCCACCAAAAAAAATTTCCCGTATGTTCGTATAGACAATGAAAAATTGGGCAGAACTCGAAAAGTTTCGAAAGTAAAAATTTGGATGGAAAATTCAAAATTTGTCTGAAAAAATCCAAAAAATTTCTCCGAAAATCCAAAAAATTCTTTGAAAAAAATCAAAAAAATTCTCCGAAAAATCCAAAATTCCTCCGAAAAATCCAAAAATTTCTTCAAAAAATACAAAAAACTTTCCGAAAAATTCCAAAAATTCTCCGAAAAAAATCCAAAATTTCAAAAAAATCCAAAAATTTCTTCGGAAAAATCCAAAATTTCTCCGAAAAATCGAAAAATTTCTTCAAAAAATACAAAAAATCCTCCGAAAAATTCCAAAAATTCTCCGAAAAAATCCAAAATTTCAAAAAAATCTAAAAATTTTTTCGGAAAAATCCAAAATTTCTCCGAAAAAATCCAAAAATTTCTTCAAAAAATACAAAAAAATTCTCCAAAAATTCCTTCAAAAAATCTCAAAACCCACCCAAAAAAATCCTCAAACCAACCCCAAACCCCTTCAAATCTCTTGCGGTTCAAAAGTTTTCAAAATATCCGAGATCGCCGAGTACGTTCCAGTAGTAAATCCTAAGACCGCAAATCCCAACAGAGCAAAATTCTTGGCATAGCATCCAACAGTGAGCTCATTTTTGGCCGACGCGACAAGCAGATCGATCATCGGTGGGAAGAGGAGGGCCAAGGCGGAGCAGGCGACAGCGCCCATGAGTGCGATGAAAAGTGCCAAATGAGGGACCATTTCGGCAATGGCCAAGGTCAAAATCACGATTCCAAACCTGGCCGAGTACATATATTGGGTGTGTTTTTCCGGAGGGCATTTCCGGCTGATCCATTTCTCCACTCTCTCCAAAGGGACGAAGAACTGGATGGGGTAGGAAACCAACACACAGAGGACGAACATAATCTTCAGGATCTGATAGAACGGCTCATCGGGCAAGTTGAGGGTCACAGTGTCAGCCACTTCATTGCCCACCGCCAGATAGCCGTAGAATCCGATCACCGAAAAGATGGCCAGCACCACCATGCAAGACGTGTTCAGCACTCCATTCCATTGAATGAAATTCTGCGGGGATTGCATTCGATTCTCGATGATCATGATCTAAAGGCGGAATCAAAAATTTCAAACCGCAACTTACAACCGAAACACCTTCGAAAGCGAACATCACAGTGCCGAAGAACAGTGGCAAATCCCGCAATTCTCCCCATTTCGTCAACTCATCCGTCGATTTGAGGTTGCTGAAGAAGAAGTACACCACAATCGCCACTGCGCCCAAGTAAATCACATTGGCTGCGGTCGCGAATGGCGCCAATTTCGAGAGTTTTCGAATGGAACAGAAGCCGAGAACCGGAATGCAGATGAAAACCATCCAGACCGACTTTGGAAGGACGATACCAACATTCTTCCGGAAGAAATCCTCCAAATTGTCCGCCATGAAGACGAAATACACACAGCAAAATCCGAGTTGAGCGATGAAAACGTTGCAGTTGACGAGTTGTTTGAAGAAATATCCGCGATGTCTGATCCACGACGGACCTGCTTCGACCGCACCTCTCATGATATTTCCATAATCAATTGCATCTCGGCCGTTTCTGGAACAAAAAATATTTTAGGTGTCTGACGACCCAAAAAATTATCTTTCTGTTGAATTTAGCATTAGTTTTCCTTGAAGAAGCCTAAAAACAGAAGAAGAATTCAAATACTTACCTCGAACAGACAAAATGGGCAGCAAATACGATCTGTCGCATGCAGTAAAGGCAGACGAAGCAAATCAATACCAATAAGATCATTCCCAGCTGAAAATAACGTCCAAATAAGTCAGAGAAAAGCAGAATTCATTCAAAATACTCTCAAACCCACATACATAGAGTCCAGCATGTTTGAAAGCCAACGGAAGACTCAGCAGTCCAGTTCCAAGCATCGCTTTGACCATGTGCATGAAGGCCTGTTCGGATGTGATAGTTTGGGCTGTAGCTTGGCGTTCCGCGAACAGATGACTTCCTTCGTTGTGCTGAGGCTGAACGCCCGCTGCGACGACCACATTGGCCTCTCGATCCGGTTCATCGGTCGAATTTTGCATCTAAAACAACACGATATTACACTTGGTGCCGGTGAGGCAAAATTAAAGTAACAACGGGATCTAAAGACCATAAATAGATATCATAAGCTGCATTGGGGCATTTCCTACCCTTCTTTTGATACTTTAGCTCAAAAAATATAAATGATTCATCTGGCCGCTAATTTTATCTTGATCAACATAGTAAACAGAATTTCTTTGTAAAAAGCAACAAATTCATTAGAAAATAGACGATTGAAAGCAGTAAAATTAAAATTTCAACATCTAAACCTTTTAGCTTCCCCACTAGATACCTAAAAATCTCCCGAAACGCGTTCAAAACTCCAAAAATCACAAGATGAACTCGTAATTGGATTGAAAAAGCGCTCCACACAAAAAGTACAATGTTCGGAGAGACGGCTGTATAAACAAGTCGATTTGGACTGGCCAAAATTATCAATTCCTGCTCTCTCTCTAAAGCCCCTTTTTTTGACTAAAATCTGCTAATTACGTTAGCGGAAGGTTAAAAACGAAGATCAGACGGAGATAAGGCGGGGTTTTCTAGACAGGATTGATAAGAATTCGCCACAATTTTCGAACATTATCATCAAGGTTCGGGGGTTCAACTTTTTCGTTTCCAAGGATTTTTTCTTTGGCAAGCTGCGCCCGAGCCTGGCACAAAATTGGCCATAGCTCCGGCTTTGTGGAAATTGGACAGAGTGAAGTTGTACAGAAATAAATTGGACGGAGCGTGGAAATTGGGAGATTTTTTCACTCCGATCGTACGAAATGAACTACCTTTGCAGTGAAAAAATCTGTCCAATTTCCACGCTCTGTCCAATTTATTTCTGTCCGATTTCACCCTGTCCAATTTCCATGAAGCCGCTCCAATTTATTGCAAACTGTCCAATGTTCATTGAAAAAACTTTATACCAGATGTATATCAGTTCTAACATCTTTTTTCCCGTTTATTTTATCCATTACCATATAATTTATCTTTTTTCCGTATAACATGTCAATCAATGCTAATCCCCCCACAATTCTGTTATGAGACAAGTTTTTGCATTCAAATCAACTCCTCACTTACCCAGAACCTCGCATCCGGTCCACTGTCTGAAGGCAGGGCCATCACCAACAAATATGCTGGATCGGAATTTTGCCCTAAAACAAGAAAGGCAACTCTTGTCAAAGTGGACTGTTAAACCGCAATATGACGACGGTCTCGACCTGTTCGCGCTGATTAATGATTGGAAATCGAGGAAATAGTAAAGGAGAACTCGAACGGAACCGGTTATGACGTGGATGACGAGATGAATTTTGATCGCAATTTTTTTGTTACAACAGCAAAAAAAGGTTGTTGTGAGAGAAAGGTAGAGACGCATGGGTCAAAAAAAATATTTGAGAAGAGTCTCAATGTAGTCTATGAACAATTGAATCCGCAGATTCAGAATCAACTCACTAAAAACTCGATAATATTTTATATTAATTTAGGCAGTCAGATGGTTGTTTATTATCCCAAATTTCAGACCCTCGAAGATATCAAATTTCCATGGTAATAATTTTCTCACTAATAGAACACTTCGTTCTCTAAAAAACTCTCGATAATACTTCAAAACAAACAACAGGACTCCTTATCAGCTTTTTGAATTTTGAAAACCACTAACATGTTCTATGGAGCGGAAAGTTGGTCAGAACACAAGAGTGGGGGGATTAAGTGGAGGAAAAAATGTGTCATTCAGCGTGGCATTGTTTTCGCGGTTTTGCGGGGAAAGCGCAGAATTGTAAAGTAATTGGATCAAATTTTATGGGGGAAAAACAACAAACACTCGGTTTTAGGTAGAAAACTATCCAAAATCTTGATGCCGAAGGTTGCTATCGTTTTGATAAGATTCAATTTGCCTACAAAGGACTCTCAGGAGAAAAACAGTGCTCTAACGTACTCTTTCGTCAAATTCCAGGCTTTCCCAACCCGAAAATGGCAAGCGATTATATTACACATCTCAAATCCAAGCCCAAGCTCTCGAAATGGTCCTAAAAGCCAATAAAAATACTCGTAAAACATCAAACCTTTCCCGGCGCATCAGCACTAATCCTCATCCTTCAATTTCAGATCTTTCACAGCAGATGTGAATCACTTTTCTCCGTCTTTTGACAAAATTCCATTGAAATTTCGAAGCTCTTCAAGTTCCGGAATGGAGCCGACCTCAACTCCAATTCCGGAAAAAGAATTGGAGTTGAGGTCGCGAGGATGAACAAAAAAAGAAGTCGAAAGGACCAAAGGAGAGAGAGTAACACTCAAAAAAAAAATGTTTTTCGGGTGAAAAATATTTGGATGAAGTGTCACAAACGTATCGATTTTTGTGGCATTTCGTCAAATTTTGAGGAAAAGTGAAAATTTGAAAAATATAGGGATAAAATAGATTTTTGGTTCAAATTTTGGATTTCTACACCATATTTAGCATCTTAGATTAAACATTAAATTTTTTTTGGGTATGTTCCAAGGAAATGTGAGATTTTTTTTTAATTTTTGCGTGAAAGCTAAAAATAACCCCAAAAACCCAAAAAATTTCAAATCGCCTCTAACAGAGATCACCATGATCCAAAAAGCATAAAATTTTGAGGTTAAAAAAATAAAAAATCCCACCCGAGCTCCCAATGAACCCATCAATCACGCTAATTCTGACATCCATTGGAACAAAATTGCCTCGACTATTTATCACAAGCGTTATTTTTGACCTCGTTTTGATTATTATTCCACGAAAAGGCTTTTTATTTCCTTCTAATGCAATTATTTATTCAAATAAACCAAACTTCCGAATTTTGTGGGCCTTATACGATTTGCCCTAAGGGGTTTGAGTGCCATGCTACTTTTGAGTAAGTTGTTTAGAGTTTTTTTTACCGCAATACACAAGAAAAATTAGGGTGGAAAACCGTTTTTACGTCCGTGCGACTCTCTTCATTTTATTGGTCTCTCATAAAAAGATCGTCAAATATCTCGGCTGCTGTGGCGAATAGATGGCTGAAATTTTTAGCGATTAATCAATGTTCTATTAATATGTAAAATTTGGGAAAATATGGCTGAAAAAAGCCTTATCTGGTTCCTCCATGTCCCATTTGAAAAGATCGTTGAATATCTCGGCTGTTCTTCCATAGCTAAAATTTTGAATCATTGATATGCGCTCCAGATATGATATTCCTATAAAATTCGCAAAAAATCAGCCAGCAGCGCTCTGAGAAATTAATGTTTTATCAATGACTCCTTTCAGTCTCCCCAACGACCCATTTCTTTGCCTCCCTCCAGAATTCTCGACCTCCGAAGCGCTGCAATCGGCGTTGCTGGCTTCATTACATTCCAACATCCCCACCTACGCCCTTCTGATGACTATCAGCTTTTTGGCCGGTGTTTTATCGACCATAATTCCCGTTGCTCTATGCACCTCGTTGCTAAAGCCATCACAAACTCTTTCAACAGCTCCGTCAAGCAGTACGATTGTGCAAAACCAACAAATAAGCCAGGCAAAGCCTCAGGCGTCGTCTTGGAGGGATATTGAGACGATCGATGTTGATGATGCGGCAACTTCGCTGACGCGAACAACCACTTCTTCAAACGCGCAAGGAGGTGGGGTGCAATATTGTTTGACGTTGAAATGGGCGAAATAGAACGCATGGGAAGTGTTTGAGCACATTGGCTGACGCTGAAGATCGTAAGGCAATATTTTTGATAACTGTTGATGAAAATAATGGAGTGAGAGGTCTTGATAGAGACGTTTGGGTCAAATTGATCTCGTAGTGATGTTGCAGATTCGGCCAACCTTTTCTCTACCATTTTGTCGGGAAAATAATGGGTACAATAGTATATATGTATATTTCGATCCCGTCGTTGCAACTTGATTTTGTCGCGTAAGGCAAAATGGCAGTTTGAAAATTACAAAAAAAAAATTTTTTTTGCTATAAATATCGGTCTGTCGGGAAAATAATGAGCACAATGCTTCGATCACGTCGCTGGAATGAAAAGCAATTTGATTTTGCCGCGACACAAGTCATTTTCTCATTAGCGATGCGATCTTCGATGCGACAGAATGCTCATTATTTTCCCGACAGACTGATATGACACAATCAACTCATTTCCGTAATATGTGTACATTTATTCAACAATAAATTTAATATTATTTTGGAAAATATCTGATGGAAATTGAAGATATCTGAAGAAAAAGTACAGTACCCCATAAAAGTGAAAATTCCGAAAAAATATTTTTTTTTGAATTGCAGTTTCCATGGAGGCTACTGTACTCAAAAGCATATCTAAAATGCGAGCGAGAACCGTCGATCCGCCGGGTTCTGTTGTGGGGTCCCACAACCCTGTTGAGCCCCATTTTTCTTCAACGAGTTTTGCGACGGACCCGCGGTCGTTGTGGAGGTCCCTTGAAGACTGGAGCGACGACTTAAAATCACAAATTTTTTGTTCAGAATGTTCAGCAGTCGGCGACGGAAGGCGGCCGAACTGAGGCAAAACAAGACGAAGTTGAGGGTTTTCCCGATGATCACCAGAAATCCGGTGATGGTTGAGATGTTATACCAAATGATATTGGAGTTCACATAGGGTGGACGATGGCCGGAGAGGAATGAGAGCGACATTATGACGGCGGAGGGACCCTGAAAATCAGAGAGAATTAATTTGGTTATTGAAATTTTTCTGCCTTTGAAATGAGTGACATTTTATACGATGGTTTTTAAAATTTTTTTATTTTTTTTTTTTTGAAAAAAAATGTTGAAAAAAAAGAAATCATCGCTCTTTAGGAAGTTTTGCTTACTCAAAAAAAAGCGACAAAAACACCAATTTATCAGTCTGTCGGGAAAATAACGGCGGATCGTCGCAGCAAAATGTCTCGCCTCGCCGCTGTCGCGCACCAAATCCCCAGCCGCGGCTTGCAGTCGCAAAGCGATGATGGGCGATTCCGAGGCGCGACGATCCGCCGTTATTTTCCCGACAGACTGATAAAACAATTTCTTCTAGAACACAGGCTTCTGGCAGCAGAAAAATCGAGATTTTAGGTCGAAAGTTGGAAAAAATGTGATTCTTTTTTTTTGCAAATTTTTACATAAAGAGTTTTCGTCCTATTTCTACCGTAGATGGTGATGTTTCCACAAAAAAAAACCAATTTTTTCTGCGTGAAAATAGTAAAGTTATAGCCAAAAAGTGTTTTTGACTCTCCACTCCAGCACTCTCTCGGCCGCAAAAATTGTTGAATATCTCAGTTGTGGTTTCAAAGCGGTTGCTGAAACTTTCAGGAATTGATATGTGACCTATGCCCTAGATGTGTTCAGAATTTAAAGAAAATCCGAGCGTCAAAATTTACACATTTTCCATGACAATTTGAAAAGAAAATTTATGTTTTTAGATGTTGTAAGCTCACCTGAGTGATGGTAAAACACGTCACAATAGCGCAAACAGTCACCGTGACCCGATGTTCCGCGTGAAACTGCGCTGTCTGATCGATGCTTCTGCGAAACAGCATCGAAGTCACGTACGACCCCATGTCTTCGCTATCCCTCTTCGTCGTCACCACATTCGGCAAGCTGCTTTTGTGGCGCGGATGCGTCACCACCGAATCTTTGTGGTGCTGTTCCACCATTAAGCGGTTGTACATCAGGAACGATTGCTTTCGAACCACCACAAGTAAGGCGCAATTTAGGCCGAGCATTACGATGATTGGAAGGATGATGACAAATGCCACGTTCACGATGATACTCCATTGGACGTAGGCGCGTAATGCCAGAGGCGTTAGATTGGTTCGGTTGCCGGGCCAGCTAAAAACAATTTTTTTGGAAAAATTTAAAAAAAGTTAGAAAAAAAAATAAAAAAATTCTAAAAAAATCAAAAAAAAAAAAAAAGAAAAAAATGTTTTTGAATAGATCTCAGAAGAATTCGTTAAAATTTTAGCTCTTTTTGGTGGCCACCGAAAGATTTTTTTTTGATTTTTTGCAAATTTCATACGCCCATTTTATACCAAACACCTCAAAAAATTATTTTTCAAAAATGTTGAAAAAAGTCCTTACTGTTCCTGCACAATATCGAAGCATTTACTGATGACCTGAGTCCCATTACACAGCTCTTTGACCACACAGTGGTAGGAAAAGTGATTATAGAAAGTCAGAACACCCGTTGCCAGCACAATTGTGCTGATTAATCTGGCCGTCGTACAGGGAGACCATTGAGAATTGGCGCGGAGAAGAGAGCGGATCCCGAGTAAACGCTCCGCACAAATGGCTATCACCAACCTAAAATAATATCAAATTAGGTCGAAAAAATTGTTTTAAATCAAATTTAAAAAAGTAAAAAACTAGAAAATGAGCATTTTTTATAGGTGACACTTTATACGATGATTTAAAAAATTTTTTTAAAATCGAGATTTTTTAATAAAAAACTTCAAAATCGATAAACTCAAGAATTTTGACGATTTTAAGCTGGGCGACATCTTATACGATAGATTTTCAATTTTTTTCGGAAATTGAAATTTTTGATTTTTTGCAGAAAAAATTTTTGACTTACCATATCGTAACAGCGGAGCACCAGTTCGCCAATGAGATCAAGTGCATTTTGGATTGGAAATAAAATAATCGGAATGTGTGGTTCAACCCGAAACGATCGAAATTTGCCATGGAATGTGGGATCATGAGGAGGAGGAAGAGAATATCGCACAGTGCCAACGCTACCAGCAACCCGTTTGATCTGCAAAAACAATAAAATTGAATATTCAGTTAGAATAACTAAAATAAGGCAAATTTTAGGAAAAAAAAAATTTTGAAATTTTTCAAAAAAATTTTTTTTTTGAATTTTTTTTTAGAAATTCTCTTGACCTCTTCTAAATATTTCACATTTCGATTCCTGAAAGTTTTAGCTCATACATTGGAGGCATAGCCGAGATATTAAGTGATCTTTTTTCGAGAGAGCACGTAAAATGAGGAGAGCCGGTCAGACAAAAAATGTGTTTTTTCTCAGTAACTCTTACTTTTTTCTTGAAAAAATTCGATTCTTTTGTGAAAAAAAATTTTACTTTCACACGCCAATTTTTCAATTCAAAAAGCAGCGATTATTTTTTCCAATTTTTACCTGTGATTTGTCGTTCGTCGAGATCGAATTTCCCCGCTTAAAAGGACCGTGAGATTCAGCAGATTTCCAATTACTCCGACAGCACATAATGGAGGGAAAACCGAAGTGAAGAAGATGTTTTCCAGCTCGGATCCCTGAAACAGACAAAAAAGTTGCAATTGTCATCAAAAATCTAATAATATTACAGTACATATACTGGAAGCCCCACATACTACGATGCTCAGATTTAGCTCAAGTTTTGCTCACGAGTTTTACCCTGGCCACAAATCAAATGGCCAAGACTTCAGGTCGCGATTTGCAAGAGCAGCCGAGATATTCAACCATCTTTTTTGAGAGAGAGATAGTATGCAAGGTGCGGAGAGCGGTTAGAGAAATCCGTCTTTCAGCCATAACTTGGTCAATTCCGCTTGGAAAATGTTGATTCTTTTTTGTGTAGACATATCATTTTGAACAAGAAATCAAGCCATTTTTTATTCCAAAAAATTTTCGAATTTTTGCAAACTTTCGATCAAAGAATCATATTATATTTTTTCCACAAAGCGCGAGCTAGAAGTCTAGCATTATATCTCAAAAAATCTTGGTCTAAAGCGGTCACAAACTCTGTCAAAATCTGAGCTTTACATTTTGCAAATCACTCATTGAAATTCCCACTCACCTCCAGCCTCAACATACTGTCCGGCACACAGACGTCCATCGCGTCGAAGACGGGCGGCGGAGAGCTGCGATCATCCATCCGATAGGCCATAAAATTTGGCCCGGTTCTGTTCATTTCCGACTGGAACAAGAAGATAAAGTTTAACGTCTAGCCGAGGAAAAAGGGGTTTGATGACATTCCGCGGCATTAAAAGTTGGAAAAATTTTTGGAAAAACAGAAAGAAGCTATGAAATTATAACAAGAGAAGTGCCCCAAGTGCGACGCTTAGATTTTCCTTAAATTTTGCACAAGCATTGGGCATAGACCACATATCAATATCTGAAAGTTTTAGCTCGTGCTTTGCAGGGGCAGCCGAGATATTCAACGACCTTTGAGGGCCGAGAGGATACGCAAAAGGAGGAGAGCGGTCAGAGAGAAAACTTTTTTTAGCTACAGTGGGGAATCTGATCCAGTGGCACAAAATGTACCATTTTACTTCCGGGAAGTATCACAAATGTGGCAAAACACTTCCCTCTCCAAGTGAAAAACTCCGATTTCAAAAGCGCCACATTTTTGATGCTTCCCGGATGCAAAATGGTACGTTTTTTGCCACGGGTCCGTTACTGTATATCTTTGTCAGCTCCGTTCGGGCATATGCTACATATCAATTCCCGATACTTTTAGATTTTCATATTCAGCGATCTTTGCAGTAGAGAGAGTAGGAAAAACGTGGAGAGTGGTTAAAGAGAAAAACAGTTTTTAGCCGTATCTTTGCCAGGCGTCGCGACACTTGCGGGCAACCACTTTGCGGGCAACCACTTTGCGGGCAAAATTTTGGGGGTCACATTTGCGGGCAGCTGAGACACTTGCGGGCAGCCTGGGACATTTGCGGGCAACCGACATTTGCGGGCAGTCGGCACCTGAGGGTAATAGGGTGGATGTGGAAATATTACTGCGATATTTTGGAAATTTGCCGACAGTTGCGGGCAGCCGACATTTGCGGGCAACAGGAAAAAACAATCACACAGACTGTACTGGTACTTTTGGAACTGTTGCCCGCAAATGTCGGCTTCCCGCAAGTATTGCCTGCCCGCAAATGTCGGAAAACTTCCAAAATATCGCAGTAATTTTTCCACCTCCACCTTGTTATCCTCAAGTGCCGGTTGCCCGCAAATGTCGGCTGCCCGCAAATGTCGGCAAATTTCCAAATTTCATAGTAATTTTTCCATCTCCCCTGTTACCCTCACAATCAGGTGTCGGTTGCCCGCAAACGTCGGCTGCCCGCAAATGTCGACCCTGCCCGCAAATATCCACGGCTGCCCGCAAATGCCGGTGCTGGCCGCAAATGTCGGCTGCCCGCAAAGCGGCTGCCCGCAAAAAATTTGCCCGCAAAGTGGTTGCCCGCAAAGTGGTTGCCCGCAAGTGTGCGCCCGCCCTTTGCCAGTTTTGCGCGGCAAAAATTGATTTTCTGTGGAAAAATTTTTCTCTGCGATAGAAATAGGTATGAAACTTCTTGTGCCAAAATTTGCAAAAAAATGCTACACTTTTTCCAATATCTGACCAAAAAATCTCAATCGTTCGTGCAAAGCGCGAGCTGGAAATCTCTCATAGGTCTTAGAAAAAACCAAAAAATATCTCTCTCCATTCCCCTTGAAGTCAAGTTTTCCAAGGCCGCCCAAGAACTTGTCCAAACAGCCAAACATTTTCGGCTTATCAAAAAACCCCCATTGGCGATTTTATTGCAATTTTCAAGATTCCGGACAACTGTTAAAACCGCCTTTGAAAAAAAACAATGATAAGTTTCGATTATGGGCCATTAAAATTCAGCGAAAAATTGATAAAAAAATGTATTTTTAGACAGACGAAAAGTTCGAAAAAATCGAGATTTTTCGTGGTTTTTGGCTGCCAAAAAAGACACTTTTGTCATTTTAAACCTCCCTAATCTCTAGTTGTCCTACATATTTATAAGTATACAACTTTTCAAAACTCCTACTCCTCTTTCGAAAACAAAACATGGTGGCCGGATTAGGCCGAATGGCCATTCTCACACCAAAAAAAACGCTCCCATTTCGGGGCATAAAATAAAAAGTGAAAAGAACGCCGGCCAAGAATGTATTTTTAGTCTGCGTAACGAATATGTATTATGCATATACATTTAAAATTCAGAGGGCTTTTAGAGGGAGTTTCGGGCAAATCAAAATATAAAATTTGACTTTGTATACATAATATACTAACAGGGGAAGTGCTCCAAGTGCGACGCTCAGATTTTCTTTAAATTTTGCACACACATCGGCTATGGACAAAATATCAATTCCTGAAAGTTTTAGCTCGCGCTTTGCGGGCGCCGCCGAGATATCGACCGATTTTTGCCGCCGAGAGATCACGATAAATGTGGAGAGCGGTCAGAGAGAAAAACGCTTGTTGGCCATAACTTTGGCAATTTTGTGCGGAAAAATTTGATTTTTTGTAGAAACACTATCCTTTACGATTGAAATAGAGGGAAAATAATGAGCACAATACGCCGATCGGGTCGCTGAAATGAAAATTAATTTGATTTTGCCGCGACACAAGTCGTTTTCTCATTAGTGATGCGATTTTCGATGCGACAGAATGCTCATTATTTTCCCGGCAGACTGGCCGGCGCTTATTATTTTCCCGACCGACTAATATCAAAAAAAAATTTACTCTGAATTTCCCCCTAAGTCTTCAAGATTTGAACCGACAACCTCAGGAAGTTCGCTCCAAATTTTTTCTCGTCCAAACAACAACAACTAAAAGAAAATGCAAAACAAATTCGTAAAATCCCATCCTTTTTACGTAATGCTGCTGCTTCGCTCGCAAATAACACTTGCAATCAGAAGGAAAAAAAAGAGTTTTTGTGTGGACCTAACTCGATTTTAAATTGGCCGCAAAATAGAAAAAAATGGAAAAAGTCGTAAAAACGATGAGTAATCCCGAAAAAGAAAGTAAACTACAGCTTGAAGAAAAAATATCAGTCTGTCGGGAAAATAATGAGCACAATGTCGCATCAAAAGTCGCTTTGTCGTGCCATGAAATGTCTGCAAAGGTCTGCTAAAAAATCTCCCGGAACAGTTTTTTCGATAAAAATGAAATTATCCCGGAATATCCGGAAGAGCAGAAAATGGTGTCACATCGATAAAATGTTGGGAGCAGAAGCGCAAACAAGAAATTTGGATAAATAAGCAGAGCCTGCAGAAGAAATTGGATATGTAAATAATCAGTTTGAATGGTTAAAGCAGGCTCAAAGTTCAAAATTATTTTCCAATTTTTTTAAAAATTTTTTGATTTTACATTAAAAAAAAATTTTTTTTGTCGCAAATATTGAAATATCATAACTATTTACTATTTGCGATTTTGCCGGTGCAAAAATACATAAAAAAATTCAAAAAAAATTTTTTTGACATTTCGTCTCACACGGCGGGAAAAACATTATTCAAAAGTTGATGTGCTTGGCGAGCCAAAAATGCCATGTTTTCGCACGGTGCGAGCGCACAAATTCAATGTTGCGACGAGATATCGCGCGACAAAAATTCGGCGGAGTGCAAAAAAAGAGCGCACTGTGCTTTCGATTGCCCTTTTCAAAACAATTTTTTTGCACTGTGCGCGTTGCGGCAGAACTCTCCGCCTTTTCTGAACTTTCCCTCAATCTGATCTCTCCCCCTTTTTGAACTCTCCCCCTTCATAACTCTCCCCCTTTTTGAATACTCCCTCTTGAATGAACCCTCCCCTTTTTTAAACACTCCCCCTCATTTTGAAAATTGAAAAAATGAGGTGTGACATCTTATAAGATAAAAAAAAATTTTCAAATTGAGAAAGATGAGATGTGACATCTTTTTAAAAAAATTTTTCATCGTATAAGATGGCACACCTAATTTTTCTCAATTTGAAAAAAATTTTCATCGTATAAGATGTCACACCTAATTTTTCTCATTTTGAAAAAAATTTTCATCGTATAACATGTCACACCTCGTTTTTTCAATTTTCAAAATGGGGGAGTATTCAAAAAGGGGGAGAGTTCAGATTTTTTGGCGAAAATCAAAAGGGGGGGGGGGTTCAGTCTTTTTCGGGGGAGAGTTGAAAAACGGGGAGAGTTCAGATTGAGGGAAAGTTCAGAAAAGGGGGAGAGTTCAGGCTCAACCCACTGTGCGGAGTCGCTGTGCACCGTGAATTTCACTTGTCGGAATTTTTCAAAGAGAGACACCCAAAATTCAGGGTGCTTTGCGACCGCGCACAGTGCGAAATGAATTGCTTTGAAAAGGGCTGAAACTGCACAGTGCACTTTTCATTCGCACTGTGCTGATTGTTTGTCGCGCAAAATCGCTTCGCGACGCTGACTGCACAGTGCGAAAACATTCCAAAACCTTTCGGCTCGCCAGGGACTGACCCTTTAACCCACGCAAAGTTCCAAACCGACTCCCCGAAATTTGTCGAACAGCCCGCAAAAAATGTCATGCGTACGTTCGGCACTCGTAAATTTATGACCCGAGGGTCAGTAGGAAATCCACTTTACGTTCCCATCCGCGAGTGGACATTGGATTGGAAACTTAAAAAGATTTTACGAAAGTGTATATTTAGAAACCGGCCGCGTTCTTGAACGTCTTTTCTGTCCATCAAAGGGCTGGCGATTAATGCAATTTTGATTCAATAGAGAGGAAGTCCTTTTGGTGACAGATATGTTGACAGTTGACTTGGAGGGAACGGATTGGCACGGCGAATTTAAAATGGCTATTTATTCAAAATTTATAAGAGAATTTGGAGAAAACGATTTTTTTATTTTGGTGACAAGTCTAACTGATAGCTGAAATATAGAGTAAATTTTCTCAAGGAATATGCAAACTTTCTGGCCTACAATTTACAGTCACTACCGAGATTTTTTAGATTGAAAATTAAAAAAAATTTTTTTTTTGAAGTTTTTGGCAGGGAAATACACGAGTAGTACGCTTTTGCACAGTGCGTAAACTTTTTGTCGCGCGCACAGTGCATTTTGCCTCCAAAAAAATTTGCACTGTGCGCGAATCATTTTCCGGTTGCACTGTGCAAAACATCAAATGCACGGTGCAAGTGGGGGGTTTTCTGCACGGTGATGCCCTGCGACAAAAAGTCTACGCACTTTTGAAAAAAAAAGAATATCAGTCTGTCGGGAAAATAATGTGCACTCTGTCGCAGCGAAAATCGCATCGGAAAATGACCGACAAAATCAAATTGCTTTTCGCTTCAGCAACGTGATCGGCGCAGCAACATTGTGCTCATTATTTTCCCGACAGGCTGACAATGAGACCTTTTTTTCACCTCCAACATTATGTCGCGACAAAATCAATTTTTTTTTTCACCACAGCGACGCAAGCGACATTGTGCTCATTATTTTCCAGACAGACAAATAATCAAAATTCCCAGAAGTCCAATAATCGACCCCGATAATTGAGTTGTCCTATGTCCACAAATCCTCCGAGGCCAAACAATTGGGCGCGCCGCAAAAAACCCGAATCTGACCCCAGAATCCGCACTTAAGGAATGGCCAGTGCCAGTCGTTCTATTTGCAGACGACAAGCTTAATGCCCCCAAGACGTTCGCGAAAATTTCAATAGAATTCCCGTCCTCGGATTTGGCACAATCTGACACAAACATGATGAGGTCCGACGATTAACTGTTGGTTTGCGGGAAACGGGACGTAAACATGTTTCCCACAGTCGAGACGCGTCAAATTCGACATTTGAAAAGGCCGGGAAACGGCTGAAATGGACGCTGAAGACGTCAAAACGGGGATCGGGTTACAACGGAGGTGTGAGTTGAGTGATAAAAGAACGTAGGGATGGATTAGAGAGTTGAATCTTTGTAGAAAAAGTCTATTTATTATAAAGCATTTAAACTTCCAAAAAATGGTCCAAGATGCCGTGAAAACCCAAGAAAAATTTATGAAATCTACTCTCATTTGGCGACATAAAATCAAAAATTTGGGATATCCAAAGGCAAAGAGAGAAAATAAACAAGATGTGACCAGATGTTGATGCATGTGCAATATAAAAAACGAGATTCCTTTAAAAATATTGCTTCAAATTTCGATTCAAAACATCACAGGCGTTCTCAGATATATATATTCTACCGTATTTTTGAGAGCTTTTTTCATAAAAAAAATTAAAAAAAATTTTAAAAAAAATTTTTTTGCAAATTTTACCATGAAAAGTTTAGCACCCATTTTTACCATAGAAAGCAATATTTCCACAAAAAAAATCAAATTCTTCCGCGCGAAACTGTCAAAGATAAAGCAAAAAGGGGTCTTTTCTCTGAGCGCTCTCCGCGTTTCGCGTACTCTCTCGGCCGCAAAGATCGTTGAATTTCTCAGCGGTGAATGCAAAGCGCAAGCTAAAATTTTCAGGAATTGATACGTAGTCCATGCCTGATATGTGGACAAAATTTAAGAAAAATCCGTGCGTCGCACTTGAGGTACTTCCCTTATATAAACTGAGTGAAACTCTTTTCGCTTTCGGCCCTTTTTCAAAAAAAAATAACTAATCTCCATTCGTTTTAATTTTTTCGCAATCGTAAATCCTTTTCGTCCCCCAGGCCATCGGAGCGAGGGTGGGACTGGGGATTGAGGGTGGATAAACAAGAGTCCCATTAACAGCGAAAAGACTGGTCAGCTGATTTATTTCGCTTCCCTCTTTATCAATCTATCACATCCCCAGTGTGTAAACATTCATTCCTCCAGATCTGGCAGAAGGGGCGATTTTATTATAAGAACCAAGGCAAAATAAGGCAAATTGGCATTTGAAAATTTCAAAAAAAAAATTTTTTTGCTAAAAATATCGGTCTGTCGGGAAAATAATGAGAAAATGTTGCGTCGCTAAAGTGAAAAAAATTTTGATTTTGCCGCGATATAATTCATTTTCTCGGCGGCGATTCGATTTTCGATGCGACAGAGTGCTCATTATTTTCCCGACAAACTGAGATCTCATTGTTAGAAAATTCGACTCTAAATTTGGGCAAAATACATAGCATAACTCCTCAAATCTTTCAAGAAAAAAATATGTGACAAACTCATCTCTTTTGTGACAGCAAAATGCCAAAATTTTACCGTGAAAATCACAAAAAAATCATAAAAAAATTACACAAATAGAAATTTTCGACAATTTCTGCAAAATCTGGCACATTTATTAAAAAATTACATCTAAATTTTTACCAATTTTCATCAAAATCTCAATGAAAAATCTCAAGTCAGCCAAAAAAAATCCCAGCCCGCAGATCTCGAGAACGTACTAAAATGAGCATTACACCCATTCCGAACCCAAGAGTCACGCTGTTAATCTTGAAAAAGCAATCCTCATTTCGTACTATACAAAATGTATACGAAAAACATTTGCTGGCCTTGAGGGGGCATTCATTTCATGCTAATTTTATCGCATACTACGCTCTTCTTCTAATTGGGGAACGGCATTTGCGAGATAACAGAACATGCGGACATAAAAGTACAAAAAGTATAAAAATAGTAAAAGGGGTAAAATAAAAAAAGGAAAATAAAAAAAAATAAAAATTAACATTAAAATCAAAAAAAAATTAATGCAACTCGGCAAAAATTTAACAGGGGAAGTACTCCAAGTGCGACGCTCAGGTTTTGATGAAACTTGGCACAAATTTAGAATAATTTTTTCTAAAATATATGCGAGAATCCCAGCTCGCGCTTTGCAGAAACAACCGAGATTTTTAGATCGAAAGTCGGCCAAAATCTAGGACTTTTTGCCGAATTTTGGCACGAAAAGTTTCATGCCTATTTCAAATGTAAACGATAATATTTCTACAAAAAATTAAATTTTTCCGCTCGAAACTGCGAAAGTTACGGCCAAAAAAGTGTTTTCTGTCTGACCGCTCTCCACGTTTAGCGTGCTCTCTCGGCGGCAAAAATCGTTCGATATCTCGGCGGCGCCCGCAAAGCGCGAGCTAAAACTTTCAGGAATTGATATTTAGTCCATACCCGACGGGTGTGCAAAATTTATAGAAAGTCTGAGCGTCGCACTTGGAGTACTTCCCCTATGAAACTCGGCCAAAATTTAAGGTAAGATTACATATTAGTATGCGAAAAAGAACAAATGTTCATGCACTTTATGAAAAAGTATTTTTCAACAGATTTCCCGAACTGTGAGCACGCGCTTTGTAGAAAAACAAAAGATTTTTCGTAAAAATTTTTTAAAAAAGATCGATTTATCTTCAATCTTTATCTTTATCAAATCAACATCAAGTAAAAACCAAAAGCACAATTTTTCTACAAAAAACTAATTTTTTCTTCCAAAAAATTCCAAAAAACCTGTTCAAAAACCTTTCCTCTGATCTTCTCTCCTCATTTTCCGTACTCTTTCACCTCTAAAGGCCATTGAAACTTTCGGCAAAAAGCTGGATTTTTATGAAATAAATGTCCCCTAAAAAAATGGAACAAATGATTAACAACCCCATTCCTTTTTCTCAAATCCCCTTAGGCAAAATAATAAAAAAACGCCGCTCTTCAAAACGGACCCGAATGACCAGTACTAACGGGACATAAAGAACATCGAAAGAATACAAATGGACTGAAACAGAAATCGTAGGAAAAATGAGTTCGAGAATTGGGGAAAAGAAGAAGTTTTTTTTGAGTCATCCTTTCCTATATGTATAATTGCAAGCTTCCAATTCAACAAATCTCCCAAACTTTTTGGAAAAAAACTTTTTGGGCATGACAACTTACGGTCTCAAAAAGGCGAGGAAGAAGCTGCTAACAGGGGAAGTACTCCAAGGGCGACGCTCAGATTTTGATGAAACTTGGCACAAATTTAGAATAATGTTTTCTAAGATATATGCGAGAATCCTAGCTCGCGCTTTGCAGAAACAACCGAGATTTTTAGATCGAAAGTCGGCCACAATCTAGGACTTTTTGCCGAATTTCGGTACGAAAAGTTTCATGCCTATTTCAACCGTAAAGGATAATGTCTCTACAAAAAATCAAATTTTTCCGCACAAAACGGCCAAAGTTATGGCCAAAAAGCGTTTTTCTCTCTGACCGCTCTCCACGTTTAGCGTGCTTTCTCGGCGGCATAAATCGTCCGATATCTCGGCTGATCGTGCAAAGCGCGAGCTTAAACTTTCAGGAATTGATATTTTGTTCATTCCCGACGTGTCTGCAAAATTTAAAGAAAATCTGAGCGTAGCACTTGGGGTACTTCCCTTGTAAGGCGAAGCGCCCCAAGCTCAGCTCTCTTTTAAATTTTCCACTATCAGGCATAGATCACATATCAATTCTGGAAAGTTTTAGCTCGCGTTTTGCAGGATCAGCCGAGATATCCAACGATATTTGCGGCCGAGAGAGCACGCTAAACGTGGAGAGCGGGAGAGTCACGAAAACTTTTTGGCCGTATCCTTGTCAGTGTCGCGGGAAAAAATTGATTCTTTGTGGAAGTATTGCCCTCCGTAGATGAAATAGGTAGTAAAATTCTCATGGCTAAATTTGAAAAAAAACAAACTTTTTTCAAATTTAAAATTTTTTGAAAAGCTAGCTTTAATAGCAGTAGTATCTAGCCAATTATTTTGAACAAAAAATTATAACCTCTGCATAATTTATAGCCTTTATATCCTCAAAAATAGACATGGCAAGGATGAAAAATTAAGTTAATGTCATCTAAACCGCTGAGATACAATCAGAAAAAGGCAAGAAGATTTCATCAAGGCACTCATGAATAACAAGATAATAACAATGTTTACAGTAAGTAATCGATAAAAGTGTGAAAAAAGTTGCAAAAAAAAACAAAAAAGGTTGCAAAAAACCGATGATAACTCGAATTGAGAGACATTACAAGCTAACAAGATATTCAACAAGTCAAGTAAAAAAATTAAGTCCACAATAACAATATTTCCAACAAAAAACCGCAATATTTACATGTCCAGATTGATTTGCTGGTCTTTAAAGCATTTTTTGCTCAAATCCTCAAGTTTGGCGGCGTGTTTTGGTACATCATTGACAAGACGTGCTCCTTTGTGCTTCTCCACATGTTGTTCCACCAGCAATTTATCAAAATTCGATCCAAACGAGCAGCTCGAGCATTTGAAGACCTTCTTTTTGAGATGATATTCCAGTAGATGATCTAGGCGGCGTTTGCGACTAATCGTCTTCCCGCATTCCTTACACTTGGTTCTTCGGCCTTCTTCACTAATTACAATATTGCTGAGGCGTTTTGGGCGTCCCGGGAAGCATTTCTCATGAAACGCAGCAAACTCTGCCCTTCTTTGAACCACATTCGCAATCGGCTCCAGCTCCTCCGCAGCGCCATCATGGAAGTTCCTGATGTGGCGGCGGACCAGGCGTGCCTCGGAGGCGCCGTAGTCGCACAGCGGGCACTGATGCAGATGGATGTTCATGTGGACTTCGGCAATGTGCCGGGAGGTCTGTTGGATTTCGGTGAGGCAGAGCCGGCACTTCTCAAAGTCCTTGCTCGCCGCCGACGGCAGGCGGCGGTTGATCCAGCCGTTGAAGCAGCGGCTGTTCCATTCGTCAATCTCTTGCGCGTACTTTTCGATGTTCGCCTTGGGGCAGGCGTCGTGTTGGTTGTGGACGTGGCGCATGTGGCTCTTCACGTCCGATGAGCAGGCGTGGTGGGAGAACTCGCAGTAGAGGCATTCGTAGAGGTCTTGTTTTCGGAGGTGGTGGCGATAGACGTGGATCTGAAAAAAGGGTAAAATCATCATGAAACTCAAAAATAAAAAAAAATAATAAAATAAATAAATAAAAGTTTTTTTATCAAAATTTACGCTCAAAACCTGATAAAATTTGCGAAAAATTACTTCCAGAAACATTTTCCAGAGTTTCAGCAACAGTGAAGTACCCGGTCTAGTGGCAAAAAACGTACCATTTTGCATCCGGGAAGCATCAAAAATGTGGCAAAATGCTTCCCTCTCCAAGTGAAAAAACTTCGTTTTGAAGGGGGTTACCTCACAAAAAGAGCGGGCGCTTTTGAAATCTCAGTTTTTTTCACCTGGAGAGGGAAGCATTTTGCCACATTTTTGATGCCTCCCGGATGCAAAATCGTACGTTTTTTGCTATTGGATCAGGTCCTGTATACAAGATTTTACATCGTAAATTTTGGAAAGCTTTTCACTCAAAAAATTTCGTTACCTTTCTGAACTAAAATTTCAACTGAAGTGCTTTGCAGAAATTATTCAAATTTTACATCAAAAAAATGGCAAAAAATCAATTTTTTTTTTGCAATTTCCAAAATAAAAAAAAATATTTCACTCCTCCCAAAACCCCCTTCAAAAAATCAAAAAATTTACCTGTCGATCCTCCGTCTTCATTAGCATTCCACACTCCCGGCACTGAACTCCATTCCCGGCCTGCCACTTGTCCAGGACCAGGGTTCTCTCGGGGAAGGCGTTCTTGTGTTCGGCCAGGATCTCATCCACATTCTCGATGTTCAGCAGCGGGACTCCGATTGTGTTTTTATGGGCGTCTTTCATGTGTTGTGCCACTTGCTCTTGCTCATCGCTGTTGTAGGTCTTGCACACGGGGCATTTATAAACTTCCAGGGCCAAATGATCGCTCAGGATGTGGGTGAGTTCCTCGGATTCCGGGACGGAGAATTGGCAATTTTCGCAAAAAATTTCCGGGACTGCTTCCAATTTAATTTTCTTGGCGTCAGTGTTCGAACGAGTGTTTCTGATCGGCCGTTTGTTCGCTACCGGAGCCAGTGAAGCCGGCTCCTCTTCCAAAAAGTTGTCTTCGACCATTCTGGAGCGGTCCGAAGTGGTGGAACTGGCTTGGGATAGAGCTCTAAAAAAAATTTATATTACACATGACACTAATAAAAATCCTCAAAAAATTGTATTCAAACTCGATCAAAATAAGTCATTCTACGCTCTCTATACTCTACAAATCTCAAAAATCAAATTTACCGTCTTGATCTCGGTGTTCCCGTCCTTCTTCTTCCCTGATTTGCCATTTTTTCCTCCTGCGCCGCCAAACTTTTTCGATGTTTCCATCCAGGGAAGCATTCCTCGTTCAGCCGGTCAATCGATTCACGGAATTCGGCTTCATGAGTGATCGGTTGCTTCTGGTTGTTCTTGTGGGTCCATTTGATGTGCCATGATACGCGATGGATGTCGTAATCCGAGTGAAAATCGCACAATGGGCATTCGAAAAGCTTGGGTTGCCGAAGATGGCGATGATAAACGTGCCGCTGACGGTCGGATTGAGCGACGTCTGCGTTACAGATCTTGCAGACATGACGTTCTCGAGGTTTTGAGCCTGGAAAGAGTTGATAAAGGCGAAAAAATTTTTGATGCTCAGATGTCAAGGATAACATAAATTTTCACATTAAATATAACTAACTATAAAAATGTAGCCTTTTTCAGCGATAAAATAGAGTTATCAATTAATTTTTCTCGTGTTAGACACACAGAAACAACCAAAAATTAATTTTTACCCACCAGATGCCAAGTACAACATAAAATCTCTCTCTAAATCCTAATAAACCCTAATAAATCGAAACCCAATGTCTTTTTTCTGTAACTACAAAGACTACAGAATAATAATTCTCAATAATTAACCAAACTTTATTACTCAGCGCATCAATTTTAAAACTTTTTCCTTCAGGTGTCCAGTATAACATATAAATCCATTTAAATCAACTTTCATCTCAAATAAACCCTGTCTAGTGGTATCACAAGGATCATAGAGCCAAAACACTAATTTATGACCCGAATTCAACCACCAACTTTATCTTAAACCCTTCAAACATTTTTCTCCAGCTACCTACTACAATATCCAAATCCTTTCCAAACTCACCCAAACTCGACGGGACCAACTTCATCTGTCTGTCCGGGAAACATTCCGTCTGTAGTTGTCTCAACTCATTCACATACTCCTCCATCTTCGAGATTGGCTTCAAATCGCGGCGTTTATGGACCGATTCAATGTGTTTTCCCACCGCGCACGCTTCGTACGTGCCGAACGTCTCACATACCGGACATACATATAGTGGTTTTCCCAAGTGTTTCTGTACGATATGGCGGCCCGGATAGCGGCATTCCAGGTTGCATTTTCGGCAGACATGACGATCCACGGGCGGCTCTTCGGGCTTTGGGTCTTTGCGCGCTCTGGTGGTGGGTTTTGTGTCTTCCGGGGGTTCTTTTTCGTCCTCTTCTGAGGTGGAGCTGGAGGTGGTGGCGTGGCTGAGGTGGGACTGACTTGACGAGGTTTGTTGTCGTTGTTTGTCGGGGATCTCGTCCGTTTCTTCGGCTTCTTCGTACATTTCTTTTTCGACTTTGGTCAGGAGGGCGTTGAGAGCGTCATCGGCTGAAAATATGGAAAATTAGTGGCGAATAAAAGAAAATTTAACGCAAAAATCTCAATTTTTACTTTTCAAAAAATCCCAAATTCCAAAAAAATCAAAAAAATTTCTCCGAAAAATCTCAAATTCCGAAAAAACAAAAAAAAATCTCACCAAAAAATCTCAATTTTTACTTCCCAAAAAATCCAAAGAAAATCAAAAAAAAATCTGACCAAAAAATCTCAATTTTTACGTCCCAAAAAACTCCCAAAATCCAAAGAAAATCAGAAAAAAATCTCACCAAAAAAAAATCTCAATTTTTACTTTCCAAATTCAACCCAAATTTCAAAAAAAAAATCAAAAAAAAATCTCACCAGTATCATCATCATAGGCAATCCGATTATTCTGCGCATCAAACGTGCACTGGCTGATCTCGGCTTCGGCTTCTTGGAGCTCCGCGTACGTCAACATCTCCTCCATGACGGCGAATTTTTTCTCCCGCCAGTTGGGGAAGCACATCGCGTTGCAGGCGCGGATGATTTTCACGTATTTCTTTTCGTTCGATTCTGGCTTGCATGGGGGATCGTGGGATTCGCAGTGCTTGCGGGCCTCCCAGATCGAGTTGGAGTTGGTGTAGTCGCATTGGGGGCAGATGAACATGTCCTTTTTGTTCACATGGGCCATGTAGACGTGTCGCTGACGCGCTGTCATGCACACTTTTTTGTGGCAGGACTGGAAATCGGGGAAAATAACATTTTTTTTAAAAATTATCAAAAAAAATTATACCTAAAAAAATTTTTCAAAGAATCTGCATTATTTCCGATCAAACTTGGCCCAAATTTTGGATTTGAGGTCAAATTTCCAAGGTTATTCATGGAAAGATTATTGGCCAAATCTTGATAAAACTTGGCAGAAAATTAGATTACTTTAAATATCAAAAAATAAAAATCGAAAAAAATTTTATACCTAAAAAAAATTTTTCAAAAAATCTGCATTATTTCCGATCAAACTTGGCCCAAATTTAGGCCGGAATTTTCTATAGCTTATGTGAAATTTTTTCTCGTAGATTACGCCAAAACCATCTAAATTTCGGAGTGCGACGATTGGGGAAAAAGATAATTGGGGAAACTGAAAAGCATTATTTTTCTTCGATATAAGTGTCGAAATTGGGATAATCGATGGTGCTGATTTCCAAATGACATTAATTTTTTTTGATCGTTACTGTTTTGCTTAATGTAAGTAGTACTTTTTTATTTTTTTATCACAAATACTCGATTTAGGGATTTTTTTCGACAGTGCTGGTTTCGAAAATTGTATCCATTTTTTTGATTTGAAATCAGCACTATCGAAAACTCCTAAATCGAGTATTTGTGATAAAAAAATAAATAAAAAAGTACTGCTTACATATAAAACAGTACTGCTTAGTTACTATATAAGCAAAATAGTAACAATCAAAAAAAAATAAATGTCATTAGGAAATAAGCGCCATCGATTACTCTAATTTCGACACTTATATCGAAGAAAAATAAAACCTTTCAGTTTCCCCAATTGTCTTTTTCCCCAATCGTCGCTTCCCGAAATTTCGATGTTTCTGGCGTAAACTATGAGTAAAAAATTTCACATAAGCTATAGAAAATCCCAGCCTAAATTTGGGCCAAGTTTGATCGTAAATAATGCAGATTTTTTTAAAAATTTTTTAGGTATAAAATTTTTTCGATTTTTATTTTTTGATATTTAAAGTAACCTAATTTTCTGCAAGTTTTATCAAGATTTGGCCAATAATTTTTTCATGAACCACCATGGAAATTTGACCTCAAGGTCCAAAATTTTTTTTCAAATTTTATCCCGCTCACCTGACAAGTAGCCGTCCGAATCGCCTTCGAATCCGCGATAATTCTCTTCGACAGCGGAGCCCTCAAAACATTTTCTTCCGAATTTTGCGGAGCTGAACTGTTGTCCTTGTCAAAAAGTTGAGCAACGGTTTGTCGGAACTCCGTTGGAGACATTTCCCGGCTTTCCGACTCAGCTTCGGGCTCAAAAATCTCCACTGGCTCGGATTTTGGGGCAACAAAGGGTAGATCGTTTTGTAGGAGAGACATTTGGATTGACGCCGAGATCTAAAATAATGTGAAATTTAGCGAACTTTCGGGGCAAAAATCCTCAATAATCACTTATTTCTCTAACAAAACACAAAAATTCTTATTAGAGAAGCTCCGTATTTCCCAAATATCTTCAAAAATTTTGATCAAAGACGTCTAAAACAATATCGAAAAACAAGCTTACAATATCCAATATCGGGTTCCTCTCGTCTTCCTCAAATCGTTGACTGATAACATCGTCGGACTCGACTTCCGTTTTGGTAGGATCATCCATTGGGAAATATTGTTCAACAAGATCGAAGAAGGCTCGTTTTTGATCTTCGGAGCCCTCAAATTTCTCGAAAATCATATGAAAAAATGTCCGAATCACTTGGCCAATTGGTTGGAGAAGGTTAAACGAAGCATTCTGGACCTCAGCGTCTGAACATTGCGGAAGATCCAGCTGAAAATCGAAAAAATTAATAATCTGGGTAGTGCATGTCTAAAGTAAGATAAATTCTGGTGAAAATGAAAAGATTATAAAGTGAAATAATATTTAAAAGTCAGAATATACATCTAAGTCGCTAACTGAACCACATTTTTCAGCTTATCAAAAGATTTAAAACTGAATTTATAAGGTCAAATTTTTGAAGGTAGCTGATACCTAAAACAAGGAAAATTTTGGTAAAAACTAAAGAGAAAAAACCTGAAACAGCATATATAAACTAAAACAGACCTTACTATACCTAATTAAAACTAGATCTTATTCCACAGACAACAATCCAGTTAGAAATCAAAAGATGAAAAATTTAACTACCAGCTGACTAAAATAAGATCGATTCTAGCTTAAAAGCAGCAAAATACAACGGCAAACAATCGTAGAAAGTTGTGAAAGACCTTCTTACAGCTGTATCAAAGCAAAAATCTCAAAAATTGAACGACCTTACCATAGCTTCATCAAAAGTTATATTGGACCAGAGCCATTGATCTTTTTGATGTAACCTGGGTTTCAGAAATGCCCGAGCCACTTGTTTACAGTGATCAACAATCAAGTGCTCGCGAAGTTCATCTCCATCCATCAAATTCAAGGTGGGTCCATCGTCGTGTGTGCACAATTCGCATTTTATGGTCATATCTGATGAAAGACCTAAAATAATATAAAAAATTACTGGGAAATGGGTGTTTTGATGCGAATATCGGTAAAAAACAGTGTCTATCAATTCAATATTGTAAAAAGAAGAAAAATCTCGGGAAAAAATCATGTTTGCCATCAAAAAATAAAAAAAATATTTTCCAGAAAATAAATCGGAATGATGCGATTTTTTGAAGAAAATGCGATAGTAAAGATGAAGATATTGCGTTTTGGACCGAATATAGGCAGACTGACCCATAGTACAACAAATTTCAAACAGCAAAAAAAATTTTTTTTCCAGTAGTATACTCTAAGATAGCAAGGTCAATATCGCCAAGTGTAACTCCTCGATTTCCTTGAAATTTGGTATACATTCTTCCAATAGACCACAAATTGATCTCTCAAAATTTCTCAATGTCCTTTGCATCCAACTGGGAGATATTTGAAAATCTTTTTTTCGAGTGAGCACACAAAAAGAGGAGAGTCGGAGAGACAAAAAACAAACAGTTTTTGTCAGCAACTTTTTCAGTTTGGCCCAAAGAAAAATTATTTTATTCGTAAATAGTTAAATTTATGCTAACTTTGGGAGAAATCGAAGAGTTTTTTCTTGTTTTTTCACCTAATGTCTAAAGTAATACACTTTTTTTCTCAAATCACCCGCTTTGGCAAAATGTCCCTCAATACCCATCTACGAAGCCTGGTTGTCCAAAACTTGAACCTTAAAGGCGCATTCAGCTCAAGAAATCCCCGGAATTCGATGGCCCTGCGTCTTGTCCATGTGCAATCGCCCCAACTGATGAATAATCGATCCGAACGCAGACGAAGACGGAGCAGAAGACGAGCCAGGAGAAGACCAAAAGTGTTTTTGAGACGCGATCAAAGAGTGTGCCTGGTCGATGCCCCTTCCCTTCCCCTTTCGTTTTTCTCTGTTGTCGGCGCCAACATCTTCCCCTTCTCGGGGCCCCTCTCCGCATTTCCCACCCCACACAAAACCCGGGGAGGGACTGATGTTCATGGCCTTGCGCGCCGATCGTCGCCTTTTTTATGTTGTGTTCTACAGAGGTGGCTCTGGCTTGCTGAAGCGGGCAAGGTCACTGAGGGAGAGGAGGGTGACAAGAAGGATGGTGATGGAAATTCAGGTTGAATATTGAAGATAATTTAGTGAAGACTGATAAGAAAGCGGTCTAACAGGCAAATAAAGTCATCAGATTGCCTAATTTGGAACAATAGATTTTCAAAAGAAGTTTTCAATCAAAGAAACTTTTTTGCAAAAAAATGATGACTTTACATTTTCAAAAGCGAAATTTTTCAATTTGCAACTCGTATATCTTGATGAAACATAGTCCAATGTAAGATTACACCTTTCTAAACCTTATCCAAAATTTTTAGCTCGCGCTTTCAACTAATTGCTGAAATTTCAAACCTTGGCCAAAAGATGACATACCAATATGTAAACTTGACGGAGACAAAAACAATCGTAGACAAAAAAGTCCTTGCGCACTCAAAAACAGACCCCGCTTGGACAAAGGGCAAGTTGCGATTGATCCAATAAACAACGTAAACTCCAATGAGATAAACAAAAGAAATTTCTATCTTCCCCATCTGTGTGTCCTAGCCGAAAAGATCGATGAATATCTCGGCATCGGATGAAGAAGGCGGGCTAAAATTTCGAGACATTGATATGTAAGATAGACTAAACTTGAGTGGAAAATTTGGAGGCAGTATGAAGATCGTGCACTGAGAAATGTCGCTTTGAAAAAAATCTTGGAAATCATAGATTTTCGGATAAAACGCAGGTAAAAAGGTGTTTTTCTCGCCTAAAATGTTCCTAAGACTATCTGAATATGTTTGATATGCCATGCTTTTGCTATGCAAAGACCTTGCCCCAAGGGAATCACGGTATTTTAGCCTATATCACCCAATATATGACCATACGGTAAAAAATTGGTATTTCTTGCGATTCATTGTTGAATATCCCAGCTGAATTTGCAAAGCACAAGCTAAATTTTTTCGCCATTGATAAGCAGCCAACATCGCTCATCTTCGCCGAGTTTGACAAAAATCCCATGGTCGTACCTCGAGCACTGCTCCCTTCTGCACAAGACCCCGGCCTTTCTTGGGGCTAGAGAACCCCATTCCCATCGCCCTTCCTCCTTTGATTTTTGAAGCCCCCCTATTTTTCCTGACTTGAAGCGAAAAGATTGGCAAGCAGGACGCCCAGCCGCCGCCGCCATCTCCAGCCCCGTCTTCGTCTCTGCTGTTGGGGTGGTGGTCGGGGCGACGACCCTCTTCTCGCTCCGATCAACGGGGCAAAAATGGGAGCTGGCTAATGAACGTCTCTCTTTTTGCCCCAAACGCTCTTGATATGACCCTGATCGTCTTCTCGTGATTGTAATCTATGTTTTTTGGGGCGGTTGGTTGGGGAAACGGGCGAGCAGAAATGCGGCCTCAACAACAGCAGTGGGGTTGATAAAAATGAAGGACAGGAGGGAGGGGGAGAGGGCCGATTGGGAAATGGTCATGTTGAGGAGGAGAAATGGAGACTAAGGCTTAGTCATGACAGTGACCAGGCCAATATTTCAAAATGGGAAACAATGAAAAATCAGAGAAATCGGAAAAAGAAAAAGTTTGTCGGGAAAATAATGAGCGGTCTGTTGCAGCGAAAATCGTCGTCGAGAAAATGGATTGTGTCGCGACAAGATCAATTTCAGCAATCGGGGCGACATTAGAGACCCAAAATATGAGTTTGTCGGGAAAATAATGTGGATCTATAATAATGAAATCGCCTATCATCGTTTGCGACAGCTAGCCGCGGCTGGAGATTTGGCGCGCGACTGCGTCGAACGAAACATCTTTCTGCGACAAATCCACATTATTTTCCCGACAGACTGATAAATAAACAAATATCAGTCTGTCGGGAAAATAATGACCACTCGGTCGTATCGAAAATCGCATGAGAAAATGAATTGTGTCGCGGCAAAACCAAACTGTTTTTCTCTCCAGCGACACGACCGGCCCAGCGACCTTGTGCCCATTATTTTCCCGACAGACTGATACTTGAAAAGACACACTGAAATAACTTCGAAGAAGGCGTTTTGGGCAACATACGATCTCTCAAAGATTGTTGTTATTACGGTAAATTTTGTTAGAAAAAAAGAATTTCAAAAAGCGACATTACTTCTTGGACAACCTAATACGAGGTTTTCTTCAAATTCTCCACACATCTTCCTTCTAGGCCACATATCAGTTTCAAAAAATCTCAAAACTTTGCAACCACCGATGACACGATTTGAAGACAACCACCGAACAGCCGGCAAACCAATGAAGGCAATGCCCGCCTTGCCAATCGCTTTAATACTCCGGAAAACGGGCCTTCGAATCGTCGGACAAAGGCCGATCAAGTGGGTCATCCAAATTGCAGCCCGATTCCCCCAAGAAGGGCCGGTTCCGCGGACAAAAGTAATAGGGCATGGTGGAAAGTAACGGCACTCGGGTTGTCATAAAACATTGCCGCAGTAATTTGAGCGCATTCGGATCCGTGAATGTGTTGGCGTACCGGACGTCTAACGATCTTTGTAGGCGAGAGAGTACGTAAAATAAAGAAATTGAGGAGAGCAGTCAAGAGAAAAACAGGTTGTTAAATCTTTGTGTATCTTGCATAGATTTTTTTGCATTGAAACGTCTGCATCTTCGATAGAAATATGACTGATTTTTCTTGCACAAATTTTCCAAAAATCGCCAAATTTTGGCCAACATTTGGCCACAAAAATCTCAGTGGTTTCTGCAAAGCGAAAAGAATCTTAACAGATATTAGTCTGTCGGGAAAATAATGAGCACTCGGTTGCAACGAAAAGTCATCGTCGCCGAGAAATTGAATTTTATCGCGGCAAAACCAAATTGATTTTCACTTCAGTGACGCGATCGGCGCAGCCACATTGTGCTCATTATTTTCCCGACAAACTGAAATGTTAGAAAATTTTAGTCTGTCGGGAAAATAAGGGCGGATTGTCGAGCCTCGGAATCGCCCATCATCGCTTTGCGGCGAGATTTGGCGCGCGAGAGCGGTGAGGCGAGACGTTTTGCTGCGACGACCTGTTGTTATTTTCCCGACAGACTGATACTCTAATGTAAATATCTTCCAGCTTTCATTAAGATCTTAATGCCGCACTGGAAGCACTTTGCTTGAAAACTTGGCCGGGATTTTTTCCAAATCGGAGCCTCAGACTTTGCAGCTTCCATAGGAGGTTCCAAATAAAATTGAGTAACGTTTTTGGCATTCACATTGTACCTTATTCCCCACAATCGCATTATAGCAGTCTGTCGGGAAAATAATGGGCAAAATGTCGCTGCAAATCGTCGCTGAAGTGAAAAGCGACTTTGCCGCGACACAATTCACGTTCCCGGCGGCGATGAGACTTTCCATGCGTCAGAGTGGTCATTATTTTCCCGACAGACTGATATTTCTTCATTTATCAGTCTATCGGGAAAATAATGTGGATTTGTCGTCGAAAAATGTCTCACCTCGACGCAGTCGTGCACCAGGTCTCTAGTCGCGGCTAGCTGTCGCAAAACCATTAATCCAGATTATTTTCCCGACACACCCATCTCTTGGCTCTCAAATGTCGCTGGAGCGATCGCGTCGCTGAGATTGACTGTGTTGCGACACAATTCATTTTTTTCGGCGGCGATGCGACTTTCAATGCGTCAGAATGGTCATAATTTTCCCGACAGACCAATACTAGTCCTTCCGGAAAGTCGCCGGACGGAAATGGGCGACATGCACTGTGCGAAAAAAGTCAGGGTGCGAGCGACACCCGAAAAAAGCCTATTGCACGGTGCGAAAAGCAAGAAATTGCACAGTGCAAAGTGAACTTTCGTTTTCGCGGAGTGCATGTCGCCGATTTCCGTCCGGCGACTTTCCGGAAGGACTAGTATCTCCCCAATTTTTCATTTTTTTCCATTTTGAAATATTGGCCTAGTCACTGTCATTTGGGAAATGCGACCTTCAATGCGTCAGGGTGGTCATTATTTTTCCGACAGACTGATATTTTGCCGATTCCTTGTTGCAATATACATGATTTGCAAAACCTTGATTCCCGCCATGAGCAACCCCTCTCTTTCTTCGGTGTTGACGATGACTTGGCTTTCTCCCTTTTCGCCCTTTGCCCGTCGTCCGGAACGAAGCCCCGGTCTTCCTGCAGCACCCATGACCAGCAACAAGATCAATCACATGCCCCATTCCGTCTCTCGTCCCGCTCTCCTCTCGCGTGTTTCTTGAACTCGGCGAGGGCGGGAAGGGAATTCGGAGGCAATGATTTCGAAGAGGATCATGAATAAAACAATCCGCATTTGGGAAGCGACGGGGAAAAGTTAATTTTGCGCCAAAATGACGTTTGGATTTGGGTGGAAATAAAAGTTTCGGCGGCTAGTACAACATAAATGACATAACGATCATTGTTGAAGAGAGAGACAGAGTATGCAAAATAAGGAGAGGCGATCAGAGAAAAAAAATGATTTTTACCTATATTTTAGTTAATTTTACATAAAAATAATATGCGCAGATTTGTTTCACAATACATCCAGATCAGATATTTTTCTGGCCGAGAGAGTATGGAATTCGAGGAGAGACGGTTAGAGTAAAAAATTCTCAGCGTGGTTTGGCTATATCTTTTTGGATTTCACCAGATATAAATTGATTTTTTGCGGCAATAATGTTCAATACAAGCCAAAAAAACGTCAAGTTTTGATTCTAAAAAATTGCATTTTTTCATCAACTTTTGAAAAAGAAATTTCAGTAATTTCTGCAAAGCGCCAGCTAAAAATCTCGGCTATTTCATAAAAAAATCTAATCTATTTTTGTGTCAAATTTCATTAAGATATTGGCATTACATTTAGGTACCTCCTCCTTTGACGAAATGACCAAAATTTGGCCAAATAAAAAAATGATGACTAAAAATTCGAACCAAAAAAACGCGGACCAAATTTTGGGCGATTCCAAAAAATGTCGCGGCCAAAGTCCCTCTGATTTGTCGGTCCGACCCCCAACTTTGTTGTTGACCAAAAACCCCCACCACTCTTCCCGATAAAAACGAATCGCTCTGTTTATCAACATTAAACTTGATCAGAGCAGAAAAAAAAACTTGAGCAGAATGGCTTCTCTGCCTTCTCCTCTCTCTCAGTGCATGTCGCTGCACATCAAGGGGAGAGCGGTGGAGAAGAAGGACGGCTGGCGTTTTGTGGCTTTTGTGCGGAAAAGGAGTTGTGGGAAGGCGAGTTTGCAAAGGGCGAATTTTGGGTATAAATGCAGTGGAATTCCAATGCAAAAGATTAAGAAATATGACAAGAAATTGGCGCTACGACTGTTCGAGGCAGCGACAGTTCGGGTTAACGATACTTTGAGCTGCCTTGATTTGTTTTTTATGCACAGGGAGGCTAGGATAGGGCTTAGTCACAGTGGCGGACCTTATCTATTGGCAAAAAACGTACCATTTTGGATTCGGGAAGTATCAAAAATGCCGCAAAATGCCTCCCTCTCCAAGTGAAAAAACACCGATTCATTTTAAAACGGAGTATTTTTATTGTAGTGGGAGGTATTTTGCCACATTTTTGATACTTCCTGGATGCAAAATTATACGTTTTTTGCCATTGGATCAGGTCCCCCCACTGTAGAAATAACAATATTTATCGGGTCCTAGGATAACTCATAACCAATTTTGAGGTATTTAACATGCACAAACTATGGTCAACCCGAAAAGGCGGTGCGCGAAAAAAAACGAATTTTCATGAGGGTTGAGTACAAAATCAATTTTTAACCCGCGCTTTGCAGGAGGAGGCAAATTTTTTAGGCCAGCAGTTGACCAATATCCCATGGTGTTTTGAGCTTCGCAAAATAAGCTTAACAATGCTTTTAAAGCTGTGAAATTTCCTCACGGTTTCCGCGGAAAATTTAAAAAAATAACTCCGAGACCGGAATTAAAAAAGAAGAAATGGCACGGTAATTTTTCCACCGCAATCTTTGGTCAGCTTCGCCCCTGGTAAGAGCTTGAGCAAACCCCGAAAACCTTCTCTTTCTCTTCTTGAACCCTCTAGACAAACTTGATCAACGCAGCTTAGACGGAGTGGTCGGCGAGAAGAAGATGAAGCAGCGGCGAGAAGTTGGAGAAGGAACCGAATGATCTCGTTTTAGCTTCATTTCGTAAGTGAGTGACATCCATACGCACTCAAATCTTTGGTCTGTCAACTCAGAATTAGTTGTTAAATCTACTAGTACATATACATATATATATATATATATATATTAAAGAAAGCGATAATTTAGCCTTTGGCAATTCAGCTGCGACAAAAAAGTTTCCACCTTGCAGTTATGTTAATTTTATTTACAAAGCAAACGTATTACATTATCCAGGTGCTGACGGCCGACAAACTCCACAACCATTGCCATATGGAGCGCAACAAGGCAACGGAGGCGCACAACACGGCGGCTTGGCTAAAAATCCATTTTTCAGTTTATGTACATCTATACATTTACCCAAATATACACAAGTATATAATGCGAAAAAAGACAATGCTCCGCGAAAAAATCCGATATTGAACTTACACGGACAACAACAAGGTTTCGGACAGCAATCCGTAAATTTGCAGCAGGGTTTGCAACATGGCTTCGGACAGCATCCACACGCCGCCGCGCCCCACGCTCCAGGCCATGGAGCGCCCATTCCGCCGAATGATAACCCACCAAATGGCATTCCACCCCACATGGAGCCCCATGGAGAGAACCCACCCCAAGGATAGCCACCGCCCCAACCACAGGCACATCCGCAACAGTCATCGGCTGAAAACAAAGACGTGGCTTTACAGCAAAGATATACTTTTAAAAAAAAACTTTTTTGTAAATGCCTATCGGGCAAATAATGAGGGCAAAGTCGCTGCGCCGACTCCGTCGCTGAAATGAAAAGCAATATGATTTTGCCACGACACAATTCATTTTCTCGGCGGCTATGCGATTTTAGATGCGACATTGTGCTCATTATCAGACTGTCGGGAAAATAACGGCGGGTCGTCGCATAAAAATATCTGGCCTCACCGCTATCGCGCATCAAATCTTCAGCTCCGGCCGCCGTCGCAAACCGATGATGGGCGATTCCGAGACGCGACGATCCACCGTTATTTCCCCCGACAGACTGGTAGCTCATTTTAGGCCAAGAATGGGGAAGTTCCGGGGATGGTGGGCATGGATAACTGGGTGGAACAACCTCGAAAATCGTCCAAGGAGCACCCTCACTACAAGGGATTCGTCATCAAGACGGCGGTAGGCCGTGCCGCGCAATGATCCCACAATTTTACAGGACATAATTGCGTCGGCCAACAGCAGATGGGGCAAAAAGCGTTGTGACAAAAAGTCTGCAAACTTTTTGAAAGAGCACTTGGCATAAAGGGAAAAATGAGTTCTCAGTCGCATCAAAGATCGCATCGCCGCCGAGAAAAAGAATTGTCTCGCGGCAAAATCGAATTGCCTTTCACTTTAGCGACGCAATTGGCGCAGCGACATTGTGCTTATTATTTTCCTGGCATACTGATGTACGCATACACTACTTATATCCCTTCAAAATGCTTGTATAATATCAAAGCCACAAACTTTGGCGGTTCAGAAACAAAGACAACTTACGTGCTGCAGTTGTAACATCCGGTCCCGCGGTTGTGGGATTGAACGGATCGATCGGCTCAACCTCTTCTTCTTCTTCATGCCTCTGTTTCGCTCTTCGAAGTCCGTCATCATCAAAGTCCTCGTCGTATTCGTTGGCGGAGAATCCCGGATTGAAGGTTCGGATCCTCTCCACGGTCCTCAATCCTATCCGCTCTTCGTCGCTGGTGGGCCGAGATTTGACGAGCATTACAAGATTGATAAAGAAAAATAAAACGGGTTTGAATCGCATATTAATAAAAAAAGATTTTGAATATAAAAGGAAACTTTCTGGAAAAACAAAGGCGATCTTTTTTTGATGAAACTCAAAGGAAATGGAATTTAGATAGATTAAGGTTATGGGTCGAAATTTTACTATCCATTTTTGCAGGGCTTTTATTTCATAAAAATAGTTTTCCGCTGAAAGTTTCCAAAAAATCCGAACTCTCTCTTGTTTTGAACACTCCCCCATTTTGAAAATTGAAAAAAATTGCTGTGACATGTTATACGATGGAAGATTTTTATCTGCTATTTTTTTAGAAATGATGTTGGATCTTGGTTATCAAAAATTTCTAGCGTGTTTCAAATGAATCGGTGTGTAATTGGTAAGTTTTAAACACCTATTTTTTCCAATTTTAAAAAAATTATCGTATAACATGTCACACTTAATTTTTTTAAATTTCAAAATAGGTGAGTGTTCAAAAAAGGGAGAGATCGGGCTCAATCGAAATTCTCAGCTACTTCTAGGGAAGAGAGTGTATGGAAATGAGGAGAGGGTCAAAGAAAAAATCTTTGGGCAATATTTTTGGGAATTTTCCAGAAAAAAAAATATTTTTTTTCGCGTCGCTGAAGTGAAAATCAACCCGATTTTGTTGTGACACAATTCATTTTCTCTGCGGCGATGCAATTTTTGATGCGACAGAGTGCTCATTATTTTGGACTAATATTCCTTTCAAATAAACTTTTTTTTTTACTTTTTTTCAGAAAAAATATACATTTCACGTTTATTTAAAACCCGTAGTTTACACGTAATTTTGTTGAAAATTCCTCGTCGGAGTTGCGTAATCCACTTCATGATAGAACGCCGTCTCCGCTGATGTATTGAGATCGTCTTCGTCGCTCAGAACATAGCCCACTTCCATGCGAGGCGAGTAGAGGATTGAGATTGGCTTGGCGTAGTCGGCGGAGACCGCTCGCGTGGGATAGTCGTAGGTGGGAGGTGGCTGGAAGCTGGAGAGTGACTGGACATTCATGTAGTTCGAGTGGTAGGTCACACTCGGATTGGAGATAAAGTCCTGCTGAAAAATTGAAGAATAGTTTTGATTCAGCAAAAAATTTTAGAAAAGGGAAATGATACTGGTAAAATATGGCGCAAGTTGATAGGGAAATGCCACAGATCAGAGCTCCGCAAGAGCTCAAGTTTATGTCTGAACTTGGGCTTAAACCTTAACATGAATTTCATGAATTATCGAACTTGAACTTGAGCTTTTGGCCCGTCTAGTACACACATCAATCATTAAATGTCATCAGAAATAATGAGCAAAGCTTTGAGTTTTGTGGAGCCCCTATTTTCTTTAAATTTTGAGTAAAACACTTCTGGAGGTATCTTTGCTAACTTTTCATCAACAGAATTGATTTTTTTGCAGAAGTTTAGCTCTCCTAGCATAGTGTATGGTAAGAGAAAGAAAGCATATTTTCAAGACTAAAAGCAAAGCGCACGTCAAACTGAGGTGTCCGGAGACCGGAATAGACTCTTCGCTATCGGTTTTTTACACTTTGTCTTGATTGCGCAGAGAAAGAGAGAAAAAAGACACGCAAAAACGTAATCTCTCGCCCCAAAAATTCCCCATTTCTTCCCCGACAAAACGTTTTTTCGCGTCTTTTTTTGGCAAATGGCCAATCCATTCACCGGACTGTTTTAGCTTATCTCAGTTTGACATTCGCGGGCAGCTGGAAGTGGCTAACTTTGTATAGACATTTCTTTCCACCTACCAAGTCACAAGAGCAACTAGCGTCCTCATTGCTCACGCTCTGCGATCCATATGGATCCGCGAACCCGGGCTCATAACTCTGCTGGAATGGCCGTTGAAAGTCGTAGCGACACGCCAAATCCTTGCAGCCCGGCCTTCCACAGGTTGAGATCAGCTTCATATTCGAAATCCGTTGACAATTTTTCGCAACCTTCTTGGTTCGTTGGCGTTTGCGGAAAATCCCGAGGAGAATAATAGCCAGCGAGGAGGTGGTAATGAAACCGCTGAGAATCACGATCCAGGTTCTAACTGTTAACGCGAATACGGTTACGGCCTCGTTGAAGGGGCAGGGCTGATGTGGCTGGCAGAGGGCGGCTTTGAGACATCCGAGTTTGGGAGAGCGCTTGGGGAAATTGGTGTGGAAAAACTGAAAAAGGAAAAAAATATAGGTCTGTCGGGAAAATAATGAATACAATTAATTTTCTCGGCCGTGATGCGATTTTCGATGCGTCATTTCCCTCATTACTCTGTTAAAGATAGCATAAACAATGCCTAAAAGAAACGGCCCCAAGTGCGAACAAATCCACGCTCTTTTCCGGACAGACTGATAGTCGAAAAAAGTCGTTCTTCTCACCTGATTCCCCATCAAGATCTGCTTTTTACTATTCGTAATCTGCAGTTGGCCATTGAATGTCAGCCGACGAATACAGCCATCCAGGGATGCATTGGGAGAAGAGGTATTGGCAAGGCTGCCAATCTCGATCGAACTGAGCTTCGTCAGAGCCATAGACCTCTTCAGATTGGTCTTCTCGATGGTCTTGAAGTCCTCTCCGACCTTTAACATTATTTGGCCGTAGTCGTTAAAGCCGAGCTGAAGATTTGAAGACATTATCAACTAGACTGGCGGACCTGACCCATGGGCAAAAAACGTGCCATTTTGCATCCGGGGAGTATCAAAAAATGTGGAAAATACCTGTATTTCCAAGTGAAAGACTGCGATTTCAAAAGCGCGCCCGCTCTTTTTGTAAGGGAAAAGGCGCGCTCTTCAAAACGGAGTTTTTTCACTTGGAGAAGCAGGTATCTTGCTGCATTTTCGATACATCCCGGATGCGAAATGGTACGTTTTTTGCCACTGGATCCTGTCCTCTACTGTATATCTACATCTAACAAGAAACAAAATATTGGGGACATTACCGCCTTGCGGCAAAAACCGACTGGTGACAAAAGGGACCCAAAAAAGGTGGGGACAAGCTAAGGTGGGGGGAAAAACGAACATCACGGTGTGTCGGGAAAATAATGAGTATAGTACAATGTTGCTGCGCCGATCGCGTCGCTGAATTGAAAAGCACTTTAATTTTTTTGCAAGATAATTCATTTCCTCGGCGGCGATGCGATTTTCGACGCGACAGGGTGTTCATTATTTTCCCGACAGACTGATAAGAAAATTTTGCTTCACTTACCGTTATTCTCGTCCATAAAGAAAAGTCGTAACGGTCCTCAAACTCTATCACCTCAACATTCTTTAACCTCTCCTCGATTTTCAGTTTTATCGTCGTGTTTATCCTGTACAATTCCAGCGTCAGGCTTGGAAATGTGATCGACACTAGTCGAGTGTTCGTTGAAAATGTCCGTAGGTAAAATTCAACGACATTGTAGTCGTCCTCTGGCTGATTTTCAATCTCTTCCCCGCTAGTTTTGTCAGCTGCACGCCGTTGCAGCCGTTTGCTGGGCAGACTAATAGAATTTACAATGGCTGTTGAATTTTTTGGTTGAAAATGAATTGTTCGTTTGAATTGCTCCGTGGGGATCAACTTGAGATATAGGAGCTTGTCCGATATTGTAGTGTCATCTGAAGAGGGAATTATGATAAAAAAAATCAAGCTCCGACACAAAAAAGCATGTCTATGATATCAGTCTGTCGGGAAAATAATGCGGATTCGTCGCGTCTTAAAATTGTCCATTCGCTTTGCGACGAGTAGTTGAGGCTGGAGATTTGAGTCAACTGTGACAAGGCAAGACATATCGCTGCGGAAAATCCATATTATTTTCCCGACAGACTGATACAAACCCAATTTTGGGTCAAGTCTTCCTCTGACAATGAGCCCATAAAGATGACAATTCAAGCTTGGACGTTTAGAGACATTTTTGCTTCGAAAAATCCACATTATTTTCCCGACAGACTGAAAAACAGGAAATTTCTCAAGTCCGCTTTTTTTGTGAGGGAAATGGCGCGCCCTTCAAAATGAAGTTTTTTCACTTGGAGAGGGAAGCATTTTGCCGCATTTTTGATGCTTCCCGAAAGCAAAATCGTTTTTTGCCACTGGATCAGGTCCCCAACTTAATATTGTTCCAAAATTCCGCTTCCTATGCTTACCATAATTACAAGTATTTCCAACCGCATTATCCTCGCAGACACAGTAATCTTCGCCATAAAACTTGATTTCTTTCCCATTTCCGCAGTGGTCTTCGAAAGCGGCCTTGTTCTCCGCAACAACATAGCATCTAGTAAGCAAGTTTGTCGCTGTGAACCCGCCGCGCGACATTTCAACGGATTTTTGATCGACTTTTAGGTTGGCCATACATCCATGGAAATCCGGGGCGGACGCAACTTGTTGATGGGCGTCCAGAAACGAAGAGTTGCCAAGTCCGCCGATAAAGAGGCTTTTAAAATTTGCAAGCCCAAGACTTGGCCATGAAAATGACTCGAAAGCGGTTGAGTTGCAGACGTCAGATTCAACGCATTGAGCTATCGTGAAGTTCAGCTTGCCATCAAAATGTTTCAGCGTAATCTTGTGCCATTTCCCGTCGTTGACAAAATCCACGGACTTCTGAAACAAAGGAATTTTATGTGTGTAGGCTTGGAAAGACGCAATGAAAAGATTTTTCTTATAGCGTATACAATTTAAGAATCCAGCCTTAGTCGAGCGGTCGCTGTAAGAGTAGAAAAAGTCCTTGCCGTTTAGAAACTGCGACCTCCCCTAGCGATTGCTTTGCAAGTGGCGCGCAATTTGAACTAACCTGCCCCGACGAATCTTATTTTATAGTCTGTGGTGAATACTACAGGGTGCGCCAAAAATATTGGGACTCATATTTTTACTTGCCCTGCGGGCTGCAATGGTACAAGAGCAAAGTGGTCGCTTGTGCAAACGTGCAATGCTCCCAAGAATCTATCTTCAAAGTTTCAGACAGAGTAGTCGTATACGACACCTGTTCTGCCATTATAAGTGCTCACAACTAAGGCCCCTGAGACACGGACCCCAAAATGGATAAAAATTGGAAACACTAGTTTTACCGTTGCATGCTATGGCAGAAATTCACTTTATATGACAGAGTAGCGGTCGCTTTTTATACACTAAAAATGATTTTTACTTATAATGACGATTACATATTTTACAGCCCGTCAAAGTCGACCTAAAAACGCGCCGTTTTCCAGAAAACTTCCGTAAGATCAACGATTTTTATGTAGAAGTTTCCATGTAAGGTTCCCAGCGTATTAGGCATCAGTGATACTTTTATAAGGACAACGAGAGTCTGACTAGTCGTCTTTGAAAAATTATTTTTTTATCTGCTGCCTCTGGGGCATGAAATAGTGACTACAGCGGTAGAATTTACTCTAAGGTTGCTCGTCAAGTGAGCTTGGACTGAAGATCGCTAAAAATAAATCAGTTGTGTCAGCATGTATCCCGAGTATAGCGTTACGTCGATTTTTACGCTCAAGTACTTTTCAACTTGTAGTAAACTGCCAAAATATATCAAGCTTCGAAGGACCGTGCCTCCAATCCGCACCATAAAGTTTTTTCCATACAGAAACTGCCCCCTTGTAGGTGTAGATTTTCTTTTACAATATGACAATTCCCTATGTACACACTCTATAACCACAAAATTTTAGAGCAACACGGGCGATACTGTGGTATTGAGATCGTTAAAAACATAAAAATCCGAACTTTCGGGATTTTTTTTTTGTTTTTTCGACCAGCGTCGCTATATCGGTCGTCAACCATGATTACATACGTTGTTACGAAGTGAATAGCATGTGCTTTAAACACAATAAATTTGAAGGATCTTACTTTCCCTTAGCGGAAATAATGGCCAAATTGATTTCCCGGTCATCCACTTGAAAAGAAAATTTTGGTCCCCCAAAAACTTTTGAATATTTTTTCAAGTTTGCAATAGGCCCCAACCCTGGCATTACCGTTGCCGTATAGCAAGACTGTTACCCTTGCTAAAACGGCCAAAAGTTTTGATTCCAAGGCCAGCCGAAAAAAGCTACACGGAATTGATTTTTGTCCCAATATTTTTGGCGCACCCTGTAGACGGACCAAAAAGTCTAGGCATGTTTTTACGGTGCGCTGCCTTATTAAAAAAAAATACCTGCATTTTTTTCACTTTTAATCCTAAATTTTTCTTGTTGGTAAACTGAATTCGCAAGGCCCATCCGCCGGCCAAAAAGTAGTAGGCAATCTTGCTTCGGACCTGGGAATGTTGTATTTCCGGCAGACTGACTTTAGTCGTATCCCGTAAAATGTATGGACCAGAATATCGGGACGTCGTATTTTAAAAAAAATTTTTCATTCTGTCGGGAAAATAATGAGCACAACAACGAACAATTTTGCTACGCTGATCGCGTCGCTGAAGTGAAGAGAAATTTGATTTTCCCGCAACACCATTCATTTTTTCGACGGCGATGCAATTTTCGATGCGACAGAGTGCTCATTATTTTCCCCACAGACTGATAGAAGATTTCCACTTACTTTTTCCTCGACTTCTTTCCCAAAAATCCTCAAATTTCCATTGGCCACATCGATCGTCAAGAACGCCTTGTCAACTCTTGTGTCATCATAAAAACAGGCCAAGACTCCATCAGCCACGTCCGTGGCAAAAGTCATCTCGAATTGGTTAATGTGGGTAATATTGGACAAATGAATGCTCGACCCGTACGTAAACGAGTAGAATTTGTCTTCCGTTGGATCTTCATTGAACTGAAGGCGCGTTGGATGAGATGCGGAAGTTACTGCAGCCGCAACACGATCATTACTGCAAGTGGTAGCGTCAGAATCGCAAGAATTTCCGCAGAACTCGTCAGAAGTTGGCGTAGGGCAGTTGCATCTGAAAAGTGAGAATTTGGGAAAATGAAGCACGTATATGAACAGTTGACAACGCTTTTAAACTAATACTTCAAAGGGTCAGTTTTAACACTTCTGTCAGTCTGTCGGGAAAATAATGTGGATTTTGAGTAGTATAAGTTTGTCGGGAAAATAATGTGGATTTTGAGTAGTATAAGTTTGTCGGGAAAATAATGTGGATATTGAGTAGTATAAGTTTGTTGGGAAAATAATGTGGATTTTGGGTAGTATAAGTTTGTCGGGAAAATAATGTGGATTTTGGGTAGTATAAGTTTGTCGGGAAAATAATGCGGATTTTGAGTAGTATAAGTTTGTCGGCAAAATAATGTGGATTTTGAGAAGTATCAGTCTGTCGGGAAAATAATGTGGATTCATCGCGCCTTGAAATCGCCTTTCATATTTGCAACGACTAGTCTAAGCTGGAGATTGATTGGGTGACTGCGATGAGGCGAGACATTTTTGCCCTATTATTTTCCCGACATACTGATATTAGCGCTATTGTTATAAATTATAATATTTTTTCCGGAGCCCAGCGTTATTCCCACGTTCGCCAATGACATTAAAAAAGGTCAAAACATATACAGTGACATTCCTGATCCAGTGGCAAAAAACGTACCATTTTGCATCCGGGAAGTATCACAAAATGTGGCAAAATGCTTCCCTCTCCAAGTGAAAAAAAAACTCTTTTTTTGAAGGCGCGCTCTTTCCTCACAGAAAAAGCAGGCGCGTTTTTAAAATCGGATTTTTTTCACTTGGAAATGGAAGTATTTTGCCACATTTTTGATACTTCCTGGATGAGAAATGGAATGTGTTTTGCGACTGGATCAGGTACCCCGCTGTAGCTGACAATGAAAAAAAAACACCTACTTCCAAACCACATTCCTCACATGGACCACGAAATCAAAGTTCCTGTAGATATTCCGTTTGTTCGTCGTCGTCGCTTTGCACTTCCCTCCATTCAAACAGTCGCTAATGCAGAGGTTGATGCGGGCCTTCAAGTCGTAAACACTCAGCTTGGAGGCGTGTTTATGATAGAAATCCTCTACGAATTTGGCTGCCGTTGTCGTGGGCAAAGTTCCATTTGGATCTTCCATGGACAAGATTATCTTATGGCGAAAAGGCGAGAGGAGTGATGATGAAATGAAGCGGAGCTTCTGAAAATACATTGGTGGTATTAGCAGGTACGTATTTTACAAAATATCATGTATATGACTTGGAATACCCTATAAGGCACCATAGCAAAATCTAGGTACAAAACAGCGCAATTTGGATGACGGGTTTTCTGGATTTTGTCGGATTTTTTTCCGCGGCAAAAACTTGAGAAGCATCATAGCAGTGGAGAACCTGATCCAGTGGCAAAAAACGTACCATTTTGCACCCTGTAAGTATCAAAAAAATGTAGCAAAATACCTCGCTCTTTACGTGAAAAAGACTTTAAAAAAAAGATGCTTTTCACTTGGAAAGTGAAGCATTTTGCCACATTTTTTGATACTTCCCGGATGCAAAATGGTACCTTTTTTGCCACTGTACCAGGTCCTGTATACATGATTTCACACCGGAAATTTTGGAATGATTTTCACTCAAAAAATTTCGTTACAGTAACCCTTTCTGAACTAAAATTTTTTGTTAGGCTAAAATAAAAAAAAAAATATTTTCCTGTCGATTTTTATTTTTCTTTTTACTGTACTGTCACCACATTGCTCTCATTTTTTTGTATTTTTTTCGCTTTTTAGGGGTACCCGATTTCAAAAGCGCGCTCGCTCTTTTTATGAGGAAAAAGAGCGCGCCCTTCAAAACAGTTTTTTTCATTTGGAGAGGGAGGCATTTTGCCACATTTTTTGATACTTCCCGGATGCAAAATGGTACGTTTTTTGCCACTGGATCAGGTCCGTCACTGTACAAATTTATCACATGTCTTATCGAAAATTCGAGGTCTGATTTGCACAAAGTCTCTACAAAAATTCAACTTACCACCTCCTCATTAAGTTTCATCAGCATTCTGAAAAATTGAGCGACTCCATTTTCCGTTCCGACCATTTCCACAGCAATTGCATCCAAATTCGAGTCATACCCATGAATCGGTCGATAAACCTCCAATTTAATCGTATAGTTAACCATCTTGTCATTGGTGACATTTGCTGACATTTTCAGCCTCTCACTTCTTTCTCCAAGGCCATTAAAAATCGCTGAGCAATTGTTAAAAACCATGATTTTTTCCGTTGAAATTTCGTTGCAAATCGCCTTGTGGATTGCTGAATCTTGACTGGCTGGCTGTAGGTTTGGCAACCAAGTATTTTTTGGCAAATCCACATCGGAATAATGGTAATTAACAGCATTATTTGTTGCTAAATTATCGATCTGATCTTCAATTACGATATAAATCGTCGAGATCGCTGAATTTCCAGCCATATCCGAAACTCTGACGTCATAACGAAGCATTGATTTTAGTTCTCGATCGAATTTTTTGGTCGACAAAATCACTCCATCATTATCAATGGCAATATCCGAGTTCTCCGTTAAAATTTCGAACGAAAATTTCTGCGGACTTTCTGGTCTATCAGCATCGGAAATCAGCATCTTTCCGATCGTTGAATGGGGCTGTAGATTCTCGAGAATTCGGAAAAATTCAAAGCCTTCTCGGATTCTCGGAGGATGGTTGTCGACGTCGACTACTGTGACATTAATCATGGCGCGAGAAGCAATAATGTTGTTGGTGAAGATGACGAGCTGCAGGTTGTATTGTCGTTGAACATGGGCTTTGAGGGGATGACAAATCGAAAGGATTGAGGAGCCTTTGATGCAAAAGTTCTGAAAATTGCAAATAACTGAAAAAAACTGTAAAATTTCCGATAGCGATTTTCATAAAACGCCTTAGGCGATAGTGTGAAAAAATTAGAAAAAATGGGGTAGGAAGTTTCTTTGAGGTGCCGGATGAAGAGGCAAGGCATGGCATCGGGATTTTTGCGGCAGCGCCTGGAGCTTTCAGGCTGTCGGGAAAATAATGAGCCATCGCATCGATGGCTCAACAGCGACTTTGTCTTCATTATTTTCCCGACAGACTGAATGACAAATCCAACAATCCTTGGCACTGGTGCTAAGGATTGTTGGATTTGTCGAAGCAAAATTTGTGGCCAATGACCGAAGATTGAAAAAAAAATTAAAGAAAATCGAAGTTTGCACTTACTGGGGAAGTACCACAAGTGCGACGCTCAGATTTTGATGAAACTTGGCACAAATTAAGAATAATTTTTTCTGTAGTATATGCGAGAATCCTAGCGCTCTCCGCGTTTTGGGTACTCTCTCAGCGGCAAAGATCGTGCAATATCTCGGCGGCGCCGGCAAAGCGTGAGCTAAAACTTTCAGGAATTGATATTTAGTCCATGCCCGACGTGTGTAAGTAAATTTAAAGAAAATCTGAGCGTCGCATTTGAGGTACTTCCCTTGTCAGGGTAGGGAAAATAATGAGCACATTCTCGCTGTGCAGCGTCGCTAAAGTGAAAAACAATTCGATTTTGTCACGGCACATTTCATTTTCTCAGCGGCGATGCGATTTTCGATGCGACAGTATGCTCATTATTTTCTTGACAAACTGATAATAAAACCTATTTCAACCTTTCTTACAGCTTGCCAAAAAAAGCCCGTATGGAGATGTCTAACTCACATGACGATCATTTCCTTTTACAATACTCATGACTGAGTTTGAAGGCAAATTCAACTCAAAATCTACGATTTCATAGCCAATCTCAGCTGTCTCCCTCACTTTCAAAGCGTATTCTGATTGCTTAAAAACCGGCGTTGCTCTCTCGTTGTTCGCTTCGACATAAACGTGCGTTCTAAATCAGTGTTTTCTAAAGGAATTAACGAGACTTACATCGACGGCAAGACTTCGTAGCTTCGTTGTTCAATGATTGCATAAAAGTCGACAGGCCTTTTGGGATTTTTCACAACTCTAACATCGTTGTATTCCCCTTGGAGATTTAAATAATCTTGTTTTTGAAGCAAGATCCTTGGCTTGTTGGCGCTGACTTGTGTGGTTTGCAACTGCCCAATAAGAGTTCCGTTGGTTGTCCTGTGTGAGAGTTTCAGCTTGAATTTATCGCTGATAAAATTAGCTGGCATGGAGACGGGCTGAAAAATAAGGATTAGGGAGTTTTACAGTGGTGAAATGGCCGTATTTGTGGCAGCATGTTAAAGAGAAGTCTTGGCAACCCGGGTCGGAGGTAAGTCAAGTTGTCGATACCTTGAGGTGGCTCTAGCCATGTTCTAACAAAGGAAGTCACATTTTTTGCTGACGGACCTTGGAATGGGACCTAGTAGGTTTCAAACGTGAAGCGTAGGTTTCAAATGTGAAGCGGAAATCAATCACAAAACTGATTTCCAAAAGTTCTTACGGGGCTTCTCGGCCGAGAAAATCGACCGCAAAGTTTAGCCAAAATAAGCGAATAGCCCCCTCAAAAGAAACAAGTTATTTCATCTGCAGTAGTGGCCGAGTGGTCAGTGCGCTCGCTTTCTGCGCCAGACGGTGCGGGTTCGGTCCTTTTCAAGCCTTCGTCAAGTTTTCGCCTAATCTTCGTCGGACCTCCGTTAAATACCTCGAAGTCTTTGTCCATGACTTGAAAAGGCGTTTTGGGCCAAAGTAGGCGGTAGTAGGGAGGGGGTAGAGATGCGCTTAGGTATGAGGCAAAGCCAGAAAAGATTAGCCCAGCCCGACCCGTTCCAAACTTTGGTCGGTCCGGCACTAGCCGGAGAAATTTAGGTCGGACCCGTCACGGCTCGGTTAGACGTCGTTAGGCCCGATAACGATGACTAATCAAGGGCCTATGCTTGAAATTAGCATCAGCCCGGGCCGGCCTGGAAGCCATGTCTAGTAGCTTCTGACCTGATTTTGTCATAGTGGCTATGAGGACTCAAATCGGGTCATAGCATTCCAACACCTTGTCAGAAAAACTGCCTCGCCAAAAATTAGAGCTTTTAACGTACCTGATTAGCATCTTCGATGGTACTAATGTAGGTTAGATTCGATTTTGTTTGTATCCTGGGGAGCTCCAGTCTTATGTCATCATAAATTTTTTTGCTTTCCTTCTCGGTCCTTTGAATTCGAACAACAATTTTTGCTTCACTCTCCATACTTGGATATCCATGATCTCTCGCTTTGACAGTCATCTCCATTTGATCCGTTTTAAGTCCGTCCAATTTCTTTATAATAACCAACTTTCCAGTCGCCACATCCACTCGTAAATATTCGTTGGACTCATTCAGGAAATAGCTTATAACCGAGTTTTGTTCAAGATCCTCATCACTCGCTGTTACATTTCCAACAACTTCTCCAATAGCAGCAGTTTGGTTTGCAGTAAAAAAGTAAGAGCTATTCGAAAAAACGGGAGGATTGTCGTTGTAATCGAGGATTTTCACAGTCATTTGAGTCGTCACTTGCCATTCATCGTCATGACAGGATATCTGAAAATATCGCTTGATACAATAAGAAGGAGCTATGATGATTTTTTCATCTTATTCAATAAATATTTGTGTCATCTACTGCGATTCCAGCAGTAGTCTAGAAATCAATCTGTCGGGAAAATAAAGAGCAAATTTTTTCGCGCCAATCGCGTCGCCGAAGTAAAAAGCGATTTGATTTTGTCGCGACACGATTCATTTTCTCGGCGGCGATGCTATTCTCGAAGCGGCAGAGCGCTCATTATTTTCCCGACAGACTGATGGTAAATATATTATAAAACTTTTTGTTTCCAGAGATAGCGCAAAAAGTGAGAGTCAGCCAGACCAGAACTTTTTTGCTACAAATTTGATGTGCTTTTGTCACAAATGGCTCTTGGGCCGGGCCGAAAATTAAAACCCGCAGCTCAGCGCGCGGGCTATATAGATGTCGGCTGGTTCTAAATTTTCGTGAACCATGGCTTGCAAATCGACTTTTATCACGAATTCCCTTACCTTCAAATCAATTTCATCCATCTCCTCTCGATCCAACTGTTTTTTCAATTTCATCTCTCCACTAGTGCTATTCAATTCGAAGTAATCACTGTATTTCCCCGCAACTATCTCGTACTTTATCCCATCCATATTTTCATCCAGATCAGTAGCTTTTACAGTGTAAAAAACGTCAGCTATTGGCTGGTTTTCAAGCACTTCCGCCTGAAATTTCGAGGATCACTCGTTTAAACGATCACTGCCGATTTTACAACCCCTTGCATTTCGCAAATAGCTGTTCAATACTCACTTTCAACAGACTGCTAAACCTCGGAGGGTTGTCGTTTTGATCCTCCACTGTAACAAACACCATGGTTCGCCCCTTTTGCGGGGGATTTCCATCGTCGACACACTCGATTTCCAACAAATACGATGACTTTTCCTCTCGATCCAGTGCAGCTCTTAGAATAAGGTAGCCGTTTTGCGGATGAATCGCAAACGGAGTAACGTAGTTCTCATCCAAGTTGCTAATAGTGAATGTGAATTGAGCGTTTTCGCCGGAATCAGCGTCGCTTGCGGTTAGATGAAGCAAAGGGGCTGAAGGCAATGTGTTCTCGGTGATTTTGAGGTAGTAGATTTCCTGGAAATAAGGATTGGTATGCGTATACATAGCATGGGGACCTATGGCCCCCAAAAATTTTTTTATCGTAAAACATGGCAATCCTTATTTTTCCATTTTGCAAAAAATTTTTTTGTCGTACAACATGTCACCCCTTCTTTCGATTTTTTAAAAGTGGACCTTTTTTATGTTTTGGGGGACCCCTTCGTTTCACTGCGATTTCGTGTAGGAATCATCTTCTTTTTGGGGGACCTCTTCTTTTTCGGGGCCTCTTCGTTTATGTGGCCTCTTTGTTTTGGGGACTCCTTCACTTTTAAAGCCTTTTCGGATGGGGGACCTCTTTGTATCGGGGGACTTATTCAATTTTACGGCCCTCTTCGTTTATGTGGCCTCTTCGTAATGTGGACTTCTTCACTGTCTGGGCTTCTCCGTTTTGGGGCCTTATCCACTTTTAGGGCCCTCTTCGTTTTTGGGGCCTTTTCGTATAGGTGGCCTCTTCGTTTAAGGAGCCTCTTCATATTGGGGGGGGCCTTTTCGTTTAAGGGGTCTGATCGTTTTGGGGGCCTCTTCGTATTGGGGACTCCTTCACCTTTGGGGCCTTTTCTTTCCGGGCTCTCGTCGGTACTAGTTTCTCTGACTCACCTTTTCAAAAATCGGCGCATTGTCATTCTCATCAAGCACCTCGACATTCATCTCAATTACCGACCCAAACGCCGGGGTTTTCTTATTGCAAACGCGGAGAAAAATGCGATGGTAGGGATACTGTTCCCGATCCAGCTCTTTGACCACAAAGTCTTTGTCATCATCAATGTAAAAACTGAGCCTATTGCCAGCCATAATCGAAATCTCCAAGTCGTTGAGGTCTTCGTGGAAATAGGCTTGAAGACCGAATTCCAAGTCGTCCTTGGAGTTCTCGGTGACTTGAAGTTCATGAAGTTTAATATTCTGAAGAAAAAAATAATCAAAAAAATCATCATTTCCCACCTTTTCCACCACAAATTTCTCCGCGTTGGCGGTGTAAAAATTGATGGCCACTGTGGAATTTAGCCCATCTTGATCTCGAACCAGTATCGTCAACTCATATTTGGCTTCATTTAGCTCTCTTTCAATCGACCGGAGCCCTCCAAATTTGTCGATTGTAAACGTTTTTGCCGCCTCTCCCAACACTTGATACGAAAGTTTTCCAAACGAAGAAAAATCGGGATCTTGAGCATTGATCACATATAGAATTTGGTTTGAAGAGGTGGTATTTGGAATGTAGATGTCAAAATCTTTGGTGAGAATTTCGGGTGGGTTGTCGTTTACGTCCACGACGGTGAGAATGAGCGATATTTTGTTGGGGTAGTTGATAAATTCAGTGATTTCAATCGCTTCAATATCAATTTCGAAGGTGTTCTGAAAAAATGTGATTGTAAATTTTTGGAAAAATTTTAGAGTCGCTAATTCGACAGGATTTTAAAAAATGACGCCATTTCATTTCCGTGATTTTCGCCATTTTTGCTGACAAGGGAAGTACCCCAAGTAGATTTTCTTTTGGTTTTGCCCACACGTTAGTTGTGTGCCACATTTCAATTCCTGAAAGTTTTGCCTCTCGTTTTACAGGCGAAGCCGGGATATTGAACAATCTTGGCGGCCGAGAGAGTACGCAAAACGCGGAGAGGGGTCACCGACGAATAAAAATGAGTAAAAACTCGAACCGGAAAATAAGAGATTTTTAGACATTTTTTTAAGGAAAATCTTGAATACAAAAAAAAAATAAAAGGCGAAAAAATCAAGATTTTCGCGTCACGATTTTTCAAGTCGACGACAGTTCGGGTCACCATAAAATCGATCAAAACAAGACGTAGGGCACGTGGATACCCAAAAAGCGTTTGTAGAAAATGACTACAAGGCCTGGAAAGTCCGTTGGATGATCGGCGGAGCCTTGGCGAAGGCTCGGCGGAGCCTTGGCGAAGGCTCGGCGGAGACTTGGCGAAGACTTGCAATATTTTCACTTTCTCTAATTTTAACTATCTTTCCAGCTTGGTGGGGAAAAAATTATTTTTTCTGTGGAAACATTACTCTATACAGTAGAAATAAGCATGAAAATTTTCATGCGAAAATTCGAAAAAAGTGTCAAGTGTCAACTTTTTTTTCGAACCTTCGACCAAAAAATCTCGGTTGTTTCTGCAAAGCGCGAGCTAAAAATCTGGCATATGCACTAGCAAAAATTTTTCTAAAATTTTACCAACTTTTATCAAAATCTGAACGTTGCACTTGGACTACTCCCCTTGCAAAAATCGCCCAAATTTTCACTCTACTTACCCTCACTTCTGCATCAAATTTCCCAATAAAGCTTAATTCCCCAGTAGTTGAATTGATCCGAAAATCATCATAGAACGTCTTCAAACTATACACAACATCTCCGCACTCTCTGATCGGTGAAATTGTCACCAAACTTCCATTAATTTCTCGGTTTTCCTCGAATTTCCGATAAATCTTTGCTGGGAACTGGCATTTCCTCAAATTTTTTGACGGGAAAACGTGAATATTGACTGTTGCTGTAGAAGACAACGCGAATTCTCCACGATCAACAGCTTGAATGGTCAGTGGGATTACTGTAGTTTTTATGGCCGACAAATTTTTAGTTAGGTAGAGGGCGCCAGTTGTTGAGTTTAGAGTGAAAAAATCGGTCTGGGAATGGAGAATGTAGGAGATCTCGCCATTTGAACCCTGAAAAAATGGTGAAAATGGAAAGATTCTGAAATTTCAGTCTTTTGCAAAGACGTATCTTGCGGGGTGGGGTACCACACCCCGGATGCTGGAGGCCGAAAAAAAGTAGGTAAGGGGGGACCGAAGCACTCTTTTTGCAAAAATTTTTTTTCACGGTGGCTCCCTGTGGCCCAAGGAATATACCCCCTGCTCCCAGACTACTCCCTTCCCCTCAAAAATGTGGCAAAATGCTTCCCTCTCCAAGTGAAAAAACTTTGTTTTGAAGGGCGCCCCCTTTCCCTCATGAAAAGAGCATGCTTTTGAAATCGTTTTTTCACTTGGAGAGGGAGGTATTTTGCCACATTGTTGATACTTCCCGGATACAAAATGGTACGTTTTTTCACTGGATCAGTAAACTAATTTTTCAAAAAATATTTTTCGGTCGGAAAGCACCACGAAAAATTCATTTTTGACATTTCGTTTGAGTTCAACCGATACTGGGCGGGTGTCGATTAGCGGAAGACTCCCTGGGTTTCCGTGCGCCCCACCGCTTGAAATCAACATATACATTCAGACTTACCTTTTCACTATCGATTGCTTTGATATAGTCGATAAAAACAGGTGAAGAAACATCCAAATTCTCCATTATATCGATATTGAAAACATTTCCCCGTTCAAATACGGGTGGCTCATCGTTCACGTCGAAAATTTTGATCTTGAGGATCCTACAGTAAGCAAAAGTTAAGATATCCAAATTCAAGACTAAATATTCAGTAATCCGATATATTTCATACCCTTGTTTCTCCTTCCACTTCCGACCAAAGTCTTGACAAGAAATTGCCAGTTCGTATTCGGACTTGGCTTCATAATCCAAAGCCCGCTGAACAGTGATGATATTGTTGACCGAATCCAAGTAAAATCTCCGTTCTCTGTCGCCCTCGACAATTTGACAAAAGGTTTTGGCGTTATGACCGCTATCGGCGTCGGAGATATTCAGTTGAGCCACAAATGTTCCAACTCTCACGTCCTCGAACAAGTTGATGGGATGATCAAGAAATTTCAACTGAAAAAGGATTGCTGTCAAACAGATGCCTTCAAGATCTTGCATATGAGGCGTAAGCGAGGTATTGGTCTTTTTCGCCAAGTTCTGCAGCCGTAACCACTCGGAGGCGCGCCTCCGAGTGGCGTAGCGGCTTTTTTGATGATAAATGCTTTTTTTTAACAAGTTTTCAGTGCCACACCTGATCCAGTGTCCAAAAAATATGATTTTGCATCCGGGAAGTATCAAAAAATGTAGCAAAATACCTCACTCTGCAAGTGGGGAAACTCCGATTTCAAAAGCGCGCTCGCTTTTTTGTGAGAGAAACGACGCACCTTCAAACAAGGAGGTTTTTTACAATTTGTTAGTTGGAAAGGGAGGCATTTTGTTACATTTTTGATACTTCCCGGATGCAAAATGGAACGCTTTCTGCCGCTGGATCAGATCCGTCGCTGTATACACAATCTTTGAAAAAATATTAACTGCAATTTCATTTTTAACCGACCTCAAAGTCATTGTCATCCTCATCCAGAACGTTTACAATCACGGCAATCTGAACTTCTTCCACTTCTTCTCCCACAACTTTTACCATGACGTGCATATAGACTTGTTTCATCTGCTCAAAATCCAATTGATGACTCAAAACAATCTCTCCCGTAACAGGATTCAACTGCAAATACTTTGCGGAGTTGCCGTAGTCCTCGATTTCGAAGATAATGTCATCATTTTCGCGATCATAAACGATATTTTCAAGCTCGATTTTTCCGACAATCTCGCCTATTTTGGCGTTTTCTGACACGAAGAACTGTTGGTTTAGATCTTCAGTGTTAAAATGACGGCTAATTACACTTGGAATCACTCGAATTCCGAGGGTAATGAAGTCAAAATGGGAGGAATTCCAACACAGACCGTCTTGAACTTGAATAGAAAGATTGTAAGTGGAAGTCGTGTGCCAGTCAAGTTGCTTGTTGACATGCAAATTCCCATCTTTGTCGATGAAGAAGTCGTTATTGGGATCGGATTTGGGATGAATGCGAAAGGCGAAATCGGGATCTGAAAGTAAATAATATTTTTTTGTCAATTTTTAGGCCGTAAAACGCTTTTACAGGAGAAGGACGCATGTGCAGTGACGGGCCTGATCCAGTGGCAAAAATCGTACCATATTGCATCTGGGAGGTGCCAGAAATGCAGCAAAATCCCTCCCTTTCCAAGTGAAAAAACTCCGGTTTCAAAAGTACGCCTCACGCCGAACTGAGATAAGCTAATACAGTCCGGTGAATCGATTGGCAATTTGCCAAAAAAAGACGCGAAAAAACGTTTTGTCGGGGAAGAAATGGGGAATTTTTGGGGCGAGAGAGTACGCTTTTGCGCGTCTTTTTTCTCCCTTTCTCTGCGAAATCAAGACGAAGTGCAAAAAACCGATAGCGAAGTTCTATTTCCGGTCACTGTTTGACGTGCGCCTGCTCTTTTTGTGAGGTAAAGGGCGCGCCCCTCAAAAAAAGGAGTTTTTTAGTTGAAGAGGAGGTATTTTGCCACATTTTTGATACTTCCCGAATGCAAAATGGCACGTTTTTGCCGCTAGATCAAGTCCGCCACTGTGCATAGCGGGCTATGCACTTTTTGCCCTCGAATTTTCTCATCTTTGCCCTCTAATATAAGATGCCCTGTAATCTAAACATAACCCTCTAAAAAGATGCCCTCTAATCAACCTTTTCATAACAGGCGTGTATTGTTATTATTTTTTACCCCTTTTCTCATTTTCAAACATTGCAAAATGAAACCTTTCAAAAAAAGAAATTTATTACAGTAATCAACAGGAATAATAAATAATAAATCTGATGGAAAAAAGTATCTTTTGAGGTATAATAGACCGGTAACTAGCATTGCATTATTGCCCATTTGGAACTCCGAACATTAATACTTTTGGTATCTTCCAGTTCGACCATTTCGTCATCATTTGCCGGGTTTTCCATCGCTTGAAAAATCTTGACAAATTCGCTCCATCGACAATCATCTTTCAGCCTAGACCGCAAGTGATAGATGACACCTTGAACTTGTTTTAGAGTTAACAGAGGATGTTCTGACTTCAGATCTCGATACGCGATTTCCGGTAGAATCGAAGGGTACTCGTTGAATTTGGCTTCAATCGCACTCCTGGCCCCTTCCGGAAGTCTCCTTTGCAATGAGGCGTGGACTGTGTGGCTGCCGTAAGTCAAAACAGTGATCCGGCCTTCATGATCTTCTTCACCAATCAGTTTGATCTCACATTTCTCTAAAATGTAAAGCACGGAATAGCTATATAAAGTTATATTATATGTATAACGAAAAATTTTGGGGCAACCTAAAAGTATAATTTTTCCTCGATGTAAATGTGGAAACTAGGATAATCGATGGTGCTGATTTCGAAAATGAAACTCATTTTATGATTGTTACTTTTTTCTTTAAGTAGTACTGTAAAGTAGTACCTTTTATAATTTCTGTCATAAACACTCGATTTAGGGGTTTTCGATGATGCTGATTTCGAAAATCATGTTAACTTTTCCTCTAGTACTATATAGTACGTACTATCTGATACTATGCAGTACGAGAAAATATGGCTTTTGACATTAATGGTGTTGTTTTGATGCTCAGTACTCTTAAAAAACACGTTTTAAAAACTTGGTGCTATTTTTGATAATACTACATGATACTATATTGTACGAGGGGAAAATAGCAGTACGAGGCACCAGAACAACACCACTAACGCATAAAGGTCAAATTTTCACCTCGTACTAGATAGTATCAGATAGTACTATATAGTACTAGAGGAAAAGTTAACATGATTTTCGAAATCAGCACTATCGAAACCCCCTAAATTGAGTAAATTCGAAAGAAGTACTACTTTACAGTACTACTTAAGGAAAAAAGTAACAATAAAAAAATGAATGTCATTTTCGAAATCAGCACCCTCGAAAACCCCTAAATCGAATATTTATGAAAAAATTTTTAAGAAAATAACTACTTTACAGTACTACTTAACAAGAAAAGTAACAATCAAAAAAAATGAATGTCATTTTCGAAATCAGCACCATCGATTGTCCTAATTTCGACATTTGCATCGAAGAAAAATAACGATTCGGTTTCCCCAATCGTCCCAGTTCCGAAAAAAAAATTATAAAAATTACCTTTTGTTCCTTTCCGACGATTGAATTTACACTCATATTCGTGTTTTCTGAGCTTGTGGCCTCGGGAATGTTTGAAGTTCCAAGTTCCTTCGGCCTTGATCCAATCTTTGAATGCTTCCCTGTCACGAAATTCCATTAATTTCTGATATTCCTTCTTGGCTCCGCGTTTCCGCCTTGCTGGAACATCGACTGAATTCACTTGATTCTCACGAGTTTGGTCATCATAATTGGAGTCAGCGGTTTCATTGCGAATTGGGCGACTGATTAAAAAACTCATCTACAACATAGAAAACATACTATTTATAACAGCAAAAACTAACGTGGAACAATTGGAAAAAGGACCATTGGGGAAAAAGACAATCGGGAAACCGAAAAGTATTATTTTTCTTTGATGAAAGTGTCGAGATTAGGAGAATCAGTGGTGCTGATTTCGAAAATGACATTCATTTCCTTTTGATCGTTAATTTTTTTTTTGAACAGTACTGTAAAATAGTATTTTTTGAATTTGTTTTACAAATACTTGATTTAGGGGTTTTCGATAGTGCTGATTTCAACTCAAAAAAGAATAAAGATTTTTGGAATCAGCACTATCAAAAACCCCCAAAATTTAAAACAGTGAAAAAAGTTTAAAAAATTACCCCTTTACAGTACTACTTTTAAGTATTTCCCTTAAAAGGAAAATAGTAATGATCAAAAAAAAATGTCATTCTTGAAATCAGCGCGCGTTCGATTGTCCTAATTTCGACATGTGCATCGAAGAAAAATAACACTTTTCAGTTTCCCCAGTCATCGAAATATTTCCCCAATCGTAGCTCCATGAACTCGAAAATTTCGCGGAAGTCGAAGATAACAACGAACAAAACATTCCAACACAACTTTACCCCAAATCTTTTGGTTTGGAGGCTTTCCCATGCCAGACAATCTGACAGCAGAAAAAAATTATTCACTGAATGCTGGCATGGCGTCCGTTTCGGCGCGCCAGATAATTAGAGGGCAGTGAAATTAGAGGGCAGAGCAGAGAAAATTAGAGGGCGTCCATTTGGTCGCCAATAATTAGGGGGCAATGAGTCTAGGTTCAGAAAGTATACAAGATTTGCCAAGGGACCTGATCCAGTGGTAAAAAACGTACCATCTTGCATCCAGGAAGTGTTAAAAAATGTGGCAAAATACCTCACCCTCCAAGTCGAAAAAAACTCAGATTTCAAAAGCGCACCCACTCTTTTTGTGAGGAAAATGGGCGCACTCTTCAAAACGAAGTTTTTTCACTTGTAGAGGGAGGCATTTTGCCACATTTTTTGATACTTCCCGGATGCAAAATTATACGTTTTTTGCCACGGGATCTGGCCCCCATTGTCTTTGCTGGTCCATAATTATTTAACCGAGTCTTAGAACGTATATTTACATACCAAAGTCTCTGTCCTCCACCTTGAACTTGTAGATCACACTGCCAATTTCGGCGTTCTCCGACACTTCGACAGTCTTCTCGTTATCCACAAACTTTGCAGGATTGTCATTTTCGTCATCCACAAAAACAAAAACTTTTGTCTTTGTCGATTTCCCGATAGCCTTGTCATCATCAGAATGTCGGACATCCAAGACAAAAAAGCCGATTTCCTCTCGATCCACCAGCTTTGTCACCGTTATCTTTCCGTCGCTTGAAATTGCAAAGTGCTCGGAATATGTTGAGTTATCAACAGAGATAGTGATATTTGCTTTGTTGTCGTTTTCAATCATAATTTTGCCAATAAAACCGATTGGGGAGTTCTCCGAGAAATGAAAGAACTGCGGATTCTGATAAACCAGCTCGTTTTTGTCGCTTGTCAATAATGTGGGCTTTGATGTGGACTTTCTTTCACACCCTAGTCTCTTGTCATCATGCCATTTCCATTCAAAATTCGCTTCAGGGAATTCGTAAACTTCTGCAGCTTGTGAATACGGCAAGTTTGATGATGTCCTGGGTAGCTCAAGTTGACATGACACAAAATTGGTTGAATTATGATAGTCGATAATCTTGTAAGTAACGGTGGATTCGCTTGGGTGCCTTAGTAATTGAAGCTAAAATGAGTAAACAGTATACGAAGGGGGCTACGACTTTTCTGGTCAGCGACAGTTCGGGTCAGCGATATTATGGGCGGTTTGTCTTTGTATGTGCGGGAGAGGCTACGAGAACGCTTAGTTAGGTAGATAAAAGTTACGGATCTTCGTGGTTTGCCCTCATATTTTTGTCCTTTATATGTTGCAGTTACTCAGGGTAAAGAAAACTAACGTTCCAATAGATAAAATAAGAAAAAATGATCATAGTACAAGTGTTCGCCAAGTCTCCGCCGAGCCTCCGCTGAGCCTCCGCCGACCATCTAACGATCTTGCCAGGCCTCATAGGCGCTTCCTACAACCTTTTTTTGGGCCTCCAGCTGTCCTATGCACGTCAAACTGAGATAAGCTAAAACAGTGCGGTGAATGGATTGGCAATTTGCCAAAAAAGACGCGAAAAAACTTTTTGTCGGAGAAGAAATGGGGAATTTTTGGGGCGAGAGAGTATGCTTTTGCGTGTCTTTTTTCTCTCTTTCTCTGGAAATCAAGACGAAATGTAAAAAACCGATAGCGAAGAGTCTATTCCGGTCACCGGACTCCTCAGTTTGACGTGCTACGCCCCGTATCGATCGACTGTCCTCGACCCGAAAATTCGAGATGTGGTGCAAAGTATGTACAAAGCTTATTGTTCAAACTTGCCTTTCCAGAATACTTGTCGATCAGGAAATTTTTGGAGGTAAGTTCGTATCTAACTTTACCAAGAAGTTTTGGATCCGCGAGAATGTCAAACTCTTCACCAAGCGAAGCATTTTGTAAACCGCGCATCTTTCCGTCGGATGGACAAAATAATTTGACCTCTATTGACTCCTAAAAAAATATGAAGACATATGTAAAACATACGTAAGGCATACGACTTACCGCTGTAAAAATCTCAACCATCGTCAGAAATGTCTCATTTAGCACATTATCAAATACGGCAATCTTCAAGTAAGTTAAGCTTCCAAATTTGGGGATTTTTCGGAGCCGAAGCTTCCCATTGGACGACAAAACGAAGTTTTCGTCAATGTTCTCAATTTGAGTTTGTATTCTCGGCTCGTTTTTGGGGTTTAGGTCCAGCAAAAGCTTTCCTTTGAGGGCCGATTCCGAAATCAGCAATGATTGCTTTGCTGGGATCTTTAGAGACTGGAAATGAGAGAATTAAGGTCAATGCTGGTGGCATACAGTGGCGGACCTGATCCATTGGCAAAAAACGTACCATTTTGCATCCGGGAAGTATCAAAAATGCAGCAAAATGCCTCCCTTTCGAAGCGAAAAAGCTCTGATTTCAAAAGCGCGCCCGCTTTTTTTGTGAGGGAAAGGGCGCGCAGTTCAAAACGGAGTCTTTTTTAGTTGAAGAGGGAGGCATTTTGCTACATTTTTGATATTTCCCGTATGCAAAATGAAACGTTTTTTGCCACTGGATCAGGTCCGTCACTGTAGCCCATTCACTGTATTAGAGAGTTGAAAAAAATTTGCCATGCTTTTGCGAATCATAGCATAATAAGTTTCATGGCTATTTCTACCGCAGAGAGTAATATTTCCACAAAAAATAATTTTTTTTATGCAAAACTGACAAAGATACGGCCAAACTCGTTTTTCTCTCTGACCGGTCTCCCTCTTTCGCGTGCTCTCTCGGCCGAAAAAAGCCGTTTAATATCTGGACTGTCCCTGTAAAGTGCGAGCTAAAATTTTCAGGAATTGATATGTGCTCTATGCCCGAAGTGTATGCAAAATTTAAAGAAAATCGGAGCGTCGCACTTGGGGTTATTCCCCTCCATGAAGCCGCAAGTTTTCAAAAAAATTTCATCGTATAAAATGTCACCGCTTCTTTTTAACTAAAAAAATTTACAAAGGGGACCTCGCAAGACTTTAGCCTGAATTTGCCTCTAGTTTCATCAAAATAAACATGACAAAAAACGCTGTAAACTCACTTTTACCGCTGCCTTTTTGCGCACTTTCACTCTTTGTTTTCCCACAAATCCTGGATTGTCATCGTCCTCGGCGGTGATTGTCAAATTAATTTCGTTGAAGTCCACGCCATTTTCGTTCATTCTAAACAACCCAGTTTTACTGTCAATCTTTACAAATTCACTGTCCGTAGAGTACGTTATGCTCGAGTTTGAGTCCACATCTTTCGCCCGAATTCTTCCGATGGGCGAAAATTTTGGAGAATTTGAATATTCCAACGAATAGTTTGAATCTTCAAATTTTGGAGGGCTATCATTAATGTCAAATATTAACAAAAAACAACGTTGTGTCAGAATAAAATCGTCTGATTTGAGCAGCACGATGAATGGGAATTCTTGTTGCTCCTCGAAATCGAACACAGACTTGGTAAACAGCTTGCCGGAGGGGTCGATTCGAATGAAATCGGAGCCATGGATGATTGAGAAGTTGATGTCCTAGAATGACTAATATTAGGGCGTTGGTTGATGGCTGTATAGCAAATAAAAAAGACAAAAATCTATTTTTTTGTCAAAAATTTTTTAGTGTTTAAGGAGACAACTTCATCATGAAAGTGCTCAAAGATCAGTCATCATATTCGCTTCAAATTTGCCACAAGCAGTCCATATATAGTGGCATGCCTGGTCCAGTGGCAAAAAATGTACTATTTTGCTTCCGGGAGGTATCAAAAATGTAGCAAAATACCTCCCTCTCCAAGTGAAAAAACTCCAATTTCAAAAGCGCGCCCGCTCTTTTTGTGGGGGAAAGGGCTCTTCAAAAAGAAGTTTTTTTAGTTCGAGAGGGAGGCATTTTGCCACATTTTTTGATGCTTTCTGGCTGTAAAATGGCACTTTTTTTGCCACTGAATCAGGTCCGTCACTGAACACAAGAAATTTTACCCGGGCCGCCTGACCGAACTTTCAATATTTTTTTAGGCACGGGCTCCGGATTTCAGCCATGGCCGATGCATCGCACTTGGAACACTTCACTCGTAAGCATTGCTGTTCCAAAAATTCTCCAGCAAACCCTCGACATACCTCCTTCTTCTCCACATTGATTTCTCCCAAAAAATAGTCGGCCCGTTCATTCTCCTCCACTCCAAACACTCTCACTTCATTCCCCATCTTCGGCACATGGCCCACATCTTCTTTCCAACGAATGGAGACTGTCAAATTGTTCGAGGCCATATGGCCATCCCTATCTTTTGCGCCAACAACGATTTTTGTCGTGTCTCTCAAGTTGTTGGCCGATTTTAGAACCAAAATTCCATCGTTTTTCACATCGAAATTCTCGGCTGGAGCGTCAAGAAGATGGTATTCTAATTCATCGAATTTATCGTCATCGTGCGCTTGGAAATAGTAGATTTCTTTAGGTGTGTTTTCGTGCACGCCCAGGGTTAAATGAGCGATGGTTTCGCGGAAATACGGAGAGTTGTCGTTGAGGTCCTGAAATCGTGATTGTGCTCATTATTTTCCCTACAGACTGATAGTAGTATTGCAAGCTTAAAAGAGACGGCAAGACGTCAAAAAATATGAGAACTTACCTGAACTTTCACTACAACTTTGCAAGAGTCCAACACATTTGATGACTTTGGCTCCTTCAGATTGACTGTGAAAATGAAGATGTTTTCTTTTTCAAAATCGAGCTTATTTTTCGAGTACAGTAATCCCTCGTCGATCCTGAAGAACCTGTCCATGGAAGGCTCTCTAATTTCAAATTCGATTGATTTGGACGCTTCAGAAGTCAATAAAAGAATGCCAATTGGATCGATGATTTCGGAGTTCTCGGGCACCTGGAAGTGGTAAAATACGAGCTGATTCATACAGTGGCGAACCTGATCCATTGGCAAAAAACATACCACTTTGCATCCGGGAAGTAGCATAAATGCAGCAAAATACCTCCCTCTCCAAGTGAAAAAAACTCCGATTTCAAAAGCGCGCCCTTCTATAATACTTGTGAGGAAAAGGGCGCGCCTTTCAAGACGGAGTTCTTCGTAGTTGTAGAGGGAGGTATTTTGCCACATTTTTGATGCTTCCCGGATGCAAAATGATACGTTGTTTCCACTAGATCAAGGCCCTCACCGTAGCTGTTTTTTAGTTATGATTATGTATTCGTTAGGGGTTAGTATTTATATAGGATTTACTCTTCATGTAGGTGAGCACTAGAGGATCTTACTCATCTAATTTAGTCCAGACCTTGTCTCAGTATCTCAGCCACAGCCTACCTCAAAAACAAACACATCCTTCTTGAACCTTGACCTTTCCTGCAGAGCACTCCCGTCCAGTCGAACAATGATATAGGCAAACGAGCATTGCAGAGAGGGCGCTGGATTCCGAATCTTCACCTTCAACTCGTAACGAGGGCTTCTCAGCCCTTCCAATTTTGCATAGACCGTTCCAATCACCGGATCAACAAAGAACTCGTCTTGATGATTCATCAGCTCAAAAGCATAGTCAATATTCGAATTGGCAACTGTAATTTGCGCTAGCTCCTGATTCGTAGAAGGCTGGGTTGAAAGAAAGATGGTTTGGTTTTGTTGTAAAATCTTGGGCGGGGAGTCGAATTTGTCGAGAATAAATACCTGAAATACGCGTTGCAAATAAAAGTTCATGGCTCTGGCTGTGGAAATTTTACGGTAGAATAAATCAATGTTCGGTATACATAGGGAAATTGTGTGTTATATCAGGGTCCGTCAGGGGTTCGCTCTAGAATTAAGCTGCATTTTGAAGTATCTAAGATTTTTTGTTGCGGTAATAAACGTTGTCAGTGGCTACCAAAGTTAATTTTAGGCCAAAATAAAACCCATACAGCAAAAACGACTCTATAACACATAATATTTATCCTTGATAAAGTTTCTCCGCTTTCCAACCTCCTTTAGCTTTCGTTGTATTAGACTTGCCTTCAGTTTTTTGTCAACAAAATCATCGCCTTCCTCACTTCCACCGACACGAATGACCACCTCAAACTCTCGCTCTCTCGTCGCCAGGCTCATGTTTTTCACCCGCAGAACACCGAAGCCATCTCCAGTTTCAATGTAAAACACCTCTTGATGATTCACTAAGCCGATGCTCTCATGGGCATTGCGATATAGGCTTTTGACAGTGATCACAGCCACAGTTACTCCATTGGCAGCTTCTTCGGATATCACAGCGTAGTTTTGGCCAGGCGGGTATGTCCTAAATTTGGAATTAGAATACTGCGCGTGCTAAAAAGTCGTGATAATTTGTATTGTACAGTTTTGGCGCGTCGCTGCGAAAATCGCAAAAAATGGAGCGATGGTACGATGTAACACATTTTTTGCACTATGCAAATTGTCAGTCTGTCGGAAAAATAGTGGCGGCTCGTCCCAACTAAAAAAGGATTTCGCCAAAGAAGGATGCGGCCGGGGGGCCACATTTCCAGCTGCTGCCATCCGCCGCAAAGCAATGATGGGCGATTCCGAAGCGCGACGACCGCCACTATTTTCCCGACAGACCCATATCAGGACTTGTGGCATGTATCAGTCTGTCGGGAAAATATTGAGCACTCTGCCGCATCGAAAATCGGGATCACCGCCGAGAAAATGAATTGTGTCGCGGCAAAATCTAATTTCTTTTCTCTTCAAATTTGCGCTCACTATTTCCCCGACAGAACTGATATACGCGCCATAAATGGTGTTTTAAGATTAAAAACCCTTTTTTGAAAGTTGAACATACCTTATGTTAACCTTGAATAGCTGCTTTTTCTCTCCAATAGACCTAATTTCCACTGTGGTCTGACTTTTTAACGCCGGAACTCCATGATCCACAGCTTCGACAATTATTGAGCATGGCTCCGAACAGTTTACTGTAGCATTCTAAGAATTGATTACATTGGAAAGATACCTCTCGAGAGCCTACTTTCACTTGAATTTCCCCAGTCTCCGAGTTGAGTTGAAAGTCCGCGGAGGGCCCGGAAAAAAGCCTATACGATATTCTTCCATTGTCAGCCAAATCTTTGTCAGTCGCTATAACTTTTCCAATGGTATCTCCGGATCTTGTTGAGTTAGCTATTGTGAATTCATACAAGTTTTTCTCGAATACGGGAAAGTTATCGTTGACGTCGACAACTTGAATTTCCACTTGCAATTTTCCTGTTCTAAAAGCAGAGGTGGTTTGGAATTGAAATATGATAAGCAATAGTAAATTATCAGTCTGTCGGGAAAATAATGAGGACCCTGTCGCATTGAAAATCGCATCGCCGCAGAGAAAAGGAATTGTGTCGCGGAAAAATCAAATTTATTTTCACTTCAGCGACTTGATTGAGAGTCAATCACATTGCGCTCATTATTTTCCCGACAGAACGATATTTATCAATTTGTCGGGAAAATAATGTGGATAGCAGAAAAATGTCTCGGGTCGTGCACGAAATCTCCAGTCGTTGCTAGATACCGTAAAACGATGCTGGGAGATTCCAAGGTCAATTAATCCACATTATTTTCCCGACAAACTAATATCTCGACTCTCTAATGTCGCTGCGCCAATCGCGTCGCTGAAATTGATTATATCGCGACCCAATTCATTCTCTCGGCGGCAATGCGACAGAGTGCTCATAATTTTCCCGACAGACCGATAGAAGGGTTTCGCTGTAAGGAGGTTCCTTTTTTGTCTAAATCTGACTTTTTGGTCTCAGAAACTGTTGTCTCGAATATTTGTCGTAGGGGGCTTGGCTTTGCCGAATTTGGTTGTATCTCACCTTGAAGGACTACCACCATCTCTCGCAATAACTGTAAGTTCATATCTTTCCACAGCCTCTCGATCCAGAGCTCTCATCAGTTCCAGATGCAGACTCCCATCCAAGTTTACAACATTGAACGGAGACCCTTCGGGAACTATGGAGTACTCCACAATTTCTCCATTTTCGTCATTATCCTTGTCATTTGCCATCGGCAAGATTAGCTTTGACCCAATCGGAGCCGCCTCCAGGATTTGAAAATTCTACAGTGAAAAAGGCTGTTTGAGATAACGTATTTTACAAACCTTTTGGGTAACTCCGAAATCCGGCTCGTTGTCGTTGACATCCAGAACTTTTATTCGAATTTCGTCGATATTAAATGAGTCCTGATCAATCAGTTTCAACGTTTGAACATCTCCCTCCACCAGACTTTCTCTGTCAATGACCACTTTGGTTGTGATGTAGCCAGTTTGTAGATCAAAATTAAACAACCTTCGGGCTTCATCGGAAGCAGACAGGCGATAATCGACGTCAGGGATAAGAGAAATCTTGCCAACAATAGTAAGTGGGGGTGTTTCTAAAAACGTGACGAAAATATGTTGGAGCTTATTATTTAATTATTACAACAGGACCAATACTTTTTCAAAAGTTGTTGCGAGGCCCCGAACTCAGACTCTGTCTTTTCAAACGCCTACCGGGCAACTTTTAGTAAGGGCCGCACGCTAGACAAAGAAATTTTAACGAAAATTCAAACTGAGTCTCCATCAGAGATTGCCACGGCTCCGGCTCTGAGCGGCTCCGGCTACCGAGCCCAAAGTCGGAGCCAGGCTTCTCAACGTCCAGGAAGTAAAAATTTCGTGATCTTGTTAAACCAAATTGCTTGAAAGATGCTGAGAAGAATGTGTTGCGTACGGCTTGGCTACAAAAACGGTGGGTCTGTGTCTTTGGCACTAGTAACATTTATTTTTGGAAAAAATGGATTCGGAGCCGGAGCTGACCGTGGCAATCTCTGGTCTCCATTCAAAGCCATGATATATAGGGCATTTGCTGGTAGCGCCGAAAGGCAGAAAAAACACTTGCGTTTACGGTCACATTGCACTTTGTGCGTGAAGCACAAACAGCAAATCATGTAACGCTAACGAAGGTCTAACTGTAAGATTATTCAAGCCTAAGCTTTATTAAGACTAATGTAAGTCTAAACTCACAAGGAAAGTACCCAAAAAACTTCTGCCTGAAATTGTAGTCGGCAAGCTTTGCGACACCAAATTTTGCCCAGCCAAATGTGCTAAGCTGCCGTAAAGCTCTGTATATTAGCTTGTCGGGAAAATAATGAGCACTCTGTGGCATCGAAAATTGATCGCCATTGAGAAAATGAATTGTATCGCAAAAAAATCAAATTGATTTTCGCTTCAGCGACGTGATCGGCGCAGCGACAATGTGTTCATTATTTTCCCGACAGACTCATAAAAATAAAGATTCTATATTCTAAACTCCCTGAAAACTCTTTACAGCCCTCTTCACTTACCTTCCGCCACCTCAAAATTATGTACACGTTCAACAAGTGAGTCAACAACAATAGATATTCCAATAATTACAATAAAAATCCTAACAAAATTCATCTTTGGCAGTGAGCATGATGCTGGCAGCCTCATCGTATCCTTGATTTCATTGTATTCCAAAGCTAAATCGTTACTCTTTAATTTCGCGAAACATTTCTTCACGTAAAATACACACGCGACCACTCGAATATAATATCTCATTTCAGCAAAAAAAAACTTTCCTTTTCGATATATTTGTAATCGCTTGATTTCCCTCAACAAATCCTTCAAGTTGGATTGGGAAGCGAATCTACGGCGTGAGAAGGGAAAGTAAAAAAATTGGATTAAAGAGGGCGAAAGGGGAATATAAAATTTACAGGGGAAGTACTCCAAGTGCGACGCTCAGATTTTGATGAAACTTGGCACAGATTTAGAATAATTTTTTCTAAGATATATGCGAGAATTCTAGCTCGCGCTTTGCACAAACAACCGAGATTTAAAGTTGGCCAAAATTTAGGACTTTTTGCCGAATTTCGGTACGAAAAGTTTCGTGCCTATTTCAACCGTAAAGAATAATGTTTCTACAAAAAATCAAATTTTTCCGCTCGAAACTGCCAAAGTTATGGCCAAAAAAGCGGTTTTCTCTCTGACCGCTCTCCACGTTTAGCATGCTCTCTCGGCGGCATAAATCGTCCGATATCTCGGCGGCACCGGCAAAGCGCGAGCTAAAACTTTCAGGAATTGATATTTAGTCCATGCCCGACGTGTCTGCAAAATTTAACGAAAATCTGAGCGTCGCACTTGGAGTACTTCCCCTGTTAGTATAATATCTACAATTCATCCTGTAAGTAATAAATTTTTTGTTTATTTTATTTATTTTTACTGCAGCAGGTGATGTTTCCACAATAAAATCAACACGAAACTGGCAAAGATCCGGCCAGAAAGCGTTTTCCCTCTGACCGCTCTCCGCGTTTTGCGTACTCTCTCTTTGGCAAAAATCGTTGAATATCTCGACTTCTACTGCAAAGCACAAACTAAAATTTTGAAGAATTGATATAGCATCTACGTCCAGCGTGTGTGCAAAATATAAAGAAAATCTGAGCGTCGCACATCGAGCGTTTTCCCTTGTTAACTATGTCATTGTCAGCTACTCAGACCACAAAAAAACTCGTCCTAAAAAATATTTTTTTGTCATTACCCAAACCCTACTCAACAACAATCATATTGCAGACAAACCCCAAATCCACAACGTTTTTTCCAGCTGCTTTGCACCCCATTATTACCCCTGGTTTATATTGCGGACCAGCCTAATCCTGATCGAATTTCCGAATGGGAAACCCCATTTGAGACAGTCATTTTTGGCCAGGTGAGCGATGAATAATCCGAAAGGGACGAGGTCGTTCTCTTGTATGCGCGAAATCCTGGGAAACAGTCGGTTATATAATAGCGCTGGGGTCGAATTGGTGGCGCAACCGGCTTGCCAAACAATTCGTTGAACACAAGGACCGTAATAAATGCAATCTTTAAAATTATATTCAAGAAAAATCGGTGACTTTTAACATTAATTTTTTTTGAACCATTGGCAAAAAACGTATAAGTTTGCATCCGGGAAGTATGAAAAATATGGCAAAATACCTCCCACTACAACAAAAATAAACTCCTTTACCTCACAAAAAGGGTGTGCGCTTTTGAAATCGGAATTTCTTGACTTGGAGAGGGAGGTATTTTGCTGCATTTTTGATACTTCCCGGATCCAAAATGGTACGTGTTTTGCCACTGGATCAGGCCCGCCACTGTACATGAAAATTCATACAAAAAACCACCCCTTTCACAAAACAAAAATTCTTATATTATCCATGACGATTGGTTGGGCATGATTTTGACTGTATAATGAATTTTCAAAAACTTCCCAAACTTTCCCAAACCCCCTCCCCTCTCTCCTTGAACCCGCGCATGAAGCCGGCCTTAATTGGTCATGAACCCGCATACCCAAACATCGGTCGGATTCGAAAGTCTTCTTGACGGACCCGTACCTCATTTGATGGGTGTGCAAATAAACCTTGAATCAAAATCTCATTCGCCCTTCCTTTCGCACGCGTTCGAGTGCCAGGGAGACTAATCGCGATTGGGCGGAAATGCAAACCAATACTGCTTAATATTTGTTCGGCAAAAATGCAAAAAAAAGGAAGAGCGATTTGGCACCAAATTTGAATAAGTGCGACTTGAAAGTGAGTGCGAGGTCATGGACTAGGGGACAAAACAAGGTTGATAGGGAAAACTATTAGGTTGATGCATAATTATCCGGCGTTTTTATTGGTGTGTTTTTTGTTAGTTAAAATTCTTCGACGATTATTTTTACGAAAAAAAAGTTAACAAAACGCAAATTTTAACTAACAAAAAACGCGCCAAAACAAACGCCGGATAACTATGCATCAAACTAATAGGTTGATACAGGGAGTGTTCGAACATCAAACTCGCACAGATTGTGATAAAATTTGAGGCAAATTCAGATTTAATCTTTTTTCTAAGACATATGCGAGATTATTGTGCCACTTTTTTGCGAATTTTGCCATATAAAATTGTGCCACTTTTTTTGCGAATTTTGCTATAAAATGTTTCATGCCTACAGTGAGGGACCTGATCCAATGGCAAAAAACGTCTCCTTTTGCATCCCAGAAAGGGCCAAAATGCCTCCAAACCCTTCCCTTCTCTAAGCTAAAAAACTCCGTTTTGAAAAGCGCGCCCTTTCCTTCAAGGCGGGCTCTTCAAATCGGGGTTTTTTAGTTTAGAGAAGGGAAGGGTTTGGAGACATTTTGGTCCCTTCCGGGATGCAAAATGAGCCGTTTTTTGCCATTGGATCCCGTCCCTCACTGTATCTCGACTGTAGAGAATAATGTCTCCACAAAAAAATAACTTTTTTTACATCCGAAATTGGCAAAGAGATGTCTAAAAACCGTTTTTCTCTCTGATCGCTCTCCGCATTTTGTGCACTCTCTCGGAAAAAATGACTGAATATCTTGACTTTCCTGGTGAAGTGATAGCCAAAATTTCCAAGAATTGAAGTGTAAGATACGCCCAAAACATGTGCAAAATTCGAAAAAGAAATCAGGGTGTCGCATTTCAAGCAGTGAGAAGTTTTTTCCAACCATTGATCCAAAAAATCTCGGTCATTACGGCAAAGCGCTAGCTAGAAGTCCGGAATATGTCTCACAAGGGAAGTACCCCAAGCGCGACGCTCAGATTTTCTTTAGATTTTGCACACACGTCGGGCATGAACTAAATATGCATTCCTAAAAGTTTTAGCTCGCGCTTTGAAGCCGCAGCCGAGATATTGAACTATCTTTGCCTCCAAGCGAGTACGCTAAACTCGGAGAGCGGTAAGAGAGAAAAACACTTTTTGGCCATGACTTTGGCAGTTTCGCGGGAAAAAAACAGATTTTTTGTAGAAACACTACACTTTACGGTAGAAATAGAGATGAAACATTTAATTCCAAAAATTCGCAAAAAAATTGTCATATTTTTTCAACGTTTGACCCAAAAATCTCGGTCGTTTCTGCAAAGCGCGATCTAGGATTCTGGTATATACTCTAGAAAAAATTATTGTAAATTTGAACCAAGTTTCATGAAAATCTGAGAGTCGCACTTGAGGCACTTCCCCTATAAAATAAACCTCCGTAAAACAAAAAATTTCAATAACAAATAAATTTCTGGTCCCTGAAAATTATTTCAGAGATTTCACTATAAATATTGTCCCATCTTCTATGCAAACAACGGTATTCTCCCAATACATCGCCCTGAAACATATCCTTGACCTTTTTTGGAACAGTCGAAAAAAACGAATGCCCAGAAAATATATAATTCTATAAATCCCATTCCGAGTAAATTACCTCCCTCCTCGCCTTCATTTTACCGAAAACGGCACACCTGTTGTCGGAGGATCGAGGGCTTCCGGTAATTTTTGAGTGAAAAGGGAGGCGAGGGAAGGAGTTAATAATGGACGGACGAATGTATTATACTACATATATTACGGTTTGTCTTTCGTAAAGTCGTGTTCAGTTCTAAGAATTATCAGTCTGTCGGGAAAGGTTCGTTTTTGTACCCAAGACATTTTGTCCTCACTTTTTTTTGTTTTTTGTCTCAAGATGTTTTTGTCGCCAATATTTTATTTCTGAAAACTCTTTGACTAGCTAACAGCGGAAGTACTCCAAGTGCGACGCTCAGAGTTTCTTTAAATTTTGCACACACGTCGTGTATGGACTAAATATCAATTCCTGAAAGTTGTGGTTCGCGCTTTGCGGGCGCCGCCGAGATATCGAACGTTTTTTGCCGCCGAGAGAGCACGCTAAACGTGGAGAGCGGTCAGAGAGAAAACCGCTTTTTGGCCATAAGTTTGGCAGTTTTGTGCGGAAAAATTTAATTTTTTGTAGAAACATTATCCTTTACGGTAGAAGTCGGCATGAAACTTTTCGTGCCTAAATTCGGCAAAAAGTCCAAAATTTTCGCCAACTTTCGATCTAAAAATCTCGGTTGTTTCTGCAAAGAGCGAGCTAGGATTCTCGCATATATCTTAGAAAAAATTATTCTAAATTTGTGCCAAGTTTCATCAAAATCTGAGCGTCGCACTTGGAGTACTTCACTTATAAATTCCACTTCAATTCAGAGGTCGAAAATCAAAACAATTTTCAAAAATTCTTATTGATTTATTAGTCACGGCTACCCAACATTCTGTATACAATAAATATTTCAAATATAAGTTATAAGATTTTTAGCTGAAAACCGGAGATACAATTACATGTTTTGGGTGGATTACAACTGTTGACCCGGTTGATTAGAGCATCTTGGAGGCTTCGAGTTCGCGTTTTTCGCGCTCCTCGTCGTCATCGATGAGGGCTTCGGCGATCGAGGAGGGGATATTCTTCTCTATCCAGTCCAATTCATCCTGCAAAAAATTTTTAAAGTTTGAAAAAAAAATTAAAATTGAAAAAATGTAAAAAATTTAAAAATTTTTAAAAAATCGAAAAAAGATTTAAAATCGAAAAAAAAAATTTTAATTGGAAAAAATGTAAAAATTGAAAAAAATGTAAAAAATCGAAAAAAAAATTTTAAAAATTTTAAAAAAAAATTTAAAACTTGAAATTTTTTTTTAAAATTTTAATTTTTTCTAAAAAAAAGTTAAATTTTTCTCCCAAAAACTTCCAAAAATCCCACTTACAGCCACATTTGATTTCTTTTTGTCCTCTTTTTTGTCATCATGCCCAATATTCCGCATTTTCACATCTTCAAACAGGGCGTTTTGACTTTGTGCGAACAAAACATCGTCTTCCTCGTCGTTCTCATCCTCCGAGTTGTCCAAAAGCGGCGTGAACGCGTACCTTTGATTGTTCTGACTCGGCCTCCACAGGACCATGATCATGACCAAGATGACGCAGAAAAATAGGTGCCAAAACGCGGTGTCCACCCATCTAAAAGCATATAAAATTTAAGAAAAAATGGAAAATTTTTAAAAAAATTTGAAAAATCGAAAAAATTTAAAATTTTTGAAAAATCAAAAAAATTTTCAAAAAAAATTTGAAAAATCAAAAAAATCGAAAAAAAAAATAATTTTTGAAAAACCAAAAAAAATTAAAAAAAAAAATTTTTTAATCAAAAAATTTAAAAAAAAAATTTGAAAAAAATAAAGAAAAAATTCGAAAAATCAAAAAAATTTCAACTCACAACTCCTTCCAATCCTCCATGCAATGCTGAACAATATGAATATACAGCGACCACAACATAAACAAAACCGCGAATCCCATGGACAAGGCAAGAACGTTGGTGAAATGACGGTATAAAGTGAGTTTGACCTCGTTCCTTCGAACTCTCAGGGCTCTCATCGTGTTTACCAGGGAGCTGAAGACCCACCAGGCAATGCCGACTTCCAAAAAGGCCAAGGGGACTTTGGCTACCTGTTTTTCTTTCATTGATTCGGTGGTTCGCTGAAAAATGGAGAAAATTTAAATTTGGGACTGTAAAAAAAATAAATTTTTTTGAAAAAAAATATAAAAATCTCATCCGAAAAATTGGAAAAAAGTCAAAAAAATGCAATATTTCTAAAATTTTCGAAAAAATTGTTTAATTTTACCCAAAAAAATTGCAAAAAAACTCAATTTTTACCTCATTTTTCGATCTAAAAAAGTTTTTTCGATCTCTCCTAAATCCCAAAAAATTCTATTCTAATTATTTTTCCAAATTCCCTCCAAAAACCTACCATTGAAACTCTGGTCAATCCCTCGATACTACACAGTACAAAGTAGGCTGCTCCGGTCAAAATAACCTGATTCATTGTGGATCCCAGTCTCGGTTTCACGACTCCATAGCCCACCGAGACAATAATCACCAGCATATGGGCTACCGTTCGTTTGAAACAGGACATCAGCTCGGCCGCTTCGATCAGGCCTTCCTTCGATTCTCCAGTCGCGTTCATATTCGCATATTCGGCGTAAAACAAGGTCTTCTCCAGGAGGCCAATCACAATCACCACTCCAATACAATACTGAATGCGCAAAAGGTCTTTGTAGTGTCTGAAAATGGAAAATAAAAATTTTTGATACCCAAAATTTTAGATCTAAAAATTCAAAAACCTTGTGCGTAAGTATCTCTCTAGTCTTAATTCTCCTCTCATCATCTCCAATAGACCTAAAAACCAACAAAAAATCACAAAATTTTACCTGCAACAGACGACGAGCCAGACAACTGCCAAAATCACATAAAACCAGATCATGAATCCGTAAAAGCTCAATAATGGATAATCGATTGCACTCAAAAATCCATGCGGTCCTCTCCATTGGGCTTCTACGTCAATTTTGGGCTTTGATTTTACATCTTTATCCTGACTCAAGGTCTGAACTCTGACAATGAGCAAATACGCCGCATCTATTGGAAGCTGTTGTGCTGGATGCCAAGAAGTCAAAGTGACTTTGGCTCCGCCATCAATAGTGTTTCCATTCACTCCTGGATACGCCGAACGGACTTTTCGAATTGTGGAGTTGAGATTTGCCTGAAATTTGGGGCTTCAATATATTGTAGTAACCAAACTTTTGATTTTGGTCAAAAAAGTATTTCCAAGAAGAGATTTGATAGGTTTGGTGTTAAAAAATCGTTCTCTGAACTCTACCAGATCTCTACGCACTTTTTGCTTGAGATTCTTGAACAACATTGGCTGCATTGGGACATTCTCCAAGAACCCATCAGCACCATTCAAATCCTTGCAGTTGAACTTGAATTCCTTCGATTTCGTATAGTAAAATTGATTGTAATTGTATCCATCGGCCACAGCTTCGGCTTCATTAAAGTAGAAAGCCTAAAATAGCTCAATATTATATTAAAGTAGCAATTCCATGACGACAAGACAACAAACTCAAGAGGAAGATTGAAAACTTGTGGTTGCCATGACTCATTTGTCTCTAAAAGCCAAGCAAAAGAAAGAGAAGGCTTACCAGCAAGTTTGTGACCATATTGAACCTGGACCTGTCCACAAAAAACTCTTTGGCGCATGGAGAACTTCGAATAACATAAGTTAAAGCAAAATCTACATTTTCTTCGGCTTTGCAGCGGATTCTGACCTCAACTTCGCTTCCATTTAGAGCCGATTGTAAGAACCCAACGTATTCTTGCTGAAAGTTGAGTTATTAGAAAACTTTTGAGGCAATTTACATCAAGTCTCATGTACAATATAATTAATGTCAAAATGAGTAAAAATAAAGCGTTTTCTCAAGGAAAAAGCTGGCAGAGACAACAAAACAGTCACACAGAGTGTAAAAACTTACAGCATTAGCTTGAAGTTCGACGGTCTCTTTCATAATACCCGGAATCAGCAAGTTGGCATCACATATTGCACATAGAGCCAGAAAAATACAAAATTTCCTCATAATTGGCTCATAAAACCGTCTGATTCGGCTAAAACAACGTGCAAAATGGCTGGAGCACAACCGAAAAGGCTTTTGCCGTCTTCTCGTATCAAAATATTCGTGGCGAGTCAAGTCTCGCGCTCTTTTTCGGTCAAGTTTTTCTTTTTTGAATAGTTTTTGTAAAATTCGTGAATTTCAGGCCTGAAAATCGAAAGTTTCCCCCTCAAGGGAGTTTCCATGAAATTTGAAGGGCATCAAAGTGCTTTGCTGATTTGAATTTGTTCAAAAACCAACTGATATTATAGTACAAATTGCCTGAGGTCACATGGCCCGAAAAAATCGAAATTGATAAAAAAAATCAGGTGTTTGATCGTGGAATTGACATTTGGAAGTCGTAAATTACGATAATTTGGAGAATATACTCTATTCTTTTCTTTGGGTTTTGAGCATTTCACTTGAAAAATCACATCATTTTTATGAATTATGGGGCATTTCTTTGAAATCGTGGGCGGAACTGATAACCGAGTTAGAGTCGGCGATTCGGCGTTGTAAATTGTTTGCCATTGACGTCACAGTCAGGACTCTTTAACTTTTCCTTATCTTCGATAATTGGGTTGATAAATTTTGGGAGAAAAGTTGGGGTTCTGTTTGATGTTGAACATGATCAAAGTTTATGTCGATTTCGGACAGAAATGGAGTTCTGGAGGTTGTCAAAGGCCCTATATCTCTTCTAAATGCTCTGATTGTTCTCTGCATTGATAATACGGGCTGTGAAATATTGATATTGGGGAAAACAAAAGATTTTTCCATTTCTGATGGGCTTTTGATTAAAATAATATTTTTAGTATCGTATTCTTTTGTTTACTGGACATTTTTTGTGTTTCTATGACTCCTTGTATCCTCTATTCATTATATTTACTCTGCTTTGTCTTGTTTTCACCAAAGTTCAACCTTATTCGTCAAATTATTTTTGTTCTTGGATTACCCCCGATGATCAAGGTTAATCCCCCAAAATCGTTGTGAAATCGACCCGACTTCCCGACCCCAACGACTCCACTTGATGCGCACGTCCACGGCCGACATTTCGATGTGACCATGACGCCGGGAAACTGGGTTTCCGATCGTCTAAAATAAACTTTTTCCGCCCCAATCCATCATCATTGTGAAAAGTTCAAGAATGCTGTTACACAAGATGTTTTCGCGGTGTGTTTCGCGTTGAGAGTGGTGCTTGGGGGCGATCGAAAAAAGGGAAAGAAGATCTTCTTTCCGAAAAAAAATCGACGCGAGACCGACCAACAATTTCCGCGGTTTTTCCGTGGATTTCGGGTGCGGAAAATCGGTTGCAGAACGAAAGCGAAAGAGTCGGATGCGAAAAATTTCGTGGGCGATTAACTCGTTTGGGCGGTGTAATATCCCTGTGTTGTCGTCGATGACATTTGGGGTCAATTATTTCTTGGGGAAAACTAGGCGTTTCCCTTCCGATTGACGCTTATTATGGTGACAATCGGGAGTCATCGGCGGCTGAGCTTTGGTGTTGCGACCTTAGGGGAAAAGGAATCTGAGATCGGCGTCTAGGCGGGGTGAGTGGGAGTTTGTGATCTTAATTTGGTTGATTTTGCTTTGGAATTTTTCGATTTTCTCGGTTTAGGGTCAAATTGCAAAAATGAGCTTGATGTCTAAAATAAGGTATCCTCTGGTAAGGAATGCGCTTTCTCGTTGATTCGGCAAGATTCCAAGGCCTCAATTTACCAATTGCTTTTGGATTTTTTATAATTTTTTACCCTAGCGACTAAATTTTTCAAAATTACACTTGATGTCTAAAATAAGGTCCTACTCAAAGGATGACCTTATAATCTCCCTCAAAGTTTGTATCCACGATTCAAATGGGTCACAAATTAAGTCGCGAAAGATTCACCTCGTATTTTACAACCGCAGCTGAGATATTCAACGATCTTCGCAGACGAGAGAGTACGTAAAATGCGGAGAGACGGTCAGAGAAAAAAACTTTTTTTTGCCGTTTTTCAGGGTTTCTTCTCGTTTCACCCAAATTATCACTTCTTTAATTTTATTAGCCTTCTGCCAAATCACTTTTTTTTTGTTTGTAACTACCAAATTCTTTGATAACAACGGTTTTTATGATCCCTACAATCAAATCTTTTTGGACGACGCCCAATTACAGGCATTCCAAATCAAAATTTTCGATAATTTCCGGTGCCAACATACCATTTTTATGGTCTTATCATATTTGCTGAATGTTTTACGACCTTTAAAAATTGGAGGGTTTGCACAAGTCACCGAAATTTTTTTGAAATGATATATCTCGGCTGTCCATGCAAAGCATGAGCTAAAATTTTTAACAATGAAAATATGTTCCATATACTGTGCTCATACCAAATTTGAAGGAAATCTGAGCCTCTCCCTTCAATTACTGACCTTATTTTAGACATCAAGTCCAATATCCAGATATTGGACTTGATGTCTAAAGCAATAAAATTTTCTTGTTTTCCAAACATTACAATCAAAGGCTGATTCATTATCATGCCTTTCCCCAAAATCATATGGAATTTTTATTATTTTTTCTGGTAATTTATGCAAATCCCAGTCACATTCCTCTCGGCTCGCCTTTTCTTTCGACCCTTGGGCGCTGCTTAGTCATAGGTGGAAGAGGGCTTGTATCAATTTTCGGATCGGAAAAGAGTAATAGTAGCAATGTTTTCGAGGGGATTTGTGGTTGTTCGGGGATTTGAAGTCATGCGGTTTATTAGGCTTGAAATTTGGGGGTTCCATTTTGGGAAAACAGTGTGGATTTGGGTTTTTGGATGATTTTGGGGAGGTAAAATTGGAGTGTTGTAAAATACAGGTGTTAAAATTTGGATGATAACCCAAAAAAAGTGATTTTTGGCTCGCGCTTTGCAGAAAGGACCGAGATTTTTGGGTTAAAAGTTGGAAAAAATATGACACTTTTTTTGCGAATTTTTGGCATTAAAAGTTTCGTCTCTATATTTCAACCGTAAAGGATAATGTTTCTACAAAAAATCAAATTTTTCCGCACGAAACTGCCAAAGTTATGGCCAAAAAGCGTTTTTCTCTCTGACCGCTCTCCGCGTTAGGCGTACTCTCTCCGCGGCAAAAATGGTTCAATATCTTGGTGGCGCATGCAAAGCGCGAGCTAAAACTTTCAGGAATTGATGTTTAGTTGATGCCCGACGTATGTATGTGCAATGTTTCGAGGAAACCTGAGCGTCGCACTTGGGGTACTTCCCGTGTTAGTTTCGGCCAAATTACTCCTAGTCCGCTCGCAAGGTCGCTGGAGTGACTTTAGCAACGTGCACTGTGCGAAAACAAAAGTTCACTTTGCACTGTGCAACTTCTTGCCTTTTACACCGTGCAATAAGCTTTTTTCCGGTGTCGCTCGCACCCTGAATTTTTCTGCGCATTGCAAACGGCAACAATTACTCCAGCGACATTGTGAACGGACTATCAGTCTGTCGGGAAAATAACGGCGGATCGTCGCGCCTCGGAATCGCCCATCATCATCGCATTGCGACTGCAAGCCGCGGCTTGGGATTTGATGCGCGATAGGAGACATTTTGCTGCGACGATCCGCCGTTATTTTCCCGACAGACTGATAATAATTCTTTAACATTTTTGAGAAAAAAAAAATCCAAATTTATTCAAATTTTCTATAAATTTCAAATCCATCCATTTCCCATTGACCTTGCAAATTTCGCAGCTGAAGCGACTTGCAGCTGTCTGCAGATCTCGCCTTTTCCAGTTCTGACATTTGACTTTCCCTTTTTCGGATTTTTCGTTTCATTTTTCGTCTTATTTGACACGTTTGAGAAAACCCGCCGAATGGAATGACCATTGAAGAAGAGGGGGTTTCCGACAATGCGAAACGGCTTCGTCTCAAAAACGAAGCGATCCGGGATTCCGCGGATTACGAAGGCTTGTATTATCGTAGTTTAGTATACTTTTTTTGGGATGGTAGGTACATACAGTGTTCTGCGGTAAAATTGGAATTCCTTTGAGAAGAAAGGAATTCCAAATGAGATTTTTTGGCTTTTTTTAGGCCCAATGTCGGTCCATAAAGTCGCTGGAGGAATTTTTGTCGTTTGCACTGTGCAGAAAAAGTCGGAGTGCGAGCGACAGGGTTTCCCTCGAAAGAGACCCCGAGTTGAAAGAGACCCCGAGTTGAAAGAGACCCCGAGTTGAAAGAGACCCCGGAATCGGGGGTCTCTTTGGATGTTTCCCCGAAATGGCCGAAAAGGTCAAAAATAGGGTAATCGATGGCGTAGATTCCAAAAATCATACTCGTTTTTTCGGATTCTTACTTTTTTTGTTAAGTAGTAATGTTAAAAAGTAATTTTTTGAATTTTTTCTAAAAATAGTCGATTTAGGGGTTTTCGAGGGTGCTGATTTCGAAAATCATGTTAGCTTTCCTCTTTATAGTACTATCTGGTACTATACAGTACGAGGTGAAAATATGGATTTTGGCGTTAATGGTGTTGGTTTGAAGCCCTGCACTTCTCAAAAAATGTGTTTTTAGCACTTGGTACTGTATAGTACCAGGTGGTACTATATAGCACGAGGTAAAAATTAAGCTACAACGCGTGAATGAAGTTGTTTTGGTATGCAGTACTGATCAGACGTTCATTTTGTGCAAAAACAAATTCGTGCTATATAGTACCATGTGCTAAAACACATTTTTGAGAAGTACTGGGCTTCAAACCCATAGCATTGAGGTGTTACGGCCTAATTTTTACCTCGTACTATATAGTACCACCTCGTACTATACAGTACCAAGCGCTAAGAACAAGTTGTTTGAGCAGTACTGTGCACCAAACCAACAGCATTAACATCTGAATGCATAATTTTTAATCGTACTATCCAGCTTGGGGACAAAAACGTCCTGGGGACAAAAAAATAAAAGAAGTGGGGACAAAAACGTC